TTTAGATTTATATTTATTTTACGAGACTAATCAGTGAAATAAGTGTAAAATTGATTGTTATTTTATTTAATGGCTACTATGAAGAGTTTAAAAAAAGGAGAGTTTAAATAACTATAGCTGATTATTTCCCTTAAAACATTTTTAATAGTTTTTTAGCAATAGAATATTTACAATATTGCTTAGTTTGTTTGTACTTATCTCATAAGCCAAAAATTAAAAGAAGACAAAAATGGAGTACTAGGTCTTTAAATAGTTTAGACCACGTCTAAATGCTACAGATTCCGTGATGGAGCACAGCCCATCCGCGAAGATCGTGATACTTGGTGACTTTAACGCTCACAACGCCGAATAGCTTGGCTCACGCAAGACCGATCACGCGGGGAGATCTGTTCACGATTTCGCCCTGACCTATGGCTTTTCACAACTGGACTGGCGTCGTCCCGAACTCCTGGAAATTAGCGTTTGTGCACCCGATTCCTAAAAAAGGCGACCGCTCTGACCTGTCCAACTACAGGCTTATAGCCATAACTAATTTGTTCTCTAAGATTAAGGAATCCATAATCAACAGCCAGCTCCTCCGGTACTTGGATGACCACCAGCTACTCAATGACCGACAATATGGTTTTCGCCGGGGTCTCTCAGATGGTGATCTTCTCGTCTTTCTAACACACCGGTGGGCACAAGCGATCGAGACCAAAGGAGAGGCTTGTGCTGTTGGTTTGGACATAGCGAAGGCCTTTAATCGGGTCTGGCATAAGTCGCTTCTCTCGAAGCTCCCTTCCTTTGGGCTTCCCGAGAAATTGTGTAATTGGGTCAACAGCTTTCTTGCGGAAAGAAGCATTAAGGTTGTTGTTGACTTGAAATTCGTAAATGTTAAGGCTGTGTGCTATCACCCACACTGTTTCTTATGCATATCAATGACATATTGCAAACTAGTAGCATCCATTACTATGCAGATGATAGCACGGGAGATGCCCTTTATACCGGCCCTTAATTTCTTATTATAGCCCCAATATTTCTCGGGAAAACGTCTTCGAGAGTCGAAACAAACTTGTTTCTGAAATTAAAACTTCCTTAGCGGAGGTTTCAGATTGGGACCAACACAAATCTAGTCCATTTAAACCCAAAATAGACACATGTCTGAGCGTTCACCGCAAAAAAGATACCATTTGTTGAATCATCTCAGTTTGAAAGCACCTACTTAACTGCCTCAGCCAGCATCGGAATCCTAGGCATCGTCATATCGAGCGAAATCCAGTTTCGGGGTCACGTAGAGGGTAAGGTCAAATTGGCCTCGAAGAAGCTCGGTGTGCTGAACAGATCGAGGCATTATTTCACTCCGGCCCACCGATTTCAGCTCTATAAGGCGCAAGTCCGACTGCATATGGAATACTGTTCTCATATCTATGCAAGGGCACCTCAGTAGAAGCTTCTCCCTCTGGACCGCATCAAACGAAGAGCGACTCAAATCGTCGATAGCCCAAACATCTCCAATCGGCTCGATCTCTTGGCGTTACGTAGAGATGTGGCTTCACTCTCGTTTCGTTCATCGTTCGTTCGTTATTGTGGAAACAAGGCAAAATTTTAGTCCTCATTACCTGGATAGTTGGCGCTCCACTACTGCGCGCTTTTCGAGACACTTTTTGCCTCCACCAATCTGTGGAACGGGTCGTCTGCGGTATTTCCGGACCGATATGACCTTCAAACCTTCAAGAACTCCTTCCTAAAAGGCCGGCAACGCGTTTGTGACTCCTGAGTTGCAGACTTTCATGGACGGCGATGGTCACTTTCCATCAGGTGACCCGTCTGCTCGTCAGCCCCCACTAACATAAAAAAAAATCAAAACATTTTTGTAAACAACTTATTTTGATTAATGCTATCGCTAATTATGAACTACTCATAACATCTCACTAATTTTGGTTGTAATGATAGTAATAATGATATAATAAAAGTTATTAAACTGGACCCAGTTGCACAACGGTGCAAACAAAAAAATATATTTCTAGATTAGTATCATATTTCTATCCCTCGTATCACAACTATACTCCTAGTAGTTGTGAATCGCTTTGATAAAACTATCTTATGAATACTAAATACTATGTAATATCGCTTCTACAACCATTTATTTACTGTAAACACCTTGTCTACAGAAAAGTACAAAATGATACTTCGCGTAAAAATATTATTGTTCTCAACTAATAGGAAAATAATTAAATTGGCATAACCGACGTAGTTGTTAGGAATATTGAATAAATATTTTACTAGAAGGTAGGTTATCTGTCCCTTGTAAATCTACTTTAATATTTTTATTATTCTTCTATCTACAAAACACCTTTGCAGATTTTTATACAAATGAACAATTAATGTTCAATCTGTCGGATTTGCGGCATTTGCGTCATTCACAAGGGCATTATCGGGACAACATATGGACGTTGGGAGGTGCCCCGCGGCTCGCACGGGGTGGTCCAGACTTGCATGGGTCAGAAATGAGGACTTTTAGAGGGAAAGTATAAAAAGTGCTGTGGTAAAAAGTATATTATTATTATTTTTAACGTTTTCTAATTTTGAAAATTTGTTTACCTATGTAATGTTTTTATTAGAAAACGATCAAGTCTAAAAGAGGGCACTACGGTGAATAGAATTGAATTGGTGAATTATTTTTACAAGTAGGTAAGATATCATTTTAGACAGTTTCAATAGTTTTGATTAAATTTCAAGTACCTATAATTTTGTCTATCGGATGAAACTGCTAATAAAAACTAAGATAACTAGAGTTGTTAAATTTAACGAATGTCCATTTTCTGTTTGTCTGTGTTTTAACTACTACTAGGCACGTACTTGCTTTATCTTTTATAAAGTTTCAATCACTTTTATTCTTAACTGATTTTTTCTACATTTCCATGGTTGACTGCAATATTATATGTTTTTATCTGTTGCAAGTTAAAAATATTTCTCATTTATATGGAAAGGTAATACAAGAAAAAACGAAGGAAAACTGTAAAAGCCGGAAAATCCCTTGCGTTGCAAATTAGTTCTGAGTTAAATTAAAAAGAAAATGTCCACACTCAGAATCAATTTACACAAAAGTATTCGACACTTAAACACAGGGGTGAAGTCACCCGACACCTCTCGACGGCCACAGATGTACCTTTCATGTCAATCGTCATAATTAGGGGATTAGGGCCCCCTAATGACATGTTACATTGAATCTCTGATACGCCCCCGAACAAATGTTCACAAAATAAATACTGTTCACTGACTTGTCGCAATCGCAATGCCTCTTAATTTATGACCCTTGTAAATCAAATTTTATAAATAAAACATTAAGTATCTTTTGAGAAGATAGTTTTTAGCTAAAAGCTCGGTAATTTGGCACCTGTTTGTAAAGAGTAGTATTTATGACTACTTGTCAACGAGTGTGTTTCACACTCATGCAAATGGGATGTCTCTAACAATACGTTAATAGAGCTGCTTTATAGGATGGAGGTGATTTTTAATAGTTTAGCTCGAACTATAGAACTGCTGTAGATGTATTCTAAAGCACTGTTGCACTAATCTTTAAACCATTTTTATGCATTTTAATCGTCAGTTTTTGACCGGTATGAATCGGTACTCCTGTCTGTGACCTATCCACGGAACTGTTAAATTAATTGTATACTATTATTTACTCTTAGAGCGAAACTGTTAGTCTGTATAATTGTGTACGTGTGAACATACATATACATACCATCAATTCTATCAAAATATATACGGAATTGTCGGTTTATACATTTACCATACTTAGGGCATACTAAACGTTTCTTGATTCTGATAAATAAGACTAGATATAAGACTTACATTACATTTATTGTTTTTCAAAATATATTCCCTCGAAATAAATGTATTTTTGCATTAGCTGAAACCACTTTACAAAGAAGTTGGACCAGTCTTCCTTAGGGATCTCTTCAATGGCTTCATGGAACGCATTCACTGCCGATTCAAGGCTCGTAAAACGTATGCCTCTAAGTTTATCTTTAATTTTTGGAAACAAAAAGAAGTCGTAGGGTGCAACGTCCGGGCTGTAAGGTGGATGCGTCATCAGTTTTACATTTAAAGCCTTCAAATAGGCTTCGGTTACCTTAGCGGAATGTGAGGATGCGTTGTCGTGGTGAAGGAGGACATTGCTTAGAGGACGCTTTTCGCGAACTTTTTCTAAGACTCTGGGCAAGCAAGTGTTGACATACCAATCTGTAGTCAGTGTCCTTTAATCTTCAAGCGATACTGTAATGTAATGTCCTGATTTGCCGAAAAAAAGAAGCAACCATTTTTTTACCAATGCTTTGACTTTTCTCAACTTTCGTTGTCAAATCTTCAAAAGGAAAGACCCACTCTGCCGATTGGCTTTTTCTTTCACGATATTATAGACAGCCAAATTCATAAAAAATCATTGAGTTAAAAGTGTTCACGAGTTAAATTCATTTTGATAGCGACACATCTTTTTAAAGGGCGTCACAATGAAAAAACAAATGACAGTCTCGCAAATTAAAAAGTAACAATGTTCCCAAAGAGTTCTATTTTTGAGTTCCATTATTGTTTTTTCTTCATTTTATTGTAAGTGGCCAGAACCCGAAACTTATAATCCTGGATTCGTGGGAAAGTCATGCTTCGGCGTTCATGGGCTAGGCTCGACCGGAGTGATACCAGGGCCTCGCAGAAACCCATTGATAAGCAGTCCTTCCGTTACATTTGTCCGAATTCTGGGAGGAATTGAAAAGGCAGCAACTCACTTGTGACTGTTTAAGTTGCAGATGTGCCTGGGCGGTGATAGTCACTTACCTTCACGTGACTTATCTATTCGTTAGCCCCCCTATATCAATTAAAACATATAACGTAATTTGCCCGCAAAGGCATGCTCCGTAAATAGTCTGATAAAACGGGTAAAAAATAAAATTAACAGCTATTACACCTAAACCATAAATTTTTAATTTCTATCTCTAATGGACTAATCTCATCTAGGAAAAATGACAGGTAAAAAGCGTAACCAATATACACGCCATCAAAGCCCCTAAAACATGAATGCGAATAAAAAAAAAGTACAACCTTTTAAACGTTAAAAGGCTCCGTTTACCGCGGACGCAAACACTTAGCTCCATGTTAATTAGTAAGTAGCCGGGAACAGCGTCAAAGGGAATGCATGAATACTTCCAAACCGACCTCCGACGGTGCTTTTAAAATCTCCCTCGCTTAATCCAGAAACTCAGAGAAACCGAAGGTAAACTGATTATGTCGCCAATATGAGATTTTTTAACAAAAACGAACTTAGATACTTTTGAGGTGGCTAATATATAAGTCATATGAGAACACAAATAGAATGACGCAAAGAAAGCCTTTTTTTATATTTTGGTATGAGTAGCATCCACTCTTCAAATACATAGCGTAATTGAAGCATCAATCGCGCTGCGTCTTATTCTGGCCTCGTTGGTAAAATCTAAATAAACACTTATTATGTAGTTTTTACACATTTTATTGTCTGACTCTATTTAAATTTCATAGCTTTAAGTTTTGAGTAGAGTGTTTTTAATATTGTTATTGTATTATGTATATATATATATTAATATTGTTTTTAATATTGTTATTAATACCTAACGTTACATTATTAAATTGAATGGGTGTTTTTTTTTTCATTTCTTTGTTAGAACGAAGTACCTTCTCGCGCGATACATGATCTGAGCGGATGGGAGCGAGAACGAAAAATGTGTAACACTATAGTAAACATTCATTCATTCATTTCTGACCGGGGAGCCATAGACCCCTCTCACCGTTTTTTATAGTAAATAATTAATGTTTATTTCTAAAATTAAAAAAGTATTATTAATAAAATAAAATTTAACAGTTCCTACATTTTTATTAGTTATTAGTTTAATTACCCCAGATCATTCAGTGTTTAATTTACATTATTTATTTTATACATAATAAATATAATTTATCATATTTTTCTGAATTTAACTCTATTAACTTGGTATTTTATAATAGAAATTATAAAAACTGTATAGCAAACGGCTACTAAAAAGCGAAAGGAACTTCGTTCCGGCCGGGGATCCATAGGCCGTTTTTGTTTTTTTTTTCCTATAATTAACATAGTATCCAGGTTTCTATTGTGCCTGCGGGACATGCCCAATGTCTGTTATTAAACTAACATTCATGTGCAAAAGAATGCCTATTATATGAGTTTCTACAGAATTTCTTCAGCAAGCACTACAAGAAATTTATGTGTTTATGACCACCTTTAATGCTTTTACTGTACAATATTAATTAATACATCAACATAAGGTATTCATGAGCATAAATGCAATATATTATCATCAAAGCTGTTGGATTAATGAAATCATACTGATTAGATTGAGTTGCCTATAACAACAGTATTAACAATGCATAATATAGGAACTTAGGTACAATATGCTTTATATTAAGAGTATGTATACAGGTATGTATGGTTTTACTATCGTAGTAAAACTTTTATCATTAGAGAATTTTGCCTGATCCTAATACTTTATTTACTTCTTCTTCAATATCTATTTTAGTTAAATATAGTATGTTAGTGTGTGTTGCATAGTCAAAACTATATTTATTTTAAAACTTACCTTACTCTCTAAGAAACTAACTACAAATAAAAGGCAGATTAACTGTGCTCTAACTTCTACAAATGAAATCTTCATCATCATCATCCTATCGCAGTCCACTGCTGAACATAGGCCTCTCTCATCTGCACGCCTCTTAGATCGATTTTGGGCTTCTCGCATCCAGATGAAAAAAAAACAATGAAATCAATGCTCATCTTAAATAGTAAATGTTAATTGTAGAATACAAAAACTTCCTCTAGTCAAATAAGATGTTTGTAGATTGCTCCCTTGCTGTATAAAAAAAAGTAGCAATGAATCTGCGTAGTCAATAGAATGCTAAAGCATTCCAATGAAAGGAAACGATATCTTTATCAAACTTAAAAAATAAAGAAATATTATCACCAAAATATTAACTACTTGAAGTATACACAAAAAGACTTTGCCACAGGACGGAATTTTATGTGGCATATTGTGGAAGTGGCATACTCAACTGTCACTTTTGTACCGTGACAGTTCGAAATATATACTGGACCCTTTTAGTTTTAAGTTTCTGTCCTTACATATTTTTTTTAAATAAAAAAAAAATGTCATCGGCATTTCTTATTACTTCCGATAAGAACTGAGTGTTCATGTTGTATTAGAACATATTTGAACAGTGGATGGCTGGCAGCTTATCAGAAGTGCAATTTACTCTTAGTGATGCGGTGCTTAATTTAGTGGTGAATACGAAAAAGGCTCCACTGATTTTTTTCATTAAGTTTTTGCTAGCTGCTACAACTCTCACCCGGTTGATGCCTTGTGCGGAGCTTATTTAAAAAAAATACTCTGCAGTAAAAAGTTCGGAAGAATTTTAATAATATTAGGAAAATGAAATTGTTGAATGTCTAAACATCGTTTTGACCACTTGTCATAAGGGATTTATAGCTATTAGCACTTCACAAATAAAACTAGAAAATAAAATCAACATAATAAATGTAAACGCACATCATACGTACAGTGTTATTTTTAAATATTATGAGAATACCTGACACCAACTACATAACACATCGTAAAAGTTAAACAAGGACGTGTGACTCGTAGTAAAACAGTTCAAGATTTAAATATATGTGTGTATGTTTTTATTTTTTAAATTTACAGTCTCATATAATACGTATAAATTATAATATATACGTACATTTTGCAACTGATAACAATTGAAAAAAATATCTCATCTGCTCCAATTATACACCTGCCACACACACAGCTCTGCATCACCCATAAGTTGACTGGCAGAAAATGCCTATAAAGTCCGCCTTATGCAAACTATTGGCAGGAAGTATAAAGTAAATAAATAAACAAAAACACTGGTAAAAAGACGGCAATTGTATTATTCGGTATTAGATCAACACAAAACGTTTGCGGTGTCCTCTCAGTGTCGAATCATTAGCTCCTTAACAGCGTTAGTTAAAGCAACGCAATTACAATTACGCGGGCCTCGCGAACTTGACCTACGACAAGGGGTCGATGCGCAACGGCCGGTATGCAAATAAGAACGTTTCTTTGACTCGACGTGATTGTACGACTAGTGGTTCAGTGGAGTATTGGTACATTAGAATGGAATATGCCACCAGCCTTTTATTTTCTTTGGTACTACCAAGGCTGCTGTTAAAAAAATATATAAATGCCCTCTATCCTATAGAATAGGATAGGGTAAGTATATCCTATACTTATTAGATTGACTTATTGACAAAAGCCTTATATTACTATATAAGGCTATATCTAGAACTTTTAAAAAATAGAGATACCCATACAAAAACATTAGATTAACCAGTGAAATTTATAAATCCACTTAAGCTATCGAATTGTTATATCCTAAGTTTTATGTTTTAATAACACCAATTTGACAATTACAAACGGAAGTAGTAAAGACAAAATATAACGAGTAAGCATGTACTGTTTTACTAAAATATGGAAAACACTAAGTAGACCTTTGTACATGCCCATCTAACGCGGTACCTTACCACTATACTAAGATAAACTAGTTCACATTTCAAGGGATTTTGAAGACTCACAATATCTGTGGTGATAATTAACTACTTTTAATTACTTGATATTATTTCAACAAAATTTATGCACAAAATGTCAGTATCAAGTTGATAGCCTATGTCCAATTTATATTAAGTTCAACCAAACAATCAATCTATGTACTTACTAGTATATATATACTATACTGTGTATATACTACTTACAGAATTTAGGGATTAAAATAATATGTAATATAACAATTTTCGAAAACATAGCAAAAATGTTGTAATCACTAACATTGTTTACATAAATTTATAAAAATTGCCAGTAATGAAATAAACCCTAACAATATTTATTAAACTACATTATAAAAGTTATATATAGAAAATACTTTGTCAACAGCGGAAGGTGCTTTCAAAAAATTAAAACCTGAACCTGGCGGGACAGTGGGATCTTCTGGTGGTGCCTCAGCCTTGTCACCTGCATTAGGTCCTCAGCATGCAGGTCATACACCCACTACAGCATCTTGTCCAACGCCTGCACGTCGCAGACATAGAACAACGTTCACACAGGTAATAGACGCCCATGATTTCATTTCTTTAATATTGTTCATAAACAATATTATTATGTATGCTATGCGGATCCCAGAACTGTTCATAATCAATACAGGCCAACACCACGGGTGTACGAGTACGTCACATGACCGAGGCACACACTGACTGAATTTGGGTACATTGATATATTTATGTGTTCTGCAACAAGATAGCAACATTGAACACAATATATTGAATTCAGATTTAGTAGTTACTATTAACTTGCATTTTTTCTTTTTTTACCTGCCGACTTTTTAATCATTTCATAGATAACCTGTGAACAGCGTTTTCGGCTGCATAATTGCAAACTTTAGAGTGATTTTTTTTTTACCAGTATTAGGTGATGTAATTTTTTATTGTTACTCTATAATAATAAAAGGAGAAGGCAAAACTTATGCTGGTTTAAAGACATAGTTTGCACTAAATGTAGTTTCTAGAAATCATTTAATCAGCTGCTGATTTTGAAGTGCAATTAACAATGTCTAACATTAAGTTAAACATTATTCATTTGCCATTTTTTTATTTTCGTTTCACGTGTTCATAGTTTTGAAGATGCAACTGAATTTAGTGTTAAATGAAAGAATTTCTACTTATTTGCAACATTAAAAACGTTTATGAAACAATAGACAAAACATACTTTAGTCTTAGACCAGGGAAAATTGTTGAACACTTATTATTTATTTTACACCTTTCAGATTCAGAGCCATTTGTGAATGTATATTTATTTTAACTTGTACCATCTAGTAGGATAGCCTTTGTTTAGAACTATTCACATTCGTCTTAGAGATAATGTTGTGTTTTTAATATAATCTATGTATCATTAAAATCACACAGCCACGACCCCAATAATTTTGACGGATGATTACTGTTGACAAAGAACTACAAAATGTGGGAAGTACGTGGCCAAATATTGAATATACAAAAAACAGAAAGAAATATAAAAAACTGTCCTGCAGTGGCAAATTTTTGTTTCATGCATACAGATACCGCCAAAGATAATATTAATAAAAATATTTAGGTATTTGAGGAACGACCCTAATACCCATATATTTTTCTTAAGATTCTTAAGAGATAAGGGATGGAATGTGATAAATATATAGATAGTCTGCATGTACTTGTTCGGGTTTTTACCAGTAATTTGCCTTATGTCTTTTCTATCAAATTACTATTTATTTGAAACATATTGTTACCATCTACTTCTAATCTCTCTTTGCTTTTTAAATTAAAGTGATGAATTTGTTATTGATGCTCAATAACAAATTCAGAGTAAGGTGAGTTGGAGTTAGGGAGTGGGAAGTGCCAGGGTAGCGATTAAAATGAATCACCTCACAAATTGTGTTATATGGTTGTTTGATATCCGAGTAATGGAATAACTTAAATTTATTTATTTAATTCATTAACAATTTATTACAATTATGTCTAAATCTAATAATTTATAATAGTGAGAAAAGAAATGTAACAGACAATCTCAAAAACAATTTACATTAAAACAAATAAAATAAGTTAAAAACATTTTGGATTTGAAATTGTTAAAATGACGAGTTGAAGTTTACAACTTCAACTAGTCATTTTAACAATTTAGAAACTCAATGTCAAAATAATAATGTCAAACAAAATAAATCACTCAATGTCAAAACAATAATGTCAAACAAAACTAATAAAATTAAAAAATAGGTACTTAATGCAAACTTAATGTCTGTTAAAATTGTCATGTCAACGGAAACAAAATATCACGCAATAATTATGTCCATATCATGTCCCTGCGATTTTAATGTCAGTTACAAAATGAGATAGTAAATTCATTGACAGAATAATAACATTTTTCTAATAAGAAACTCTTTAACTCTTTTTTAAATACGTGTGTCTTATAGATTTCTATTTTTATTTGTGCTGGTAGGCAGTTAAATAGTTTCAAGTTTCAAGACACAAGACTCCTACTGTGGAATTCGGACCATACTTCTAATTGCCCGTTTTTGTATTATGAAGGCTTTTTCACAATTATACTTAACTGTTACCCCACAACTGAACACTGTATATAATATAGAGTCCTCAGTTGACTGATGGTATCTTCTTCTCTCAAACTTCTAAGGGCATAGCAAGATGATATTGTTTCCTCAAATGCATCCAGTTCTCTTTGCCAATTCAGCAACGAGTCTATATGTACGCCTAAGAATATGTGTGTGTTTACAATTTCTATTTTGTCTCCCATTAATTGAAGAAAATGATGTTTGTTTTTGTAGTAGTAATTATTTACCTATTTGCTGCAAACTATCTGTGGAAGTCATACAAGACATTGCTAATTTTATGATTAAGTATTTCTAGATTACTTGCATTTATAATTAAATAGTACCCAAAATGGAACCATGCGGCACGCCTGTTGTCACTTGTTGTATTTTAGATTGGTAAACTTTATAGTGATTATTATTACCCATTGCGTTGATCTCCACAAACATTTGCCTATCATGTACCTGATGATTGATGATGATGATGTACATGATTTTCCTATTATGTAGGTATGATTTGCAGAGGTCTAACACTACGCCGTAAGAGGTAAACCTCTTACGGCGTAGTGTTCCAGTTTCCACAGTGTCAAATGCAGAACTGAGGTCCAAAAAAATACCAGCCACTCTCATTTTTTCATTTTCTTTTTCCACAATGTCACCTACCAATCTATGTATGTAATGCATCAGCCATACCAATACCTTTCTGGTATCCAAATTGCAACTTATTTATCACTTGGTTTGTAATTAAGTGACTGACCAGACGTGACATTAATAGCTATTCGAGTTTCTTTTTATAAAACCGGAATTACCGATATTGGCCCGTAGTTCTTCGGATCAGTAGAAGAGCCTTTTTTGTGTATCAGAACCACCTTAGCAATTTTTAGCTAATCGGGAAAAATGTTTTGTTAGCAATATTTGTTAAAAATAGCGGTCGCCAAAATTGCTATGTGTGTTTTTATTATTGTTATCTGTACTTCTTCAAATTCACTAGAAGTTTTAGTTGGCATTTTTCCAACTACATCACTAATTTAATTGGGTGTAATTTTGGATAAAACCACATCTTTCATGACCCTTGTACAGCTATCTCATAAGAATTGAACTGATTTGTCAGTGTTACTCCGATATGAAGGCTGTTTAGCGTTGAATTGCTGAGCTAATATATTCGCAACGCAGGCGGGGTCATCAATTTTCTTATTGTTATGCTTTATTTCAATTTTTTATTTGTTTTATAAGTTTTTTATTTCTATGTCGATTTCCTAACCGCCAAATTTCTTTAAGTTATTACCTGTAAGCCTTTGTAGCGTTATTTCATCTGTAATCTCACTGAGGCCATCTACTAACCCATTGCGATCATCGAACATGTGATCTATATTTTCGTCTGCCAAATTTGTAAAAAAAATATCAATACATGAAACTGAATTATTTATGAGAGTAGTTGTGTGCACAAGTGCTCTAAAATTATAGCAACGCAACAAATTTAGAAATTCTGACCTTTTTATATGGTCTGTTAGTAGATTAACATTAAAATCACCACAGGTTAAAGCCTTCCTATTGAATAAAAATTCAAGCATATTTCCTAAATTCATGAACATTTTTTTTCTAAATTCATGAACAAATTTCAAATATTTTTTCCTTACATAGTTTATTAATTTGGGGAAACGCACACTACTAACTTCTCACACTTATTATATTTATACGTTCACATAAATTCATTTTCACTTTTAGTTTAGGATGAATGACTATAGATATTTTCTTTTTTTGGAGCTTATACAGTCCTTTAAAATAATTTCAGCGATTACCCTACTGAGCGAATTTGCCCTACTCCGTTATTGAGAAGTTAAAACCTGTTTTTTTTTATTTAATGTTATACATAAAAAGTAGGTTTATCAATTAAACGGTTTAATAAACTTCTTGAAATTGAAAACCTAGCATGATATTATTTAGTTATGTCTCCTTTCGAATGGAGCGATCTTGTCGAACAAATGTGAAGCAGCATAGCATATCGTGTTAGGAATACTTAATGTTTATGTGTAGAAAAAATACTATAAAGTTAAAAATTATATCAAAACGGTAACATTAACCCATTTAGACCCAAATACAAACTAGAAACAAAATTTTCAAATTATCTTTATTTGTGCAACTAATACAACCTATTAAGACATTTAAGTACAAAAAAAAACATAAAAATATATTTCTATGTATAAGAAAAACACCCGTCCTCAAATGGGGCTAATGGGCTCAAGTATGATATTTTTCAAAATATTTCTTTTCTAGGCATAATTTTTTACACATTTTTTACATTGCCAACGAGCTTTCATGTGGCATACATGGCATCGCAGCTGACATGAAAGCTTTTGAGGAAGTGTCCAACACCATCTTGGCTTACACTTGGCGCCACTCATCAGGTCTTTCAGTGCCTACACGTCTCAAACAAAATCAGGCGATGCTTCGCTGAAACTGGAGCTGGTCTACTTGGTCTTCCGTGGTCAAGAGATGGAGACGCCAAGCATTAGCTACACTCAAATCCAGCATATAAGAAAATAGGACCCACCACCACTTTTGAATCATATAGCTGATCTGTATACGGCGATGGACTGGTCAGCTTGATCGACTCCTCCTATGCCTTTGTTGTAGTTCTGAAAGACAGACGGGATGTCCACTTCTACCATTTTTCCTTCTGCAGAGCTCCATCTTTTTACCTTGCCCAAAGGATAAACAAAGTCGTAGTTTGTACCCATAGTACAAACACTGTTGTCAAGCCATCGCACGAACAAAATTTGATTTACTGTATCAAATCTGTAGTCAAATTCTGCTCGGGTTTTCTTTTTCATATTCTTGACAGATAGTCAGACAGATAGCATTGCTTTGTCCTGTTTTCCCTCAGAGTGCCAGTCGTACGATAACCATCTTCTCTAAGGTAAATCATGGCTGGTAAAAAAGTTGTCGAAGAGCACAATATGCTCATGCGAGACGATATTCAATTTTTCCAATAAACTCTTTAAAACTCTTGATCCCAAAGGCTCATTACTGGTTCCTACTGCTAATTTACAGCAATAAACATCAAAAGCATAACAATAACCATCTGCATTTGGAATCATCCAGTTTTTGTACCCATATTTTACTGGTTTTCCTCTTATAAACTGTTTTGCTGGGTGACGTCCAAAGTATTTTACCATTGACTCATCTATCGACTACACCCCACTGAAGAAATTTTTTGATCAGCAAATCAGTAAGGGATCGTATTTTGGACATATTATCGGTTGATCGCATACTCGGACCGTATACTCGGAGGAAATAGATTGCTGTCTCAAATATAAGCAAGTAACACTGTATACCTTAAATTGAAAACGACGATGTAATGTCTACCGAACAACAATGTATAGCGAAATGTGTAATCGCAAATTGCAGTCTTCATCCAAATACCAGTACAATCGCTCTCGTGGAAGAGTGTTATAACTTTGTGTTTTGGACAATCATTTCAAAGATCTCCCCATCGAAAGTCTTTTCAAAAATGCCAATCATAAATAACGTCACTATCATCCTATTCATTCCAAATGCTTTCATGGCTTCTTCGAGACCCTGATATTCATTTGTAGCATCGAACGATTGTTTTTTCGTTGTTTATGTCGAAACTAAACCTGCAAACAGAAAACAAAAAAATATAGCATTTAGCCCATTGGACCCATTTGGGGACATCATAGAGAAAGACCTTCTCTTATGGTCTGGTTTCAAAAGATGCCTAACTAAATAGCGTAGTTTATAAGTTAAATGTATAGGTAAGTGAAAAATACTATAAAACATTATAATATATCTATGTAAATATAAAAAAACATTACTTACCTTTTATCGTTCATGCAAATGCTAAATCAAGTAAATAAAAACAACAATTTCAACTACTATAGCCGGTAAATTAAAATATTTTATGTTTTTATTTCAAAGTTACACTCTTCGGCATTACGATTCAAAAAGTTAAAATATGTGGGTATTTAAAGAAGTGGACCCGAATGTGTACAGCGGACGTAAATGGGTTATGATAGGGTCAAGTAAAAAAAAATTTAGCCACCTAATTATATGTATTCTTTGTTTTTTTTCGTTTCAACAGAAGTTGCATGCTATGTTTTTTACAGAATGAAGTTTCGTTTTTATTTTTTATTTTGTATATATCTTGATCTGTCATGATGAAATAATCTTTACAATGACAGTTCAAGATATACTAGCCAAAAAAAGACATTTAAAACGGTTGAAATTCGACCGCCATACGATCTCTAGTTATATTGCAATAATAAGCGGCTCTTAAACAAATGATCGCCAAAGTTTATTGTGATTTTTATTTGGTGCAGGAACAATTAGCTGAATTAGAAGCGGCATTCGCCAAATCACATTATCCCGACATCTACTGCAGAGAGGAACTGGCGCGGACGACCAAGCTCAACGAAGCGAGAATACAGGTTTGTTCTAACTTAATATTTTATTATAATAGGTTTAATTCAACTTTATAGTTATTTGAATCAAGTATTAAATACATCAGACTCGACACTGAAATAGTGACAACGATCATTTAAGCCGAACTGTCAATATAGGTATTTAATGAAAGGCTAAGGTTTTCTTCTTTTGGTAGAGTATTACCGTATTTAAGTGCCACTTACCACAGTTACAAAGAATTACTATTCACTCTCTAACTGCATAGAATGCAACCCAACCAATGTAATTGGCTGTTATTAGAAATGGTCACTTTCCATCAGGTGACCCGACTGCCCCTAGTCTGCCCCTCTATCATAAAAAAAAATGTGAAAGCAAAAATTGACAAAAGTTTTTATAAATGTCAAAAATCATACACAATATTAAGTCAATTGACGTATACTAGAATTCAGGGTAGAATGGACCACCCGTAGTGCGAATAAAAAAATACACAGAACAAAATACTGTAGGCAACACAATACTATCACGCCAGTCGTTCTTGGATGGAATTGTCGAAATATCAATGATGCGCGAATACTCGGATAATACAATTTGGAGCGTAGGCCGGAGGCGGATTGAATTAAAGCGCCATCTGTCGTCCTCGACCGTATGAATACAAAATGCTTACAGTAACTCGCGAGAGATCTTTATCTCAGTTTTAAAATTGCTCAATCCCCCGGGACCCTCGATATTGATTTGTCCCCAGAGCTCCTAATTTGCCGCTTTAGATGTTTTATTCAAAGCATGACTTTTAGCCTCTATCAGTATCGTACGTAGTTCATCTCCCTATGAAGTCTCGTCTTCAAGATATCAAATGCTAATACTGCACTTCAATATAAAATCGTAAGCTAAGTCTTAACAGTAACTGTTATACATATAAAGTAGCTTTCAGTGATATTTTATTCACTGTCGCTCCATCAGGACGACAATTACTCTTTTCTTTCAAGCCCGATGAATGATGAAGCTTTCTAAGAAAATGAAAGGTTGTATGAAACAATATTATTTCATGTTTTTACGTTAGTAGCCGCGCTAAAAGCACATGAAATAAGCGTAGGTGAGTACCGTGTGGTATGTACTTGTACATCACACCCACACATGCTCCCACACCGCACATATGTATGTGAGTACATGACGATGTACTCAGGGTACTGTATGTTCGTGCACGCGCGCTTCGTAGGAGGCTATTAACGTTTAGGCGACGCTACATAAGAATGTAAACGTTAAAGACGACAGCGACGTCGAGCTCCCTCCTTCTAGAGGAAATTTCGATATAAAAATACAACGTCGCCGGGTGTGCGAGGGTCGAGGAGGGGCGGGGCGGGAAGGGTGGCCCCTGAGGCATTGCAATCCCATCAAATGGATCCGTAACGAAGTTAGCCGCTCATCCTCCCCGCGCGCCTCTCGACATTGTCTCTGCCCTCAAATGAATTCTACAATTGGAAATAAGAAAATGTTTTGTTGGATCCCGTGCTTTTTCAGTTTAAAGGCGACCGTTTTCTTCGGATAACTTGGAACTCTGTCACGATATTAGACGGGACTGCTATAGCTGTTAATGTTGCGTTGAATAAAGAGTTTTAGATGGATCTTTACTGAATTAACTGTTATCTGTAAATTTCTCTTTCAGCCGCTGACTTTATTTCGAATGCTATTGAATATTTACACCTAGTAGATGTAAAACAAAGCTAAACATTCTAAACGTTGGTTATAAGATGCAAGATATCTATTGATTGTTTTAAAAAGAAGGTGTTGATTGTGTTAATCTATTAAAAAGTAATATTAAGAACTATTTTCTTCTGAGTTTATCAACTGGTTTTCCATTTTTATTTAGTAGATAAGACTAACTTAGCAGAAATAGTTAGCTTTGTTTTAATGTATAGTAATTCAGTTTTTTATTCTCTGTTTGTCAATCTTCTTTCTATTCTTTTGTATTGATGTGTGCTAGTGCTGTAATAACAGAGTATATCAAGAATGTGGTTCGTCCCTACATTTCATTCTTTTCCTCCCTCTACTCCCTATCCCTACCTCTTTCATGCTTCTTCTTAGGGACTTCATTTCTTTCTTTCTTTTCTAGGGTTTACGCGAGTCCCTTGCAATACACTTCTATGTCGCCGTGTCGTTTAATTGTATTGTAGTGGTGAATCCCGATATACCACTTTACTGTAAGCCCTGGTTAGGTTATGACTCGTGCTGGTTTCCACACAGTAAAAAAATCTTTCTCTTTTAATTTTAAATAAATATAAGTAAATTATTCGTACTTTATTAAGTAGTACCTGAGATTAGTGCGTTCAAATACAAAACAAAATCTTCAGCTTTAGCAAAATCTTTAACTTTTTTTAGTTTATTTATTATTTGTTTTATGTTTCATTACGCATTGAACGCAATAGAACTAGTGGGATATTTTAATTGTCACTAGTTCGACGATTGAACTGATGAATCGGACTAATGAGAATAAATCGAGATTTTACCTACATGTTGCCAGGGTTAAGAAAAGATATAAGGTGCCTTTCATTCAAAAAGAAAATACAAAATTAGTTAATAATACATCAACGATGCCTAATTAATTCTCGGCAATGTTTCCAATGATTTAGATTAAAGTTTATATTAAAAAAACGTGGGTTTACTACAAAAAAATAACACTCAATGAATGTCAGACGCCCATCTAGCTAGTGGCAAATCTAATAAGCCCGGCCAACCATAAAACATATAATTATATTCAAGAACTTTTATGGATGCCATGAAATTATGAATAGATTTTTGTAAATTTAACGAGTGCTGAGTTCCTAAATTAGATGCTTGGACTTATATTTTAGACTAAATGAGATTTTTCACTGCTGAAAAAATTTCGACCTACACCTTTATCTCCGAACAAAATAGAAAAGTCTGTGAACATAACATTTTAACTTTATATCCACATTGACCTTGCTACCGATTATATGCAATTTTGAACTGAAATATAGACACAAAGACATAATACACAATTGCCCTCGCTCGCCGATAACCATATAAAAACCCATGTTTGTCAGTAAATCCCATAGGCTGTCGTACACCGGGATACCGAAAAAGATAAAGGTGCTCCTGAAAATTGTTTCGATTTAATTAAAAAAACAAAAACATTTTTCATTTTTTATTATTATTTCTGTAAGCACTAAAAAAAATCTAGCAGCCTAGTCAATAAACGGTGCGACATCAGAGAAATAATTTTCTACGCTAAGACGTAAAATTTGAATAAGAACAAACATGTTAGGAGAGAAGCTGACAAGTTTTTCTCTGCCTAATATTCATTCAGAGATGACATCTCAGATATTATCATCCGATTTTCCAAAAAAAATAAAAGACTTCCATTTGTTTTACAATCAATGTAATAAAGTTAGATATGTATTGTACAATGTAGTGTAATTTACGCGACATTTCTTATACTTAGTGACCCCCATAAAATTTCAGGCTGCGATCGCGGCTGTTTGCGGGGCAAATTGAATGACAAAAAACTTTAAAATATAAAAAGTTGCTAACTAAACTGAAAAATCGTTACTTGCTTATAAATTGATTAGAAAATGTTCCAGAATATGATAAAGATTTCTGTAAATTTGCCTAGTTTAAAAGTTTTATTTTTCCCTTGTATCATGAAAAGAAAAAAAATATCTGCTTATTTTCTAATTTCCAAAAAAAATCTCATATATGTTTATAGAAATTATAATTAATTAATTAATGTATTTTTAGAAATACAATGAATTTCCACATTACTTTTTATCAAGTAAGCAACATTTGTAAATAAACCAAGACACGTAAATCTATCCAGTTCAACATGCTATAAACACAAAAAGACTGAAGCAAATTATTTACATAATAAGCACTGTGATATCTTCACCCAAATCGAATCCACACAACAAACGATATGTTTCTTTAAGCCTTTAGGAAATTGCTTCGTTTTTCATTACAACGCGCTCCAGGCGGATGTCGGGTAGCTTTGCGAAAAAACTAATATCCCATTTATATTACCTCCTCCATATCTATATATATAAGTCAGCGGCTCTCAATCTATAGTCAACGACCCCACTTAAACTTTTGAAATTTTAGTTAAGGCTACACCAAAGCAAAGTAGTAATAAACCTATGCGCTATTCGAGATAAAGCGGAGCAACCAAAGAGAGGTCTGCTCAATTAATTAAATTGGTTTTGCAGATAATTGTAATCACTACTAAAGATATTACTTTTGCGAAGATGACTAAAACCTTTCCTAAGGAGATCAGTCGATAGTTTTTGCTAGTAAAATTAACAGGTTTATCAAAGCTAACGGTATTATACGTAGGTATATAAAAGGTTTAATTACTTCTAAGTTTGAAACTGAAAAATAAGAATTCATACCACATAATATTCTCATTTTATATTTATCTCTTTTCTTCTCTTAGATACACCCTATTAATATTTAAATTGATTTTTTAATAAAATAAAAACATCGACTGTTGAGAAACAGTGTTTTAAAACATATATGTATATTTATATATCGAATAGGGTGGGTTCACTGGTGGGTAGATAGGGTATATCGGTTTATTTATATGGAGAATGCGTACGGAGGGCACAACGCCCCTCCTCCGAGCCATACGGGGTTGCGATAGAGGCCGAGAGGAGGGGTGTTTTCCACCCTCTCCCTCTAATCAGCTCTAATCACCATATCAAACGACGCACGCTTTCATTCCCGTTGACAACACACAGATTAGGGGCGCGTATATTTTGTCCATTGTTTTGTCACTATATATTATACATCTAAATACATAGTAACAAGAGTACTAAATTAGATTAGTAATTGGATTATGGATACTAAGATAGGGGTTTTTCATAGCTGAGGTGGCTTGCACTCACATACAAGTAGTCCGCCTTATGGTAAGCGATCATGGTAAGCTATGTCAGGTTCCATTCATTACCCTGCTTGAAACCATTTTGCTTACATAGAATGTGCAAATTTTCATAGTACAGTTAACCACATTGGTGATACAACGAAAAAACGTACTTTCTCGTCTCCAGGATAATACGTTGCATGCAAAAATGTCTTAAAGATTTAGGCGGTCACTTACTTGTATGATTAAGAATACTTATTCTAGCCAGGGGCCTCAGAGTAAGAGTAGTATTCCATAAATTATAATAGGGATAAATACAATACTTCTTGAATAAATTTGGCGAAAATTCCTATTGTAAAATAAAATGCAATGTTTATACTCGTAAATACAAACATTAATATTATTCAATTTAATTTAAATGCTCAAACGCAAACTCTCACTCTTATTTCATAAAATAATTAAAATTGTTTGAAATCTTCTTTTGTGTAGACTCTAAAGTCATAGATCAACACACACAATAGCATCAATCTCTGTTTTGTCAAATAGTAAGCAAATAAATTTAATCAAAATTAAACTTATAAAAAATCTATGATATGCCTGTGCCGATTTACAACCGCCATTCTACAGCCGATCTACAATCGCATTTTTTTTAAACAGGTGTGGTTTCAAAACCGTCGTGCAAAGTATCGCAAACAAGAAAAGCAGCTACAGAAGGCCTTGGCGCCAGCAGTGCTTCCCGGCTGCAATGGCATGATGCGTAATATTCAAGGATATAGAGGATACCAACCGTATCCGCACCCGAACACTATTAATCGATATCCGCAGGTGAGTTTTGGATTTTTAATAGTGCTTATGAGGTCTTAAAACACGCGTAAAGCAAACGAATATTAACCATTGTTCTGACTTTTTATGAAGATTTAGAAGAGAGAAGCTGCTATAATAGTTTATTCGTCGGTTAATTCTACAAAGTTTTTTATGGTACAATATTTCTGTGATATTGCAAAAGATATGTTCTAGAAATGCGCATAGTGTTGTAGGATCAGTCTCTACATAACACAATTAGTTTCCAAGTTCATAAGTGTTTCTGTAACAAAAAAAAACATTGGTACTACGGGAGTGCCGACCGAAGTTAAAAAAAATTAATAATTTGTTTTTATTGATTCGAAAAACTCCGACATGAATATAATATCTATTTATCATAATTAGTTAAATTATCAATGTATTTCAAGCCAAATTCAACTCTCGTGTAAACGGGGCCAATATATGTAGATACTTACGAGTATATACAGAGGTGTTGGTAGCGGTAGCGGTTCAATGGTTTTTTTCCCATCTCAAAAAATACATTCTTTTGTTTGTTGTTCAAGCCCCCCGTGTATAAAGAAGTTTTCACTTCAAAAAATACTGCAATAATGATTACCAACCACCGAAATACATAAGGATTTCTTAGCGAAAAACCTCATGGTCAGCCTGCTAAGAAGCGATAAAGAGCATTTTTAGTCTTGTATGGACTTTTTTCAATGTTGTAACATATATAATAGGCTTTAAAAAATCTTATTTTGAACCTTTACAAAAATACATATAATGTTATTCAATACATATATAAACTATATCAGTGAAACCTATTATAAACCTAAACATGCTTAAAGAGTCATTGCTACGAGTATGGTTAACTAAAAAGTGCGTCCATAGCTCGTTCATTGTGACCACAATTTGTTCGCTCATTACCATAAGCGATAATCAATCGCTGTGATTACACAATAATGCGATTGGAACATTGAACCGTGCAGCCGGAAAATAATGCAAATCCTACCCGGTCTATGGAATAATTCAGGAGCTAGGTTCAGGAATTTGGCACTGAATTCTGTAGGAAGTTTTAATTGAAATTGTTAGCATTGTGTCTACCGGTGTATAATGAACACTGCTGTACAGCATCGCTACGACGATGTAGCGAAGCATGCAGACTGTAGATGTGTTTGATGCATACATTGGTCTTTATGAATAATTTGTTCATTTCTCACAAAAATAAAATGAATTAACAGAAATATGGTCGCTTTATTTCATAACTATGTAACGTATTTCTTGCATAAAGGAATATATTTTGTGCTTAGTATGTATGTGTATACACGTATAGTTATCGTCTTTGTATTATTAGCTAGTATTAAAAAGTGTTATGTATGTATAACGTAGTGTCTAATTAATGTATTGCAGCGGATAGATAAATATCATGCGTATTAATTCCGCCTCGTACCTATGCTTCGTACGCATAAAAATAAAGAACATAAAAAAACAAGGAAGCTAAAAAAAGTTTATTTTTGAGTGATGATGATGAGTTTTTTATATTTAAAGAAAGAGTGCCAGTGGTAGACATCATGAGAGTGAAAAGTGGCTTATCAACAAGTATGTAGAAATCGCAGTTAGAAAAGTTGCCCAAGAACTGGATTGCAATTAAAGTTAATGATCAGACCAAAAACTCGTATTAAGCAATATTACTATATTAAGAAATTTACTAGTGATTCATCACATCACATCAACAGCCTATAGTAGTCCACTGCTGGACATAGGCCTCTCCTTAGAAAGGAGGTTTTGGCCTACTATACCTCGCTGGCCAGACGGGTTGGTATAGGGTTTGTTTCAAGTTTTCCTTCTCTTTGCAGTGCTGTTGTCCTGCTTAGTTTGCTCCCTTAGTCGGCTCTTACGAGACCCACGTGATGAATTGGGGTGGTGACAATTTGTATTCTTAATCCGTCACCACACGGATTAACCACTAAGAAATGTAATTATACAAAACTACCAAAGAACATTCAGATTTCAAATAAATACACCAACACAACAGTAGGCGTTAAAGCACTAACCATGGTTCTGCACGCTCGGTGAACTAACGTAATTTCGTACCGCTATCCCATTATCGAAAGTGTTAATCGGTATAAAATATAAAGCCACGGATTCATTTACGCGATTAACATAAAACAGGGCGGGAAAAATCATTATGTTTCCGACCGTCGCGTTGCCGCGTCGCCTGCGTGCCGGTAATGCGATCATGAGGTTTCGCAATCAGACGATAGTTAGTTTTTTGCTCTGCGGCTTTAAAAAATACGCCGTTTTGGAACATTAATTAATGGAAACTATATCAAATGGTTTGTTGATTATAATGTATGGGTAGAAAATATTTACAGTAAGGCGAGAGATGCACAATAGTACAGATACAGGATCATGATCTCAATAAAGTTAGCATATATATATTGTTAAATTAAAAGAGAATAACACAATAAGAAAAACCATCGTTGTAACTACAATATATACTATCATGTAAAAAATACTCAAGAAATCATTGCTATTTATTTCTTTTATATTTTAAAATATGATTTTATTACACAGCATCACGGCAGCTACGAGGAACTGCAAAAGGATATATTCTCGCTATCACAGATGGGAGGCAGCTCTTACCCCATGCCCCAGGGCTTCTCTATGGGGCATAGCGCAAACATGAGCGCTGTTGGCATGCGGCAGGATACTATGGGTAAATATTTTGCCATTTGTTTATTATTATTCAAATTATACCCAACCTCAACTTTCAGGAACCTACACTATAAACCTTAAACCTCTATTATCTACGAGTAAGAATATTATATACTATCATAAGTGAAATTATTAATAAACTATTTACATTTTAAATGGAACTACTCAGTTATTAGGCTTTTAATATAAGCTTTTTTAAATTAGACTAATAGGCAATACCTTGTCATAGTAAAACTTATTCATATTTAAGTTATTTAGACGTTACCAGAAGTTTTGTCATTTTTTTAATTATAAATACGCACAGAATCTTTTTTGTGATCTTACACTGAAAAGTGATCTAATCGGAGTCAAACAGATTACAATCACATGGTGTCTTTAAAATCAGAATATATCTAAAAAACTTGTCTTTTAGAGCTGTAATCCTCCCAAAATGAACATGGGTATTAAATCTCTGATACACTAATTTAGCAAAATAAAATCAATAATAATGACATATTACACTAATCTTGAATTTTAAATATTTGAAATTATTGAAAATTAAAGTGACAGATATCCCCACTTAATTGGTACTTTTACATAGTTTTGTTTGCAATTCACCTTTCACTTACAACACTTTTACAATAAATACCAAAAAAAATCTAGTTACCACATTTTTTAGGTTTTTCTAAATGAAACAAAAAGACACAAAAAATGTAAAGAAACAAAATCCCTTAAAAATTTCCTCACGAAAATATGAACGTTAAACATATTTTCATATTATAAATTAAGCTAAGGTACAGAACTAAAATGTAAGTTGGTATCGTAAAACAAAAAGCGGTGGCGGGCGGCAGCTTTCATCAAGTTTCTATTAGAGCCGTCAAGGCAATTATAAAGTTGGCTGGAGCGAAGATGATCGCACTGCCTCGTTTTTATACAAATATCCCTTGTAATAATGGGAAAACTTGCGAACACTCCACAGCCGCGCAGTTCCGACGGATAACCGTAAAAGAAAGAATCTCTATTAAAAATTTAATAATATTATTCTACCACAAGCTGTCAGGTTTATGCGGATGATCAGTTATTAATTAAATTTGATTTAATGATCTTAAACATTAGATTTACAAATAATATAATTTATTGATACGTACTAAGTTAAGAACGCGAAAATCGATTTTATGCTAATTTCTACAATGTCTACATAATATATTGGATAACTAATGGGTACGTATTTTGGTAGCTCCATCGTATTTCTAGGCATTTGCTAAAAAAAAATACTATTTTTTATGCAATAACATGCATTCGAGCTAATGCATATTAATTTTCTACATACACTGACTTCCTTCTCTTAAGAAAAAAACATATACAGAATTATCCAAAGTTGCCATATTGAAGCTGAAATTAGGTGAAGGCACAACAAGCAAATTCTGTTGAGAGGCAGAAAAAACAGGTCCTGTGGCCTAACAAGACCATACTAAAGTATCAACACAGGGTAGTAAGTAGTGCCTGTCATACAACTGCAGAATACATAAAAAATCACTACACATCCTAATCTGACAGGCTTAACTAATTAAGCTTAATACTAATAAGTCGAACTAACTACCTAACTAACTTTCTACTATACTAATATAGGGAACTTAAAAGCAAGAGTGCGCCACAAAAAAAAGGTCTTACTTGGTCGAAATATGTAACTGTAGGTAAATATATAATGATAATTATAAATCGAAACAATTGTTACACTTTTCCTTATATTACAAACGCCAAGTAAATTGTTTTACGTTCTCTATTCCAGTGTAATGAGAATCCGACTGGCTTAGCTTAACCGGCCAAATATGTAAATGCTTTGAACTAAAATAACATATTTCTGATTGGCTGAAACTTAAGACATGATGCCGGAGATTATTCATTAGATACTCAACTCAAGACGTCGTAATGTAAACTAATTCCTAAAATTAACTGTGCAGTCTCCACACCTATGATATTACATTAATAATTGATATTTATTCGTCAAACGCAAAACAATATCTGAGAAATATAAACAACAAAACATCGTTACAAACCGCAACCGTATATTCAAAAAAATTCAAATTTCAGAGATTACGTCAATATTCATAATCCATTTATACTAAAAGTAAAAAAAATTTACAAACCCTTTTTTTCTGTGCGGAACTCCCTTCGGATACCACATAGGGTGGTTACGTCGGACTCGAACCGACCAAAAACCGCACGCCGTCTTCAGGTATCAGTAGCCGGGTAATCAGGTATACCCTAGAAAGGAAAACCCTGGTACCTCGACCTACCTCGGGCCATCTACGTCTTACAGATGACCCTCTCCTGTGTGGGAACCCCGATATTCGCTTCCTGCCCCTGAAGGGCGTTCGCGCTAAGCAGCGCGTTGCGCCCTAACCCACCCAAGTCTGCTTTTGCTAGGGCGATAGATGGCCTTACCTGTCACCTTCAGGAACGAACTTGAAATGGAGAACGGAGGTCGTTCTGCCACCACGTACAATGGCGGCAATCATGTTACCGAGCGAGAGAATGCCCACTTCGATGGCCGCCACGAGTCCACGCCACTCCGGGCATTCTGCTAGTGGGTGGAGCGCCGTGTCCACGGTTCGGCCATCCCATTGGTGGCACTCAAGCTTTAGCTTCTTGCAGCAGCCGGTATGAGAGGGTCCCGTTATGCCTCTCGAGCCAATCCTTCATCACAACCAGCCCTAGTACACGCCGCGTGTTCTTATTGTCATCACCTAAATGTAACTTAAAGTCAATAAAGTTTTTGCCGTCTTCCACTCTTATATTCTTGGAACGCCGAACAAATTTCAATTTTAGCTTATAGGCATTGTTGTGCATCCACGCTTTCACCAATGCATGACATTAGATATTCAGAGGAAAAGCTACCAAAGGATTTTATGTCGAGCTTAAGTAAAGCTTATATATTTATAAATTGTAAACTTTTACAGGCATAATAAAATATAAATAAACTAACATTGAAGTATGCAGCAGCAAACGTTGAATAAAATGTTGTCCAACTAACAGAGCTATCAAGTTAAAAATATGTCAAATCAGTAAGAGTTCCTAAAAATGTTGTTCATTAAAGTTTACCAATAAATAACACTCTTGCATTCAAGTTTGACATTAATTTTGCATTATAATTAAACAGCTTTGTCAAGTGATACGGTGATCAAATCTAAGCAAATCTTTACACAAGTAATTGGATATTTAGCAAATGTTCATAAAACGTTGACAACAGCCCTGATATTACGCTATACTAGCACACATTAGCAAATTAATTTACATGATTACACAGATATTTATATTAACTCAAATTTATTTTTATGCAATCGACCGATAGAAAATCCAAGTAGGATGTTCTCTTCTCTAAGTAAAATGTACTGAAATGAAAGGCATTTCTATCGAAATACTATTTAATACATTTTACTTTAAAAAAAAGATACGAAAAAGCTGCGACGCGATAAACCGTGTAATACGAGGCGGCCGCGGGCGCAAAGATTCCTGCGTAAGAAAAAACGAGCAAGTAATGGAACTGAGGCATCGTACCGTAGATATTCTAATAAGAAAATTTCCACTACATTTACTTTGGCAGGCGTCCTCGCGGCGTCTTGGCAAATATCTTATTTCCTGCGGCGAGATTGCATCTTGAGAAAACGCGAGGGTCGATTCAGTACCTCACTATTCGCTTCCCCGCCCTACTATATCAAATTGATATAGCTACGGTACATGCTACGAGACAGGCGAACGTACGCACTTGCTACAAACTCTCGCAGACTCTTTACAGTTGCCAAGCGATCTAACCCGATATAAATATAATACCTTATTGACAACAATGTTTTTTGTATCTGTTTTTTTCGCTTTTAAGTATAATTTAGGTCAGCATCAGTATTTGTTTCAGTAATGAAAGAAAGTAGGACATAAATGCATGAACATAATATACTAGCGATCCGCCCCGGCTTCGCACGGGTGCAATGTAGATTACTAATACTACTAATGTGGTACCAGTGAGAAGTAATTAATTATACTATTATTATGATAAGATTATACTATAGGACATATTTATAATATGCAATATTTACAGGCCCGCTTCGATCCTCCCGGCCACTACCATTCGGGATAGACGTACGGCCTAATGCGGCGACACAGCCGTTTTGCCCCGCATTTCAAATCTCTAATATCTAACAAGATATTCCTTTTATTTATATACTGGGCGAGGCAATTTTGATCTCCATTAAATGCACAACGTACCTAACGTATTTATTTGGATAAGGAATAATAATGTATTGTTTAGAATAGCTTTGTAAATAACCCCTTATTTCTTGTAACATTTAAAAGATAAGAATGATTTTGTGGGTTATCCTTAGGAGATATACCATCGCAAACTTTTTGTAGATGTTTTTAAAATATATAATTCCGTAGTACATTATTTTATTTTATTATTTTTATTTTCTATCTCTTAAGGTTTAGACAGCGTTTGCAATGTAAGCGCACCAAAACATGTTTTTGACGACTTCATTTTACAAATCTTTGCAATTCTCAGATTTATTCTAATACAAGTACATGCATATTCTCAGAATATGCATGTACTTGTATTATACATATAACTCGCCTCTTGAATTACTGTCTCTCTCTCTCTCGCTCTGTTGATGAAGCCCGCATTGAAATCCGTTGTGTAGTTTGTAATATCTAAGCGTACAAGAATAAAAAGCGACTTTTATTCATACATCGACATCGATTAAGCGACTTTATACATACAAAGATATATGGAATATACACATAATTTTATCAGGGCATTTTTTATTACGGGTAGTTGTTGAGTTTAGTATGCTAGTATCGTGAGCACACATATCACCACTATTCATGGTGGCCCCTTTAACTAAGCTGAGTGCTTGTGTAAGCAGTGGGTTTACGTTAGGGTTTGAACAATTTCATAACTAAAACTCAATAACTACATCGTCAGTACGTTAGCAATATAATATAAAAAGTATATTAAGTACAATGTAAAGTCTAGTAAATATGTAGGTACGTATAGTAGGTAAGATAGTTTGAGTGTGCGTTTATAGAGCTATATCGACTTATTTTTTAGCTAAATAGCAGGATTAGTTCTTGACTAATCACATATAAATAACAGTTCAAACTATTTTTTAAAGATAAGATTCGTTTACCAAATTATTATTATATACAGTCATAATAAATACCTTAACTATCACTGTCTCATTGTACGTGTTGTCCACAGGCATGAGCGCCGAAGACGAATGGTACAACAAGTCTTTATCAGCGCTGAGGATGAACAGCGGCCACCACGCAAATCTGGCAGCCGCGCCAATGTTGCAGTACCAGACCTAATCGTTGCTACACGGCGCCGATTACTCGCCGGCGCCGGCGCACGACTACGCACCGCCGTAGTCGCAGCGCAATGTATCTCCAAATACAGCGGCTTGTGGAAACGGCGCTTTACCATATTTGTTACATTCCAACCACAATATGTTGGAAAGCCTTGCAATTTTACAAGGCTAAGGTTAATTTGAAATCAAACGTAGGTACTGATTACCCGACTGTAAGTGGTATTTCTCCAGTTAACTGAAACAATCTAATGAATAACTTCTTAATTATTGTACCAAACTTATTCGAATTATTATCCGAAGACAAACTAACTAAAAATATGAATCAATATGGCTTAATCTATGAAGATCATTTTTAGATCTACGGCTTGTTATAGCTAAAACTTCATACATTAGAATGGCAGGATTGTTTTCTTTACATTATCGCTTTTATTCTCACAATAGGTTAATAATTTTAGCCATTTTATTAAGTTTAATAATATATACAGTTTTGTTATAAGCAGTTTGAACTAAAATACGTGTAATAACTAAGAGAAGTTACAAGAATATGGTGCGTCAGTTTCCATATAGTAAAAAGAAAAAAATATTCTATCAGAATTTGAAACTTCACAAATGGTACGGCTTCAAAATTCTATCAATTTAAGCGGTCACGTCGCTATGAAGATACGAGTTTAGATATTATATATAGGTACAAATAGTGTTATTATTTAAATTTAAAAGACGTTTGGTTAAAAAAATATGCGTAAATTGTGTATGCTAGTCATATTGTACAGATATATTTTAAATTAATGAGTAACGTATTTCATAATTGTTGTATTAATTGAAATAAATGGATCGTCTTTATATCTCTGATAGCTCTGTTCTATTTATATTTTCATTTGTTCACTAATAACATCTATTGTCTAAACACATAATACTAAGTCATTAGAGGTTTCATATCTACACCTCTCTGAATAATGTACAGAAACTACGAGACAAAGTCGTTTAATGTTTCGTAAGCACAACCTAGTCAAGTAAGTTAGGAAACTTAAGAAACTGTATTACATATTAAATGTGTCCAATATTAGTCGAATGCTCCAAAATATATAATGGACATGTGTATTCAATAAACTAGCTTATTGCAGTGTTTTTTTTTTGTTTAAGGCATCGGGGTTTTAGGTGGTCACTCACCATTACACAGTTAAGCTATTGTCATTTGCGTAAAAGTCTAAGATCTTTTAAGAGCCGCATAATCACCTGAGGAAACCACGGTTAGGGACATATCTCATTGTAATCTTCAGCATAATTCGTATAAATTATTTCGTTTTAAAGTTTTAAGATGAATCAAATGACACAATTTGTAATGGTGGCAGTGGTGGAAAGCGGATAATATGTACAAATCCTCAGAGCAGGATACCTTCGAACAGGAGATAGAATACTCAAGCGGGCTTTTCTTCTATGTCTATAACTGTTGTATCCTACAATTCGATGCAGACCTTTCGGTAAGATAAAGAAAAATTATCTATGAAAATATTCATGAGATCTTATGATAATTCCATAAAGAAATTACCCTTTATAAATTTTACAAATCTCAATGTATATTATGTAGATACGCCGTCTCAAAGGAGAGATACGATTCATTTAAGCCAATATAAATTTGTTCCAATTATTTTAATGTGTTGAGCGAGCTTCTTTGTTTATTTGTAACGGATCTGAGATTGGGTTTTAGTTGTTAACTGTACCGGGTTTGTTTCCGATCATCCAATAGCGCATATTTATGTAACGTATCTGAAATATACTACACTTATATACACCAAACTTATAATTTAATATCTATTGTTCCAAAAATACAATCAAATTTGTCCATATCACTTTAAAAACATACTTATCAATGCCTGCAAAAGATTTTGGATATGTAGGATAGGTCTATCTTGGAGTGGGTTGTTTATTAAAAATAGAGCTATCACAGAATAAAGTGTAATACCATTGAAATACAGCCTGTGTAAATATAAATTGTTTTGCATGATCATTTCCTAAGGTGTTACCAGCCAACGATATTGTAACATTAAATAAATATTGTTTAGTCAAATATAATAAATAAGAGGCCAATTCCATTACATTTTAACAGAATAAAGCTAAAGTTTGCTAGTCAATAATTATTACCCATTTATCAAACAATTTGATCTCTGGTACAGATTACATACATCTGTTTTTCTCAACTTGGAGAACCAGGCATTCTTATGAGAAATTTTCGGAACATTTATTTTCTTAGTGATTCTTATTTTGTATATCTAAGAGGGCACTTACAGAATAGGAGACGGCTTCCCACAGCTGACAATAAGAGAAAATTATACATAATAATGAAAAACTCATTTTAACGACAGGTAAAAGACACGGCCATTTGTATGTCCGTTCTTAAGTAACGCAGTGTGAACCTTTTCAACAGAAGCATATGTCAATTCTCTGAAGTGAAACAGATGTACGTAAACGGGTCATATAGTGAAGTAATTATAGGAATAAATAAAATGAGAATAATTAAAATTATTTCGGTATTTGTACAAAAACAAAATCATATCAATTAAGACTGTTTCGAAGGATTTTCATTCCCAGTCATGGCCGTACTGTGCATTTTAATGTAAATATAATATGTAAGAGAACTTGTCTAAATAATAAACATGTGTAAAATGAAATAAATTGTCTAAAATGTAGAGTTGAATTTTATTTTTTTAGGCATAAGTAACACTGCAACATAAAGTACTTACATTTTTTATAATCTATAAATGTTACAATAGAAAAAAAACATCCTCTCAGGCATTACTGTAGCTGTACCAGCTGTAGCATTGTTGTTTCTACATTATGTCACGAAACTAAGAAACCAAATTTGTTCCATAACATAAATATGTTCTATGGCCATTCTACCAAATCTCAGCTAATTAAATTACAATCAATAACAAATAACTATTAAATAATTTACTAATAACGTCGACGCCTCATAGACGCATCATGAGCTTTAAGTACCTCTTTGGATCAAGATACTCTTAGATCAAATTACAATAAAAGTTCTGACAATAACGTTAATATCAAAAGTTGTAGTTTCTGAAATTTATTCTAACTACATCTTTCTAGTCGTCGTATTGAAAATCAGGTTTAGGGGCCGCATAATGCGGGTTGCAGACGCTATTCCTGTCCAGATATTTAGCCAGATGAGCAGATATTATACGTTCACCTGACAATCGTTTCCAGATCTTCAAAGCGTCTTTATGCCGCTTATTGTCTTGACCACATTCCTGCAGAATAAAAAATATTATATTGTTTTAATGGTGTGTAATGAGAGGACAGCTAAGAACTAAACATAATAGGACGTAGGTATATAATAAGATTACATAATGAAATAACTGGGTCAAAAAAAAAAGAAACTAGACCCAAAGAACCCGTAATAAATCCAGCTTGGTTTGACGTTGCATCTAGTAACCGACCGAAGGTTCGATTATGATTTCGGCCAGTTTCGGCCGAAAAATCTAGTTTCTGTTCGAGTTTCTGTTCGAGTTTCAGCCAAAATTGGCCAAAACTTACGGCCGCACCGAAACTCAGTATTCGTAAAGCGCCGTTCGGTTAACTTCGCGGCTAACTCGTGGAGACCGACTCTGATTCAGTTCACCGCCGTTCAGTATGATCTTTTTTATGGTATTTGGGGGGGTCCAATAATGGGGGGTAAGCGAGCAGGCGGGTCCAATGATGGTAAGTGACTGCCGCCGCCCATGGACACCTGCAACTTAAGAGTCACTAGTGCATTGGCATCCTTTCAGTCCCTCCCCCCAGAATCAGGAGCAAGGGGTGGGTTTTAGCTCCGGTAACCTCTCTCACTCGGTAAAAAGCAATGAAGGAACTGATTTTTGTGGTGTGACACAGATGTATCAAGAACCTATCTAGTTACTTTAAGTGAATTTCTAGTACTTAATATACCTACCTACGTATTTTTTTTGTCTAACAACCTAAATACATTTTCTCATGCTTAGAAATAATTCCATGTGGTATAAGCAGATAAACAGCTGAATAAATACACTAAATTTTAGTATTTAATGTAAATTTTATGTGATAGTTTGAGTTTCAGTTTCGGTTACAGTGTCGGTTTTGGCTGAAATACCTGTTTTGGTCGGGTACTAGTTGCAGCATCAAAATATTACGTACTTGTCAGTTATGGGCGATTTTTGTGGAAATAACGAGTAAAAAAATTCTTGTTGTGGAGCATCTATCGAATATAACAGTCTGAAACCTATTTTCACTATATTTAAACAATATTTAAACGAAGCGTACATATTCTCTACTAGTCCACCATTGGCCCAGAAAACAAGAAGTAGAACATTATCGAACCATTCTAAATATAATATCTTTAAACATATTTTTGCTATTGTTGCTAAACCTAAATGTAATAAATAAAGGTAAGTATAATAATGTCAGTATCATTCCTATTAATCTGATTAGCTATGATACTGTATTAAACACATTAAATAAAGGTTGCAAGTCGTCTATGTACATGTCATTGCCAAGTATCTTTACAAGGCAAAGAAATGAAAAACAAAATGAAAAAATAATTGATACTAGTTTTGTCTCTTGTTAAAACTGGTATCAATTATTTTTTTCGTTAACAATAAACTATAAAATTAGCAATAAATAAATTTCATCATGATCATCATCAACAGCCTCTAATAGTCCTCTGATGGACACAGGCCTCTCCTAAGAAAGAGGTTTTGGCCGTCTGGCCAAGCCAAACCACGCTGGCCAAACGTATTGTTATAGGGTTTGTGCCAAGTAATCCTTCTCTTCGTAGTGCTGTTGTCCTGCGCCTTGTTAGTTCCCTTCGTTAGGTCTCTTCGTAGTTTGCTCCCTTAGCCGGCTCTTACGACACCCACGGGATAAATAAGGGTAGTGACATTCCGTATCCGGACGTTAACTTACTTATTCAAAAGTATTAGAGATTCTAAATAACATATTTTATTTTAGTAATACATTTATTACTAAAATAAAATATTCGGTACATACCGGCTGGCTCTGTGGAATCTACATAGTGTAAATACATTGTGAAATGATAGTTTAAGTATTACGCACCTCTGGAATATCAACCGGGCAACCTTTACATCCTTCCTTTACATCCTGTAAAACGTAAACATGATTTATTTAAAATGACTGGTGTTACGTGGAGGAGAATGACTTACATTTGGAAAAGGTGGCAAGCTCTAGGGGAGGCCTTTGCGGCAAAACGGTAGTGATGGATTAATTAGTCTTCACACTCATATTTAATTGTGAATTCTTAATTAGCAGTTACCAAATTAATTGAAACAGACAGTCTCCAAGCTGCAAGAGCTGGGGTTGGAAGCTCTCCCTCATCGGTCATACTCACCAGACCATGCACCTACCGACTATTACTTTTTCCAAAATTTAGACAACTTTTTAGTGGGTAAAAAATTCAATTCCCGAGAGGCAGTACAAAATGCCTTTGAAGAGTTTGTTGCCTCCCGTCCAGCTGATTTTTACAAGAAGGGCATCAATAAACTGCCAATGCGTTGGCAAAGATGCGTCGATTGCATGGGTGATTACTTCGAATAACAGAAATAAAAAAGTTTTAAAAAATAAGTACTTTCACTACTTGCATACAAAACGGCAATTTCATAGGTAAAGACCTATTAGATAGTGGTACTTACTTTTTAATATTATCCGTATCATTTGTTCTTAATAAAAGTATTTGTTTATAGTTAATTACAATTATTATAGATACAGCAACTGTCAGAATCCAAAAATATAAACATACTTATATCATCAACAGCCTTTAACAGGTTTTGGCCTACTACACCACGCTGGCCAGACTATTTGAATTAGGGTTTGTTTCAAGCTGACCTTCTCTTGCAGTGCTGTCGTTTTTCGTAGTTTGCTCCCTTAGTCATCTTTTAATACACCCATTATATGAATAGGGGTGATTACACTCCATATTCTTAATCCGTCACTACACGGTTGGTACTTATATAATGTATTACAATCTTTGTGGACGCTGAATAGTTAATTTTTTGTGACTATCATAGTATTCATATTTTCAGTAATTTTAAATGTTACTTAATTGATAATTAATTATTTCGACAAGGCCACGTCGTCATGCCTCAATGCACTTCCTGGATTTCGGTCGGGAAGAAGATACACAACGGTGATCTGTGACCGCGAGATTGGGATGGAAAGAAAAGTTATATGTATGCAATGCCTTAGCTTAAATACTTACCATAGGGCTGGCTTTTGCAATGAGTCTCTCAAACACAGGACGGAAAGTGCCTTCGTTGAAATCCTATAAAAGAAAATGAAATAATCAAATCACGCGATATAACAAAACTTTATTTGCATTTTAAGTTTACTTGTTAGACATATATCTTTTATTAAGTTACACTTACATAATAGGTGATTCGACAATTGGCATCAACCGGGCACATAGATTTCTAAATAAACATACTAATAATTATTATTTTTCAATCATCATCTCAGCCGAAAGAGAGTCCACTGCTGGACATAGGCCTCACCCAAAGTTCGCCGCAACAACCGGTCCTGTGCTACGCGGTAATATTCTATAACCCCGTTAGGTAATATTCTATTTATACTTAATGAATGATTCTTACTATATACATATTAATAATAATACCATATATATATATAGATTAATAATAACAAATAATAAATATTTCGGACATCTGACATATTTAGTTTCAAGCTTTCTCGCACAAGCAATCTGTGGAACGAGCTATCGTTTGTGGTATTTCCGGACCGACACGACCTTCAAACCATCAAGAAAAGATCGTACTCCTTCCTAAAAGTCCGGCAACGCGTTTGTGACTCCTGAGTTGCAGACGCTCATGGGCGACGATGGTCACTTTCTGTCAGGTGAACCGTCTGCTCGTCTGACCCCTCTAACATAAAAAAAAAAACTAAGCAGAAAAGCAGTTTTTTTTGGCTGGCCTTTAGGAAGGAGTACTTTTGTTACTACTATGAAAGTTAGATTGACTGATAGAATAACTGTAAACTTTTTTTATAAATAACATATTATACATAGAAAACACCCAAACTCCGAAACAAATATTTGCAGATCATACAAACGCATACGCATACGGTACCACTGCACCACCGAGGTCAATCATAGATAGCACCTACATAAAATATAATCTAAGGAATAACGGTTACAGAATATTTTCTTGAGAACTAATGGTAACTAGAATATTAATAACATCTACTAAAAGTGTATTACTTTTTTTAAGAAACCATAATCTTTGTAGAAAATGCATAAGTGCGTATTTTCACAATTTGTTCACATCTATTATTAGTGCGTTTGTTCTCGGTCACTTTGGTTCTTAGTCAATGCAAAAAAACATACCTTATTCAGATTGCTTTCATAATCCGACGACATCGACGAACTCGCGCACGAACTTTTTGTTGCATTTAGATCGGCGTAAGATATGAACTTCGATTTCGTTAATTCGCTGACCTGAAATTATTATAAGATACATAAAATTCAAACCATACGTTTTTTTGTTAAACAAAAAGACAAGCCCGGATACAAAATATCACATTTAGTCAACTAAACAGTTACTAAATGTACTCCATCACAGTCAAAATCAACTACACTAAACTAAAGATAATAAGAGGAACACTATTTTTAATTGGTAGTAATATACCGTAAGAAAGTTTTGAGAAAATGCTCCGACGGTGAATGAAATTGACTTGATTGGTGTCTTAAATCAACTCGATCAAAAAACAAATCAACGCGCAACCTTCACAAATGACATTTACCTTTAATGATAATGTTATATATAATTTACTTAAAATCGTATACAAACTAAAACTCCTTAATTATAGAATATATCCTATGTTGTCCGTAGCTTCGCTGGCGTAACAGTTATTTTTCAATCCCGTTCAGACCTTGGTCTTTTTTATTTAAAGGTAACATGCAAATGCATGCAAATTTTTGTGAACAACTATCAATCGTCAAACCTGACTCTTCTGCCCTGAAAATATTTTATGTATTTCCGATAGACTAGCTTACCTATACCTAACAGTTATTGTTTCTCATTTGCATCTAACGCCATCTATTGAAAATTTATAAAAATAAAAAATATCATCGGGTTCCGAACATGTTTCTAAACCTCGCACGGTACAGGTTGTTTCTTTTAATATTCTATCATCGTTCACAGATGGTGCTACTCGTATTATAACTAGAAATCCGACCCGAAACACTTTATTAATTATTTCAGTTCCTGAATATGCCTTCCTAGTTCTTTAAAACAAGTGTCGCCCATTATATTACCTACAATAATATCTTTTTTTTGTAAGATGACAGGGACAGCATGTTTTCATGCCACGGGTTTTTTCGTTCTCACATACCTATTTATGTATAAATCATATCTTACCGTGTATACATCCTGCTCATTGATAGCTTCGACGAGGTCTTCGAAAGTCTCTTGGTATAGTGCCGACATCCACGGCTGAGTGAAGTACTCATAAAAGTCTTTTATTTCACCTCTCTGTTTTTCCAAAAAAAAACGAAAAATAATCAAAAAATATATATTTGTTTGAACAGTTCGTATTCTATCCAATCTTTCATCAATCAGCGTATCATCAGCCTTTAATGGTCTACTGCTGGACATAGGCCTTTCCTTAGAAAGTAGGTTTTTGCATACTATACCACACTGGCGAGGCGGATTAATATAGGGTTTCTGTCAAGTTTTCCTTTTTTTGCAGTGCTGTTGTCCCGCGTAGTTTGCTCCCTTAGTCGGCTCTTACGACACCCACGGGATAATTAGGGAGCGGTGACATGTCGTATTCTTAATCCGTCACCACACGTGTTTTACTCTTCAACTTATAAAGTCACACTTTAACTTATAAAGGCATTTAAATGTTTAAGAATCTCCAAACTCTGATACGAAAGTATCTGACTGTTATGATTCATATAGACTGTCTTCAATTTTTATCAGTTCATGGTTGGTCCGTCAGAAAACTATAAATAAATACAAACTAGTATCATTATAATTGATTGGTTGTTCACCATGTATCTAGTGAGAAGCTTATTAAAGACAGCTTCGTGCTTCCCAAACAGCTGAGACAGTATTTCGGAGCTAAACGGCTTTTTAGATAAGCAAGTGATCCCTTCAACTATGTGCAGCACGTTTAACTGCAGACGGAAGTAGTTCCCGTTGTGATCAGTAATAAGAGTGTGGCCCTGCAAAAAGTTAATAATTGAAATCGTGACTCTCATCAATTGATAAAGGTATCCTTTTACAAAATTGTTACTCGACCGAGACGAGGAAGGTTACGTCAGAAATTTAACACAGAATAAAAACCTTTGTATGTGTAACTTTATACCTATGATTTTTTCAAAAATATCTCTTACGATACGAGGTAAGTAAAGATGTATTCGCATGTAGATTATTACATGATCATGCCATAATTTTTATTTTTTTTTGGACGAGAAGACGGGTCATCTGATGTAAAGTGACCATCGCCGCCCATGAACGTCTGCAACTCAGAAGTCATCAACGCGTTGCCGGCCCTTCAGAAAGGAGTACGCTCTTTTCTTGAAGGTTTGAAGGTCGTATGGGTCCTTAAATACCGCAGACGATAACTCGTTCCACAGATTGGTTGTGCGGGCCAAAAAGTGTCTCGAAAAGCGCACAGTAGTGGAGCGCCAACTATCCAACTGATCAGGATAAAAATTTTGGGGCTTCAAGTTTTAATATAGACAAGAGATGAAAATTCTGAATAAGCTCGTCATAGCAATCACATACTTGAAAATAAGAAGCAGAACGACTTACCTGGTGAGGCAGAAGTTTTTGTACAGCCATTGGTATTTCTTTGCCACATTTTCTTACCTTCATATAGTACAAAGGCCCAGGTAAAGTCGCTGATAGAACTAACGGGGATTTAAATTTCATCACCGGCTGCCATCTATAGAGCAATACAATCTTAGGTACATAGGCCTTAGGTTAGCTACTATTGTAAGGTACTAAGGCCGCTTTAGTCATTACGGCTAGGTATAAATGTCAAAAAATTACAACTGTCCCTCATCTCTCCTAGATTACAACTGTCCCTCATCCCTCCTAGTAGAAAGGGTTTCTATACGTAAAAAGACGGCCTCTCCTTAGAAAGGTGGTTTATGCCTACTATACCACGTTGGTCAAACGGGTTGGTATAGGGTTTGTTTCAAAATTTTCTTCTCTTTGCAGTGCTGTTATCCTGCGTAATTTGCTCACTTAGTCGGCTCTTACGACACCCACGGGATGAACCGTCACGATACGGACTGTTAGTTCTCGGGCCTAAACTTTGAAGCAAATTAAGTTTAATATTTAATAATTAATAAATATTATATCCCCTGCTATGCCAGCTGACCAATTATCGTCATTTGTGCATATTTTATTTTTCAAAGGACAAAGGAAAAAGATAATAATGTACAGGAATCATGCTGTCGTTAGAGGATTATGACTGTCCGAAAATGGCCAGCTCCAATCACAGTCTGTTTGTAATTAATAATATCTAATAATTACCTTACAGATCTCAAACATGTATGAACTCAAACAAGGCGAACTTGAAGTGTGGTAACCAGACTGCTGATAAACATACTTATGTATTTTTAAATATATATATATTAGATAAATTACATCTAGACACATAACAAATGACCATTCTCACTACACAATTATTTGTTCCCAGTGGGAATCGAATCCACTACCTCTGTATATGCAGGATCACTAACCACTAAACCAACAGGCTCGTTTAATTAGGGCAAAAAGCTCGTCAGAGGTGGACAGAATTATAATCACATAAGTGACTTACCGTCTGAAGGCAGATGATTCATTCCTTAACCGTGTGCAGCTACTCGCAGTCGGACTTGTTACCCTTAAGAATTACAAAACCATTGAACGATCTTACTCTCACAATTTAAACAGCCTTTATTAGAAATTTAAGTTTTCTATGTAACAATTAAGCCTACTTGTACAAAGATCTAGTTATTGACAAACACCTGCAGTTATTTTATTTTCAAGTAATTCTAATATTTAGGTTATTGTTTTGATATTATCTGGTGACTCAATTTAAGTGACAGCTCTACTATTTTAGTAACAAACATAAATGATATTTTATTTATGATTAGACCATTGAAAATACATTTATTAGGTGATTAATATAATAATTTAATAAATATAAATTATACATAAATTTTAATTACCGTACAAATTGTTTAAAGTGTACTCTAACATTGACAAAACACACTTTGAATGAACATATCATAGTGGCTGATTAGAAATTCATATTCATTTATGAGTATATATATAATATCCAACTTACCCCAAAATACTAGAAGTAACAGAGGGCAAAAGGTCAGATGGCGCAATAGTTACAGAATCACCGCGCATCACGAATGGGTCGAGCTTCCGCAGAAACAGCCTTGCTAACTGTAAATTGAGGAAAAACATTCAAAGTCTACGTCAAAATACGTAGGTATTTTTATTAAGCACACAAAAGAAAAAAATATTTGTGACACAATCAAAATTGTAATGAAGCATAGTTATAGCAACACCCATCCCATTGTTTACAACAAACTACATAACTAGTCAATATCATACACCCAAAAAAGACTGGTACATTTTATATACATTTATTTCGAATAAAATTTATGTATATTTATCTATGTCTAGCTGTGGACTGCGATAAGCTGATGATGATGATAATGATGATGATATAGATAGATATATACATAGGCCTCTACTACTGTCCAAATTAATGACTATATGTTGATGTCTGCTGCTTACAATTTTCAAAGCCGTTATACGAATATCGTCCATAGATGACTGGGTATTATTTGTCCCATCCATCCAATTTATTGATATCGATTATAAACTATTTATTTGTCATCATCTAAGAAAAAAACAACGAACTCAAATCGTTCCAATTTAGTGTTTTTTTAATAATACCAAACTTAACTCACGGAGATCACAATAAACGCAGAACCTGTACTATGGCAAAGAGACTGCTGATAAACATACTCAATTTTTATGTCTGTTAATATGTACGTTTTTTTTTAAATACGTCTTGTCCAGGCTATGAATCGAACAGTCGTCACAGTACTAAGGATCACTAGGGACTAGTTCACTAGGCAAGTCTTTTTGGTAACAATGCATAAAAAATTGCAAGCTTGACCTCAAGTAGGCCTTACGGTTCATTACTTTGGGGTATAGGAACTGCTACTACTACTTCTACCATTTAGTAAATAATAATATTACCGCCTCGCCAATATCTTCAGAGCAATAATTCCTATGAAGACCACGAGTGGCATACAATCTTCTAGAATAACTGCAGCAGGTTCCTGCGCCGTATATATGGTGGTCGTTCGTCTCGAATGTTGGACTTACGACCAAACCACCATCATATACGAGACCAGATTCATTTATGGCTGCGGAATATTGGGGAAAGAAGTACCTAATAGAGTAGCTAGAAAAACGGTGAAACAAATCTAGTGAAATCAACACAGGTTACTGATAGTCTTATACGTATCTATCTTCCTGGTGAGAGAAGGTATTATCTGTATCATTATAGAAACTCCTTATCTGCCGTAATTTTTTCTAAACCATTAAGAATTTAAGCAACTCTGTTGCAGGTGTTCAAGCATTAGGGAGCTAGTAAATTATTATAGATGAATTCGATTGACCCTTAGATTTTTGCGCAAAAGGAACGTTTTTAATTCATAGAAATTAGATTTATAAAATTAGAAATAAAAAAAGAGATTTTTTATGTATTGTGTTATTTTGTACTTAGTCCTAGCAACGTTAGAAAACACACGGTATTCTGACAACTTACTAGAACACAAATGTGTAAAATACCTTTAAAAGCATGCATATTAATAGCCTGTAGGCCAAAGTAGAACAATGCAAAACATTTGATCGTAAGCGCGTGCAGAGGCGTCATAAGATTCAGGCTGTCGACGTATTCTCCTTCCATTTTCCATGAATCGAAACGACATTGACGTAATACTTGGATTCCGAGCTGCCCTAGTTTAGCCTGTACTCTTTCATCCACCTAAAATAAACACTCGTAAAATAAAAACGTGCTAGTTGTCAAGATTTCTGATAACTAAGTGTGTTATGGTCATAAGCATTATTGTTTTACACAAGGAAACTCAGATTAACCAAGTAATATGTATGGCCACGGCTCCAAAAGTATCTAACTTCAAAGAAAGCGAGTCCTTTGTACCTTGTGATTTTCAGAAGAAAATGTAAAAACAGAAAACATTGGCCGGTGCACAATACGCCAACGGATGCTACGGACGGGGTCGTCAGAACTCATCGTTGGTAGCTACAACGAGTAAACGCCAAGCCTCACCTGTAGTTACTAACTGACGGTCTAACTGACAGAAGGATCCATCCCTATCTATAAAATTACATATATATACCCTTCAAATATCATTTAATTACTATCGTGAAGCACAAAATCTTTTCATTGTTGTATCTTTAAAAAAAATGTTTTACGCACAGAACATACCGTTTCGTCATTAAAACAATTGACTCTAAGAGCTGTAGGTTCCTCTAAGTCTGGGAACGGCTCCACGAAAACAATAAACTTAGACAGTATTCCCAATTCCAGCAAGGCAGCGATACAACTATACGCTTGTACACAATCCCCGTAAACAACCACCCTGTTTTCTTCGCTAATTTGATAGTCTTCCAGTTCTGTGTTTGATACAATCCTGTTATTAATTAAGTAGTCGTAAGACGTTAAGACTTATAGTACGCGCTATATAACTCTGCGTCAACGAAGTTCGCGCGAGAAGTGCAGCACAATGATATTTTAGGTATCGGAGGGGTAATTTCTGCGCATCGGAAAGAGACGGGGGCCACTTGGACGCCGACGCGTTGCACCGCTGCAAGGTCAGTAGTGCATCTCGCTCTAACACGTTAAGTGACTTATCTGCTTTGCTTAAACGTACTGTTGTGACAATAATCGTTAAAAAAAATCTGTTAATATAATAATAATAATAATCTAACACATTCACACAACGCCATCTAGTCCCAAACTAAGCAGAGCTTGTGCTATGGGTACTAGACAACTGATATAAATACATATATACTTTTTTTTTTAAATACATACATATTATACATAGAAACACCCAGACCAAATCAAACATTAAATGTTTATGCACACAAATGTTTGACTTGAGCGGGAATCGAACCCGCGACCTTTGGAATAGCAGTCCGTTACACAAACCACCACGCCATCCGGTCGTCAATATTGTTATGTGTTTAGTTTATGTAATTGTTTTTTTGATGTTTGTAGGTTGATTCCGATTTACTGAGAACTACTTCAGATTACTATTGATATTATTTTAGTAACTTGCCACTTTAATAGACTAAGTTTTGAACATAATTCTAGAACTGTCTATTCTTTGATAACGTATTCCGTAGTAGTCAGGAGTTGTTATCAAAAGCGTGATATGTATTTTACATTTTTGAAACTATAGTATTTAAAATATTACCGTAATCGTTTGGAAGTAGATACACATATTAGATTTTATATTAATGACAATTCTGAATTTATTTAGTTTGCGAGTGTACCTGCGCAACATTCGGTTTGCAGCCAACTTCATTGACGCAGAGTTATGTGACGCGTGCTATACATTATCATAAAATTAATAGGTTTAACATTAAATAGTTTTTGTATCGCTTTCGAACTTCATCATCATCATCTTACCCTTTTCCGAAATTAATTTCGGGTCGTTGCAATAAGTTATCTTCTTCCATTCTAATCTATTACTTGTCATTTCACTGCTTACTCCAGTTCTAGCCAAGTCGTATTTACGCAGTCCATCTCGCTGTTTCTCTGTCCAGACGGGTTAGTAGTATAGGGTTTGTTTCAAGTTTTCCTTCTCTTTGCAGTGCTGTTGTCCTGCGTAGTTTGCTCTCTTAGCCGACTCATACGACACCCATGGAATGAATAGGGTGGTGACGTCCTGTACTCTTCGAGTATTACGTAGAAAGTTGACGAATGTCAACTTCCTTTTCCTTGACTACATTTTGCTAATCACTACTCACGCATTACATTTAAAAACGTTACCCAAAACTTAAATATCCAATGACACTAACTAATTTCTCTAGTCAATCGCATTAACTTCCCCAAAGTAAGATTAGCTTCATACAAAGAGTTGATAAGGAACACATTGACAGGCAGTTCTGGAGGCGGTGGAACTCTGTCCTCTTGATAGCTCGGATTGTCCATAAGTATTCTATCACACGGCTTGCCTTTTCTAAAAAATAGAAGAATAGTTCTAACTTCCGGAGCGGAAAATCAGCGGTGTTTTTTTTAACCAAAAAATATGTATCCTTTTTCACGATTTCACGAGATAATTATTATTTTTATTTTTAGTGGAGAAATAGGTACTTAAAAGTGTTACATCTGAAATTAAGTCCCACGGTGCTGCCTATCTTAAGTACAGTCAGCAAAGAAGTAAGACGCTGATACATACATACCAGTTAACAAATTAATATTTTCTGTAAAAACGTCAATAAATATTACATTATGCGTCATCTTTATATATATTTTTTTTATTAAAGATTATGTTTTGAATGGTACCACGGTCTCGCAAAACACCTATACTAAGCAATTCTCTTTCATAAGTGGATTAGTTTATCGGAGGTCCAAACCCTTACTCTACTGGTGACGGTGGGCACTTACCATCAGGTGACCCGATCCCCTTTTGCCGTCTAAAAAAGATCTATAAATTATTAGTTAGACTTTCGTTATACAGAATATCAGTGAAGTAATTTCTCCCTAATTTATTCCACTCACTTTACTTCTTTCACGAGATTTAGAGCGTCTTTCAAATATTCCGGATGCTGAAATTGTTCACCACATGTCAACACCAGTTCATCATAGTACTTAGTGCTTCCGTCTTTTAAAAGAATAAATTTTCGTTTCCTGTAAGAAAATATACAAATATATAAATATATATATATATGTATATATATTTACGTTTAGTTGGTAGCTATACTTCACATAAAACAGATCGGTAAATAAGAAATTATCTAACAACATTCGTACCATACAACACTTAAATAAATTAGAAGGCTTCTAAATAGTTGTTCCACGAAAAGCTTCGATCAATTATTGATCGAAGACGAAAAGAACAATATTCCACTGAGAAAAAAATCGATTCAGTTTGTTTCTTTACACTTTACCTACTCTGTCGAACATCATAAAAGTTTGCATACTGACACATTGTTAGGGTTACAACATAGGAAACTGGGCCTAGTTCCTGAAGAATTTAAAAATAGCTTTTGCACGAGCGAAGCAGAAGATAGAAGTGTAATAGAATGAAGTTTGCTTTCATAAATACCTGTCGATTCCAACCATGACAGCGGACATGACATCCACATAGTAGTAGAACGGTACACTTTTAATGTACCGATCCGTATACCGGCCATCGCGAGGCACACAAATGTCGGCTGCCTTCAAACAATCGCTCACTGTCGGCAAGCCGTGTTCTGACACTAATGTCAGATTGCTAAATGTTAGGTACTCTGACGTTGGTCTGTTTGGAAAAAAATATCATTGCTATGAAAAAGAGATTTTAATGTGCAGAGGAACTTGTAAATAAATTGCAAATTTGGCTAAATAAAACTCCTTTGTTAAATAGATATTTTTAAGAGACCATTTTCAAGAAGCAAAATAACTGATAACAACACTTTAAGACGCTGGAGTACTTAAAATTAAATCACCTACTCAATAACTGCGTCGCAAAAAAAAAGTAGTAAAAAGAATACATTTATAAATAAACAAATAATTAGCCATTCTTCCTCCTTGCTTTGTTTTTTTAACGACATACATTTCCCGACATGTATACAGAATGTTCTAAATCGAGAAAAAGAGTCGGAAAAAATAATAAAAGCTCTCTCAAATAAAATTTAATCTCCACGGCATGAAGGCCGAGAGAGAGTCAGTTACTAATTTGCTGCCGAAACTTCGACGAAGTGTTCCTTCATGAAAGAATTGGTTATCACAAGTGTGATGGTTCCTAAAAGTTCATTAGACAGATCTTTCTTGGGGATAGTCATCAGACTTGCATTTCTAGTTTATCCTTCCCCGTTGCCATTACTAATTTTGACAGCGGCTTTTGTCTGAATAGTTAAAGAATCATCTATTCAGATTTTGTTTGGTTTATCAACACATTTACATAAATAGTTATTTTTAAAACAGTACATACTGTTAACTATACACTTGTAAAGTAGTGGCTTACCCCATAAGCAAAGCCTCTAAAAATGATAGTCCTGTACGACTAGCGCCAACGACCACAATGCTGTTGTTCACAAAAACTTTAGGTAAAGCTGTCAGGGGTTTCTCCAGCATCCAGAGTGCGAAAGGACAGGCGCTGTAGTATACAACATCAATGATATATATATTTAAATACGAGAATTAGATGTGTAGGCCATTATTGAAAGTCAATATTAAGGAATATTAGGACCACTTGTCTTGTGTAATTCTGTCTAGTAGTGTCACAAGGAAGATTATTATTTTTCATTAATTACGGTTTCCCATCTTATAATGTAAGGAAAACTTTATAATTCCCTAAATGGCCCTAAAAATCTTAAAACACTGCACGTTTCTGACAAAACCTGAGTTGGCAACAGTGGCTTAGTTACAAAACATTCTGTATTGATTATATCGCGCATATCAGATAAAACAAGGTACTACTAAAAAAATAAAAAGACTAACTACCCTGCCAAAACACTTTTGAAACTAAATGTTCTACGGTTTTGATATGATATACGAAGCAAACCAGCAGAAATTTCTAACCGTAATTTATTTACAACTTACATGTCTCGAAATATCCTATCTAGATCTTTATTTTGGCTAATGTTCGGCACAGATCTACGAGGATGTACTGGATTCATGTAAGACGCCAGTGACATCAAATTCCGACTTGGGGCCTGTTGAAAAGAAAATTTGATATTATCACTTAGGGTCCCGTGAATGCCATCAGGATTCCAATTGTAATACTACATAAATATACAACGGTGAATAGTTTGTTACATACCTCATCGCCTCTAGCAAACAACCTACAGATCCAAAATAGAGTAGAGTAACGAGACTGGCGCAATAATTCCCGCAAAAACCATCGTGTGTGTGGTTCTAAAGCTGGTGACATTACTCCGGCCAGAATCTGAAAGAAGTTATTAATTACACACACATGTTGTTAGTACTTTGTTTTTTTATTTCCTTTTTAAATAATAAAGCTAAGATGATGTTGAATTATAATAAGAAGTAAAAAGTTCTTACAGCTCCATCCGTCCCAGGACGTCGTGGTTCAGGTTCTAAGTCATATTGTGCCCGTACCGTTGTACTATCTTCTAAAGGACTATAATATAAAACAGTACCATGTTTATATTTGACGTAAATGAATACAGTAAGAAAAAGTATAAAAGTCAGTGTGCCACGCTTACAGTTACAAAAATATTCTATAGAACTCTATGGCGTTTACAAATCGGAGCTATAATTCAAGCTCAGCTAATATTCTATTGCAGTTGCTTTAAGGGTTTAGATCTGTGTCCGACAGACAACATTAAGTCCACTGGTATTTACACAGAAACAAGCCAAGCTATGTAAACGTTGACGTCTTACACCAAGAGAGCAATTACATTAATTTAATATTATAATACAGTTATTGTGTCATGTCTAGCACAAACCAAATGAAGCAGTATTCTTGACACAACTTACCCAATCACAACCATTCCAATTGGTTGGTTCTCACTCAAAAATATGAAAGACTCCAATATTGGTGAGGGTAAAGTGGACTTGTACAAGTTCATCAGAGTTTCGAAATTCGGTGCATTCCCCAATATGCGTTCTAATGTGTTTATGTCCTGTTTCTCGCCCCATCGTACACGCATGTTGCTATAATCAGAAATATAATTAATTACATACAAGATATTCCCTTTTTAATTGAAATGTGCAATAAATAACACTGACAGTTCTCGCTCAGTTAAAGGATATTTTAGTTTGATTGGAGCCTATAAATGCAAAGTAGCCATATAATTTTAAATAAAGACAAAAACGACAATTTAATAATATATTTAAAAAACTTTATTTTAGGTTACCGCTTTACAATCCCTTTGAATTTTTTTTTTTTTTTTTAACACTAATACTAATAAATTCACACGAAAATGACATTTCTGACACTTTTCTCCTTATGCTACGTAATGTGACTAATCAATATTTTATTTAAGCTTCTTTCGAACGAACTTCTTCTACGTGTTTACCAGGGTAGTGTATGAAATAATTCGGAATAATAAGGTGATATGGGTTAAGAAAGAATAATAATTACCCTCGAACAGAATTCACGTGTGCTACATATAACGAGTCGTTTTTAAACCTCATGTTCGCTGATTCCATAGGTGTCACTAACTGTAAATAATTTAAAGTTATTTGTAGCAATAATATTGTAATAATGTTTGTATTAATATTTAATACTGACCGTAAAATGTTCTAAGAGAGGACACGGTGATTGGTTAGAAGGCAAGCATATTATACAATAATCCCGGTCCGGGAATAGTTCGTAGGTTGCCTCAAGTATATCAAACCCGTACCTAAAACAGATTTTATATAAGTAATAAAAGGAATGTGATTTTATATAAGTAATATGGAAAAAGTGACACAAAAGGGATTGTGTGATGTTTAAAAATAGTGATATCATAGCAACAGACGACAGCACACCGGAAAGCGTACTTTAAAACGTTCCGGGACTTCGTAGCCTCACCTAAAAATGCCCCTACATTTTGATTAGTTCAGGCACACAACGTCCGATTCGCAAAACGTTCTTTGAGAAAATAAGGTCCGATTTACATATTGTCCTATTCTCAAATTGTCCGATTTGATTCAAATTAATTGTAATAAAATGTTTTCATTCTTTAATTTGTACCCATAAGTATGTTTTTTTTTTCAAATTTTGAGTAGGACCAAACGGGCATTTATATCCCCCCAAACAATATACATTAGACTTGCAACGAATAGTATATTCGGCAGTATACCGAATACCGAATATTCGGCGAGGCCCCTGACCGAATAGCCGAATATTAGGCAAAAGTATTCGGCTGGATTTTAGCGCCAAAAACTTGTACAGACGTGCATTAAATTATGTACCTGTTTTATGTACCAATGACTACTTAATAAATTATTATAAAAGAAATGAGAACCTTACCCTTCTAAATTTTGATTACCACAATAATTCAAATACATAGAATCCTCCATTTTTCCAATTCAGAAGATGATTATGTACCTGTGTTATGCACCAATGACTACTTAAATGATTATAACAGAAATGAAAATATGAATATATACGTAATCAATCGATTTTAATTTTTCATTTTACCAATTATTTCTCAATGACAAAATATATTATTTAAGTATTCGGTATTCGGCCGAATAATATGTAGATATTCGGTATTCGGCCGAATATAATAAAAGCAGCCGAATAGGCCGAATACCGAATAGTAACCGAATATTCGTTGCAAGTCTAATATACATATATCTACAGTTCATAAATGACGGAGTTCTGAAGAAAAAAACATAAAAATCCAAGTCCAATCACAGTCCAATCACATCAAAGTCGATTCAATAAAAATGATTGCCTACGAATGGCCAGTAACTCCGGTAACATATGTTATGTTATAGAATGCGATACTTTAAAAGTTTGTAGTGCCTACTCATTCACCTTTCATCGTAGTCTGATTGCATTGCGTACAGCTCAATTAAGAATGCATTGGGTTTTCCCTGGAATCTCACTGGCTCCGGGAAACGCGTTGAAGTTGAAGACGCTGCTAACAATCAATATATCAGTCTCACTTAGTATCCTCGTTCCTACTATCCACAAAACAAAAACTTACCTACAATCAATGCAAATAAAATATAGTCTATTCTTTTCTATTCTATTCAAATCCATTACATTCCATTCTATTCTATTCTATGCAAACTGTAAATATGATGCTCTGAAAATACGAGGTGAAGAGATCACGGCTTTAATCTTTACAAATAAATAAAATTGAAGTGTCTGTTTGTAATTTCAAATTAATAGGTTTTTTTTCATGCTCACACGGTCATTTGCACGATAGCTATGCCAGTTTTTTTTGTCTGTCTGTCTGTTTTTGCGGGTAATCTTCTAAACGGTTAGACCAATTTTAATAATACTACCAGGTAACTGTCTATATAAGGAGTAACTTAAGCTATTTTTCTTCTCAGGAAAACCCTTTTAAATTTTGCCCGGTCCGGGTCGAACCCGCTAAGGCAGCGCTTTTCAAATTCCAAGTGGACAAAGTCACGGGTACCAACTAGTTTTACATAAAGGGACAGTGTATGCATACCAATGGCGCCTCACTGAAAATAAATCATTCGTTTTTTTTTTCATCATCATCACCAGCCTATACTAGTCCACTGCTGGACATAGGCCTCTCCTTAGAAAGGAGGTTTTGGCCTATTGGTTATTTTTTTTAAACAAGCATTATTACAATAATTCTGTATAAGTTTTATCCCATTCATTTCACTCCTATTCATCGCATGTGTCTCGTGAGAGCCGACTAAGGGAGCAGGGTACAATAGCACCGCTAAGAGAAGGAAAAAATATGATATATATAGTAGGCCAAAACTTCCTTCTATGGAGAGGTATATGGAGAGGCCTATGTCCAGCAGTGGACTATTAACGGCTGATGATGATGATATAAAGTTCTCTGTCTGTATTGCTGACCATTGAAAAGTTATTTTGTTCGAGATCTACCCTGGGTAAGTAGCAAAGGGAAGCACCACGAACACAAAAAACGTATGATTCCTATGAGAGCTATCAATGATTCGTAGGTATGTATATGAATGGCAGAATAGCCCAAACACACTGAAATAAACCCTAGTTGACATATTCAATCTTATACTCTTACCTAAGACTAATGTTACCTTAATAATATAACCTTTATTAAACAGATGTTGTATACCAAGATACTCACCACCCATCTTGTGTAAATGATCTTTCTTATTCTTTGGTTTAGGTGGGGTGTTGTCATTGATAATTTTCTGTATTGCTTCAGTTGCCCTTATATAAATAAGAATATTGTTGTTAATCTCTTAAAAAGTATGCCTCACGGCATAGAGTTAATATTTGCCTTATTATAGAGATAAAACCTCGCTAATATGTATGTATACAACATTGCCGTAGGAACTACACTTTTCAGAGTTGTGGGTGAGATAAACATGACCAGGCCTATATCCAGGCCCAGGCAATAAACGAAGGCAATCAATTGACACCGGTAACTTAAGAGTCATAAGTACGTTGCCCAGAGTTTGCTCTACTAATAATTACTTGTTTTGTCGATTGTCGATGCAAAAAAAAACATAAAAAATGCATTCATTCATGCATTGGTTGAGTGGAAATTATCCAAATATTGAGGATGGAAGTTTTGTCTCATATAACAATGGTCAAAGGCTGCAACCGATTTCCGGATGCTAAATCCGTGGCGCACTCTCCATATTACTACAGAATACAGATTGAAACTACATCTCTATCAGTCGGTTTTCTCATGAGGCTATATTATCACTCCAGTCGAGCCGGCCCATTAGTACAAAAGCAAGACTCTCCCACGCTAAATGCACACGTAAGATGTGTTGACAAGGCATTAATGTAAATTTCGTCAATCAATCAATGGCCTTGATAACAGCGCTTTTTAGGGATGAAAGGCCCTGTAACCTTTTTTTACCACTTTTTTTTCGTGTGTGGAAATCCCCTCGGATATCACCCAATGGTGGAGTGATTATGTCGACTCGAACCGACCAAAAACCGCGCGCCGTCACGGGTACCAGTAGCCAAGGAACCAGGACTAGCCTAGAAAGGAAATCCCTGGTACCTCGACGTACCTCGGACCATCCACTGCGAGTAGATGACCCCTTCCTGAACGGGAATCCCCATGTTCCCTTTGTGCTCCCGACGGCAGCAATCATATTACCGAGCGAGCGAGATTACTCCTACTCCGATAGCCACTACGAGGTCACGCCTCGCCGTGTAAACGGTCCGGCCGCCGCAGTGGTGGCACTCAGGCGTTCCTTGCGGATCAGACACAGGTGATCTCTGAAACATTCTTTCCCGGTGATCACCTGCGTCAGTCGGTATGAGAGGGTTCCGTGACGCATCTCGAGCCAATCCTCCATAATGGGTCTTACCGCCGCAATAACACCGTGCCCGAACTTTTTTTTTTACCATACACATCATCAGTCAACGTCATATAAACATCAACATTGGCAACTACATTTAACGCACTCAAGAATCATAGAAATACTTATAGAAATATATACCCTGATAGAGCATTGCATAAGAACTCAGGGACCCACATCCACTCAGTATTTATGTTGACAATGTCATAGTCTGGGGCACTTTCCTCGTCTTCGAGAAGAATGTTCATTATTTCATCCGGATTATTCCCCATTAGTGAGATCTGTCGAGTAATATGCCAACTATCCCGACGTAGGTGGTCTTTGACGTCATCCGCTATTGTAACCTGCACAGCAAACATAACTTCTGTTACAAATGAACAGGTGATAAACGGCATGCCAAATTATAATTTATCTATCTATTTATCTGCTTCTATAATAATAATCATTTATTACAGAAATACATTTTTTTAGACAGCCAAAGTAAATTATTCAAGAACAATAATAAAATACATTGCATTTTTAATTTAATTTAAATAATATGATTAAAAACAAAATGATTGGAAAGAAAACAAGAATTAGTTTTACTAATAAAATCCATCTTACCCTTAACTCTGCGTCTTTTGCTTTGCAAAAATCTTGTGATTCTTGGGTGATGTGTAAGCTAGAAAAAAAAAAATTAGGTTCGGAGATGGTTAGCCCATTACCTGCAAATGTAGGCCCGTTGATGATTTATCGGGGTCATCCTCCATCACAAATAATACAAATTGCCAAGTAGTTATCATAATTTAAGCTGGTTTAAAACAACACTACCTCAGTAAATAGAGAACTAAGTAGTGGTAGCCCACCAAGGTCTGTAACATTTTACGTACTGCAAAGTGATTGTAAACAAATTTATTATAATTACTGGAGATTTAAAGAGTGATCGTGAGTTTTGATTTCCAGATCCTTTCTCACAGGCTCTACCTATTGCCTCGCGAATCTGGGACTAAATGTAAACGTAAAACCATAGATTCTAACGCTCATAAACATTAATTTTTGAATTCAAATTTGAGTTTCGAATTGGAATATTGAATATATTTGTATGAGTAGTTGTGTTGACCCAGCAATACAACTACGACAACTCAACGACAATACAGCGGTTAAAATACTTTTAGCAAGTTTTGGTTTTACCAGCGTTCGTTCGTCACGTTCATTTGTTTTTTGTTATACTGTCCTTCTCGCTTAAGCTTTTTAAATTTTAATTCAAAATTTTCTTTCAATATATCAGTCTGTTGATTAGGCAATTTATTATAAAAAACTTCTAGAGAAACGGTAACGGCCTTTAACGATAACCGAGGAAATTTATGCCGATGGTTTTAGTCTTGCATAACAAATCGGACACAAAAAGCTATGCTTAAGAGCTATGAATGTGATTTCGTTTCTATTAGTTCTGTTTCAGTAGTAGTAGTGGTAGTGTAGTTAGTTCTGTTCTGATCCATACTCGGCCCAATGTTGTTTGTACTCTTCATAAATGATATACACAACTGCTTTAAGTTTTGTGATTATTTGTTGTGTGCTGACGACCTAAAGATCTAACATAGTATACAAAATTCTGAAGATCATCAAAAATTTCAAGAAGATCTTCATAGATTCTCAAAATATTGCGTAGATAATAAGTTAAAATTGAACTTACATAAATGTAAAGCAATAACGTTCACAAAAAAAAAAAAAAAAAATTGTACCTAAATTTTTTCGTATAAGTTATGTGGTGAAAACCTTAATTCAGTTGAATCTATTAGAGACCTTGGGGTTACACGGGATGAAAAAATTAATCTGGATATACATTATAATAATATTATCAGTGATGCATACAAAATGTATGGATTTGTTATGCGCACCTGTAATGGATTTATTAGCGCCTCAACTTACCTCCACATTTAAAAGTCTCTTATACGTTCGCAACTTGAGTACGCTGTCGTTATATGGAACCCATATTAAAAAAAAGTAGTAGTGCAATTGAAATGGTACAAAAGAAATTCTTACGTTCAGTGCATTATGGATGTCGTCTTAGCCGTATATCATATAATTCTCTTTTAGAAGAATATAAGCTCCTCAAATTAACCTCTAGATGTACACTATTAGAAATAATGTTATTGTATGATTTATGTCATAATAAATACGACTGCATTTCGTCAAACAACAAAATATGCTACAGGATTCCTTATTCAACCCAATGCCGTAGACCTCATCGAATATTTTTACTGCATTTTTTCAAACAAATGTTGGTAAACGTTCACCATATTACAGACTTGCTGATAGCTATAATAATCATTTTGTCTCTATTGATATTTTAAGTAACAAGGTTGCAACATTTATATACATAGAAATAATACAATTACTCCCCACTTAAATTATTTAACATAACGTTAGATCACTATAAGTTAATGTTACTGCCCATTGGTAAACTTAGTTATGATACCTATCTCAACTGAACTATTGAATATTGTATTTTAAAAGTAATCTGTAGTTAACGGTGTTAGTACTACAGATAATAACTTGTGGAAATTATGTATTTATTTATAAAGCTGTTGTAGTTACTGGTTCTTAATTCAAGAAATAAAATGAAAAATAAAATAAAAAAAGAAGTATGAAAAACCTAATAAAACCTTGTATGCTACATTTGCATATTTATTTATTTTTATTGTACGTATTTAAGTCGAGATGATTGTATTGGGATGCAAGACGATCTCTCGCGCCTTCAAAATAAGTATGTTGAAGATAAGCTGCACCTTAGTTTTCTGAAATGCAAAGCCATAACCATAACGAAAAAAAAAAACACAATTAATTACTCATACTCGTTTTACATACCTAGATTTGGGAATCTTCATTGATGATGATTGATGATTACCCTGTTTCCTAACATTGACAGTAAATTACATTTTGACGCTTACATTACTCAACATGTTAATAAGTCTTATCAATTATAAGCCTTCATTATGCGCACTTGTTCTCAATTAGTCATAGACATAGTCATAGTCGTTTATTCATCAAGAAATTAATTCAAAAGACCGTCATCATGTCGAACTCTGTACCTACGTAGATGCCATTGAAATGATAAATCGAAAATTTTAATTTAAAATAGAAAAGTTAAGATAGTCGTTCCCAACGGATTCGCGCTACACATACTCAAAGACTTTATGCACCGAAACTTTGTCGTACTTACAGAAATCGTAATAATAAGACACTAGAAATGAATTAGCGCTCGATTACTTCCAAAACCGATGTCGTGACATCTTAACACATATACAAAATACAAACAAATAGGTAAAAGACTCGCACACACTTGCAAAACAACGGTGAAATGTATAGGGCACAAACTATTATGAACCTTAATTTCCAGGAATTACATTGCATTTTACTCCAATGTATTATGTGGCACCACTACAATCTTCTTCGATGTTTGAGAATCCCTGTAAACAATGCCAGGGATTGACAAAATTTTTTGAAGGTGTCGATATTTATCTTCATTAAAATAAAATGGATTACAAGTAGCAATGAAAACCATATATATATATTTATATAAAAGCTTAAAGCTATTATTGAACAAATAGTTCCTTCACGTAACAATTAGATTTATATTAATTTAAAAATAAGTAAGTAATAAACAGAGCAGTTTCCTTTTTTTTATATTAACATAAGGTGGGTGGACCATGGAAGGCCAGCGTGGCCTTTGAAGGCCAACTATTAAAAAGTCGTAGTTATTGACTTGTAAAGACATATTCCTTCTACTACACACTACAATCCATTAAACTGAAGGCCACAGACGCGGCTGCGAGTCGCTCGCGCCGCTATTGTGGCAGTGTGATCTCAAACTTCGTAGACTTCGGTCGTCGACGTTACAATTGTTATTCGCGCGCACAGCAAAACGTAAGTTTTTAGTTAAATAACCTATTGTTTCCTTATATTTTTTACTGTGAATTGTCGAGTAGGGATATTTTTATGGAACTCAAGAAAAAAAAAGAAATTGCCTCGATTTAAGTGAAAATATTGTGAGTGTTCCTAGGAAAGCCTTATAAGGCCAATCAAAAATTTGACGGTTGGCCTTGCTAGGGAACATGGGCCTTACATCTATAAACCATGAACATATGAACACTTATTATGTAGTTATAAATACGTACCGTTAAAGTTAAAACAATGTTTTATATTTATAATATTTTTTTTAAGGGTTTTCTAACTTTTAAACTCAGATTGAATAGACATTTTCTTCAAAATATTTTATTTTCAGTATATATTTAAATTTATTTTATGTCTATGAAGAGGTTATGTCTGGAAATAAACTAAACTAATTTACATGAAAAGCAACGGGTATAAAAAATATTTGCTTGTTAAAAGCGGTAAAGTAAGTATGAGATAAGTTAAAAATTGTATATCTAAAATAGTCTGTCTAAAACTATAATTAAAGCAAAAAAAAAATTATATCAATAAGTTGATGAACAGATGATTAAAATTTATATGTATTATTTCAGATTTCGAGAATGTCACAGTCAAAACCTAAGAAAAGAGGTAGTAAAAGGAACGAAGATAGTTTAAGACGAGCCATGGAAGCAGGACAAAATAATGAACTAAATACAAATGCTGCAGCGTTGAAGTTTAATATTCCAAGACGCACCCTTAGAAACCATTTAGTAAGCGGTAACAGTACTAAAATTATTGGGAAGACAACTATTCTCACAAAACAATTAGAAGAAGATTTATCGCACATAATCAAACGTTTTATTATTATTATTTTCGTTTTTTAATCTTAAGAACCGTTGATTTTAAATATTCCTGACTACAAGACTGACTATGTGCCATGATAAGTTTGTAATAATTACAGTACGTCTGTAGTGTCTATTATTTTATTATAATTAATATAAACAAGTCAGAGATTGTTAGTTTGGCTTTCTTAGGAACATTGAGGCCTTACAAAGAACGGAGCCTTAAGAAGGCCATATAAGCTAAAAAAAGTTTTTAATTTGATTATAAAACGCGTTGACAAGTTATTTTATTTCAATATAATGTTTTTTACTACTACTTTTAAATAATTGCCATTAATATATTCTTAGTTATACGATGGTGTTCAAGTAATGTTCATTGTGTTTTTTATAGATAATAAAAATATATTGTGCATTTAATGTTTCGCTTAAATGAAAGAGCTTATTATGTAGTTTTAGTAAAAGCGGATATATTAATTACATTATATTAGTTACAACTCTATTTTTAAGTTGAACGACTGAATTATAATATTGGCCTTGTTTGGAGCCCTGTTCCTTGCAAGGCCATTTGGAAGAGCTTAATAAAACTTAAGTTTAATAAATAGTTATTAAAGCTAGGTAAAAAAAAAGTGATTTGTATGGTACACTATAAACCAAAGTATTCCTTAACTATTTGTTTCCTTCATTTATCCAGTAAATATACGAATAAAAAGTGTTTATTCTTTGTCCGTGTAGTGACGGATTAAGAATACGGAATGTCACTACCCCAATTCACCCCGTGGGTGTCGTAAGAACCGACTAAGGGCGCAAAACAACGCAGGACACCAGCACTGCAAAAAGACGGCAAACTTGACACAAATCCTATACCAACCCGCCTGGCCAGCGTGGTATAGTAGGCCAAAACCTTCTTTCTAAGGAGAGGCCTATGTCCAGCAGTGGACTATTAAAGGCTGTTGATGTGATTCTTTAGAGTGGCCTTCCATGGTCCACCCACCTTAGTCGTCAACTGTGTAATACGCTGGTTCCTAGCACTGTTTGAAAATATAGTTAACTATATAAGTAAGTAAGTATCTCTAGTAGTTGATGTTCAGCAACTCTACAAAATAAGTTGATGGACCCGTAAAACGAAGAAATTTATTTTTAAATGTTTTCTTTGACATCAGAATCTTTCGGAAGTCTAGAAATTGATAACAATTATGTGATAATAAATAGTAATATAATTCTTTATGCTTCTTAAAAAGATAAAATTTTATTAACAATAATCAACATGCTAAACATTTATAGGCTATACTAAGCAAACTTAAACAAATAATTAAATGCCTAAAGAAATTATTGTATAGTTTCTATTACTAATATTTTACCTGCAAATATCGTTTAGTTTTTTAACGTACGAAAATCTGAATAATATCATTTTATACTAACACTAGCTGACCTGCGCAACTTCGTCTGCGTCTCTCAATAGTAATAAATTTTCTCCGTTTTTGAAACATTCTTCATTGGTGCTCCGCTCCTATTGGTCTTAGCGTGATGATATATAGCCTATAGCCTTCCTCGGGTCTATAAATCCAGCCTATAAATGGGCTACCTAACACTGAAAGAAATTTTCAAATCGGACCAGTAGTTCCTGAGATTAGCGCGTTCAAACAAACAAACAAACAAACTCTTCAGCTTTATAATATTAGTATAGATACGCAACGAACAACGATATCTAATGCTTCATATTACATTCCTGGGCTAGTTTGTCACCATCGCGTGCAATAAAAATCAAAGCAGCAATCTTATTTGTACAAAACGGAAAGTAATAAATGAATGTTTACAAAGGCAGATATCTTATTAAAGGATTCAACGAGATGTAAATTAGTAAAAACAATGATTTATTAGTAAAAAATAAACTTACCGATGAAATGCATGCCTTTAATAGTTAAATTATACGTCCCTGATGCGTTTGCACAACCCATTATACTGCAGTTCATCATTTTAACCATATAAATTCACATACGACGCTTCGCGCAACTAAATCACGACTGGTGTGAATTTCTCTAAGTGGTGTTCGTCTACACATCATTGGGGCGATAAGGTCAAGCGTCTATGCGACTTCTATTATCTAATTAGTACGATTTCTATGGTCGTACCACTCGAAACATAGCTCTGTACGTTGCGTCATAAAAGCACGTAACGATTACTCCACAGATATTGATTTATTCAAATTGTCTAATAATGTACTGAAAAACAGTTGGTTTAAAAATAAAGGAACCTAGAGACTTAAACACCGACCTATAATTTGATGTCTTGTAAGAAATAAATTTTTCTACAGTATCACTATCTTAAAATTGTATTCCAAAGACTCTAGTTTAAGTCAAATTGGGTGTAAAATTAGTTAAAACTACTAGTAAATCGATGTACTTATAATCGTTGTCATGTTTCCCGAATGAATGAATAAATAAATAAATAAACTTTGGCGACTTTGGTATGAAATGTATATGAAATTTTGCTTATAATCGGTTAGTTCAGTAGTATAATAAATGAGTCTTGAATCCGGTTCATCCTGATTTCATGGTGTTGCTTATTTAGATTTTTTCTATATTAACTTACATACCTTGAGTTCGAATCTTCACTAAGAGTTTTGTCATATTGTTCATGTTCATCTGATAAGTGCTTTAGACCCGCAAACGGTGTCAACACAAAGTTCTCCTCCAGAGCCTCGTAGTTCACCATTGTATTCAGACACATCATCCCAACCGCCAGCTCTTTGTGCTGTATAATTCAAAGACAATTTTGGAATGATCAATAATAAATTAGTGTACTTCAATTTGTGCACAGATGGCGAAAAAAACGCTGTTTCAATTACGGAAATGTTTATTACTAGTTTTTGGCTGCTGCTCCGTATTATTTTTTTAATTATAGGGGCAAACGAGCAGACGGGTCATCTGATAGAAAGTGACTACCGCCGTCCATAAACACCTTCAACTCAGGAGTTACAAGCGCATTGCCGGCCTTTAAGGTGGAAGCTTGATCTTTTTAAATGTAGACATTATCAATTCAGGAACCTTTGTGCACAGTACTGGATGAAAGATACTTTACAGCACTAGCGTTCAAATTGATACTATCATAAAAATTGCTTGTATATTTTAGTTGGTATGGCAGGTGTTCTCGAAGAACCTATAGAGGTATCAACTCTGAGAGTATAAGTATAACCTAAGAGTGTATTCCCCAAGCGCTCCACCATAAGTCTGTGTATTGTTTAAGACTCCAGGCCCTTGCAATGCACAGACTTATGTTGGCGCGCCAGATGACACAGTTTTGTCTGATCCCTAGATTGTTGTCTGATTTGTTGTTTAATAAGTAATATAATAAACCTTTCAAACACATTATTGTAGTTACCTCGCATACGAGCAGCACTCTATCGGACTCAGGGTGTCGAGATATCAGTTCGCTAATATAAAACTCTCCATACAGCGCTTGCAGTTGAGGCGCATGCCTCTCCAAGATTGGAACTAAGTCGTCATTGTCCTCCTCTCTGTGCAAATAAGTTATTCTTACAATATATTGTTAGATCTACAAGCCATGGGAGCCAGGTTGTGTAATTAAAAAAAACTTCATCATTTTTATATAGCAAACAAGGCAGCACGCAACGCTTTCACAATATATTTTTGTCCATATAGGGAATAATTATGCTCAGATGTATGATGAAAAACAACATTGCTAGCGTAGTGCTGGAATTCAGGGCCGCCGCTAGCCGTTTGAGCGCCCGCGTGCAATGCCGTTGCGTGCCGTCCTTTTCCGTGCGGCAATTGCATTTCAATGAATTTAGAAGTCATGCAATTCTGTGAATTCAGCAACTTATTTAATGAGTTGAATCGTAAACCAAGCACATGCAGCTTTCTGTCTTAGTACACTCAGTGTAAGTCAAGACGCGCGTCCTTCCTCCTTTGCCCCCGTGCCCAGCCCAGGCTGCACCCTGGTTTAAACCTTATTTTAACTAGTTTGGCTTTCGTATTCCTGTGAACTATGTGGCTCGCTTGACGTTTTGGCACCATGATCAATGAAATGGCATGACACGACATTGTATCGGGTTGTAGCCTGGGAACCAGGTGTAACCTAGAAAGGAAATCACTGATACCCGACGAACCCTGAATCATCTACGGCTTACAGATGACCCCTCGTGTGTGGTGACCACGGTTACCCCTCTCTCCCTGAAGGTGCTCCGGAGCGCGTCGCGCACCGTCGCGGTGCTATGGAGGACGAAGATCATTCAGTGACCGCCTGCGGTACCTGGATGGCACCCAGGCGTTGAGCATTTGTGCGGATCAGACTTAAGTAATCTCCAAAGCAACCTTTGCGTTAGCCAGTATCAGATATGGAATGTTTGGGAATCCCGCGCCCGCGTCACTTTTAATAAAGTAATTCGAACCTTATAAACATTGTATTTATTTTCGTACACAGATCAATAAATATTAGATACTATTATGACATAATAGAATAATATTAAACATGCAAATTATAAAAAAAACATTTTCGATTTCGATTCCTGTTTTAGCGCCCCCTGGAAAATGTCGCCCGAGTGCGGCGCACGCTCTGCACAGCCGTACTCGGCGGCCCTGCTGGTATTTATGGCCTGGAGAGAGTTCGCCAAAGGTGTAAGTGACTCTGCTGGTGTAGCCTCTTTCGCTTCACTTTCGCACATTTTCATCAGAAACTTTTATGAATGATTGTAAATGAAACTAACACAGCTCTTCTGATCCTCAGCCTCGGGCTGACTTCTACCCGATCGGCGATGTACAAAGCCGGCAGCTTATCTGCGACTACACCCCGCTCTATCACCTGTACGCGTCTGAACGATGCCTCAGATCGGGTCTGACCGGGCACTAACACTTAAAACGAATAAAACAATTAATTAAAGAGAAGTTTTTTTTGCTCTTACTTTTACTTAAAGTCTACAGTGCACAATGGATATGTACCCTGTATAATGCAAATCAATCATTTTAAGTTTTCCACGCATCTTTTCGCATACTACTATTTTCTACAAATTCTACATTATAATTAGAATATTGAATTGTTTTTCATCATCATCAACAGTCTTTAATAGTCCACTGCTGGACATATGCCTCTCCTTAGAAAGGAGGTCTTGGCCTACTATTTGTTTTTAATTAAATCTATCTAAAATAACTTACGAGGGTATTGAGGCACCGACTTAACCATCCCAATGTGATGCACATAGGGGTCATGCATAAATATCGATTTGAGCATACTGTCTACAACATCACGACTGTATGACGTATTCCAACATAACATGTGTAAAAACAAAGAGTTACGAGAATTCATTTCCGTTGATCTGAAAAAAAAGTTATGTCAGTGAAGTACAGATGGAGCTACGGTCTTAATAACGATTAAAATTATATTAAATTAAAATTAAACTACGATGAAACATAGTTAAAAATACACACGGGAGTAAAGCTAGCTGGCTAGCTAGTAGGTACATATTTAAAAGTATTATTGTGTTCATAACACAAGTCACGAAAATTTTGAATAAAATTGTTTAGGTGTTGCTGCAGTCTGTAACTAATGAATTTTGTTCTCAGTAGTTTTAAAGATGATGTAGGGGAAGGGACGATAAATTTTCATCTATTTATGATGACGAATAACCCGTTTAATTCGATACAGTGTGCATTTTTATAATCTTCTAAATGGGATTCAAAATTAATTTATATATCCGTATACGTAAGTACTGTATGTATGTGCCGTACATACATAATATCTGCATTACGGTCACAAAAATTGACATGTAGGTATGTGCTTAATATTAATTTATTGGGTATTTAAATTGGCAACAGGTAGACAGACCCCTGGGCACACAAGAATTTGGGGCAATGTTGGACAGTAAAACTTTAGCTGTGAAAATGGGCGATCTACTATAATTGGGAACTATAAAGCAAAAAAAAATTCTAGGAGCCATTACAACATCTGGAAAAAGTTTCTTCTAATTCTTCAGGTTTTACTTATTAGTTTATGTAAGTTTGAGCTGCTCGAATCGGCTAATTCCTTTGCTATTTTCTTTAAATACTTCCTTAAATGCAAACATTCTGAGTGAACGCATATGCATTAAGGTCTTCGTGCTAGAATTCTTTAAATTCATTGCATTTTTTTATCAACTCTTCAGAATCGATTGTTGTTAAGTGAGCAATAACACTCAAACGATTGCCAATTTCTTAATATGCTGCCAAACGATTTTTCGAATGTGTGTATAATGTATCGTTAAACAAATCTACACGAAATTTGTCTTTGCAATGCAACTGTAATAGTATCTGACGATCAGTCAAAAAATGTGACGCATGTGCTGCGAATTATTTTTCTCTGAGACTTATCTTTAGTCAACAGCCTAAATACCTACTAAATTTAGCGAGTGCACAGCACACTGGAAAAAAATTGCAAATTTATAGTTTTCTTTTATTCTCGACTGAACACTTGTTTTCTGTTTTACCAACTTTATTAATAGTTTATCCCCACTTCTCAAGTGTTATTAGGTCGGAAGCTACACGCGTCGACTTTAAAAAGTTTAGTAAAATACCCACTGGGTATATGCTCCAGACCCTTACTTACGAGGTATCTTTCATAAGTATTATCAATTTGACCAATAATTTTTTTAAGTTGTATTTGTATAAATATATAGAGCTAACGTAAATAAAAAAAAAGGCAATTTTACAACAAAATAAAAAAGTTTATTGGTGGCGAAACGCGGAACTACCCATTTCTTATCAGAAAAGTGACAATGCCACATTTTCTGTGATATTCGAGCCATGGTGTTGTGGAAATGGGCCGACTCGGATCATCAGTTAATATTCCATAATTCCGTTTTTTTATTCAGACGTACGACCTCCAAAAATGCACTGGTTGGTGTTGTTATATAAAATATTAAAGTAAAATATACTAACAATAAGTAAAGTGATGTTAAAATGTTAGCTTCATTATTATAAGCGAGCATATAATGGTAGATGACTAACGCCACCTACCATCACAACTCTACTTCTCATTACGGTTTATGTCATGTAGTTTCAATTAAATTGAGCAGAGGTTTCTGTATGAATCATGGCCGTGCGTGGCGTGGCCATACGTGGCCTTTTTCTTGCGATCTTAGCTTCAGTAGGAAGAATGGCCCAACCGTTCGCAACCATTTACAGATGGCACGTGTGCTAACTTCGATATATAAAATGATCTTCAGATAGTAGCGTTTTTACACATTTTTTATTAAATAAAAAATATTTTGATTCTAGGCTATTATAATCTATTACTACAATGAGTCGTCATTAAATACGAGAACAACTCATATAACTGTCTTCGTTTCATACTGTATCGTATGCGTTAACGTACTTGTATTTGTTCCAAATATATCTTTCCCATGCAGCTGGATGAACGGACGGTATCATCGGATAATCTCTTGCTGATAGAAATCCAATTATAGTCTCTGATATATCCAGCTGGCATAATGCTAGAATAGAATTTTCACTGAAAATAAATTTGACGGGTATTTTACTGTAAATTTTACTACGCCTATTATGCATAATCGAACTTATTTACCTCGGTTTAGAAAATGGAAGACAATAGGAATAAAATTTATGAGATGACATTTGAACCCTACGACGGAGGCACGACAGAACTTAGGTACTAAAAGTTCGATTAAAAAAATGTAACGTCGATACCTGACGTACGAAATTTGATAGTTAATTACATAATTGTATCGTTTAATGATTGCAATGTATTAGAATCTCAAGCCAAAACTTTTAAAAACTCTTGTTTAACGAGTCCTTTCTAAGGAGAGGCCTATGTCCAGCAGTGGACTATTAAAGGCTGTTGATAATGCTGATGAGGAACGAGTCAGGCTTGGTCAGTATTAAATAATTTGTAACAACATAATTATGTAATGTAGGGCTCACGCCCTGGTGAGGTGATGTCCCTTAGAGGTTTCTATATAATAAAAAAAATACTTATGATAATGCAGACTTCTCGAAACTGAAGTACATATTAAGTAAAACATACAATCACTGGTCACCAGATCTCTTTAGGTAAATAATGTTGACACTTACATAAGGTAAATGATATCATTTACACAACCAACACGGAAGGTTTTTTCTACAGGTTCGTTGACAAGTTCCAATATCAGAGATGCATCTTCGACAGTAGCAAATCGCACGCGCCCTATTGCCGGTTTACTTGACGTACGAGAAAACATTGTAGAATTATGTTTGTTCCTCACGACAACACAAAAAGAAAGTACGCAGTTACTCAATAATGGCTAAGTTTATAATTATAACTGGTGCCGATTGTAAACCGATAAACGCTAGGATGTTTACAAATTTACTGTCAAGTTCTTTTTAATTTGTCAGTTTCGTTCTGTCAAAAAATGATGATGGAAAAATTTCTTATTCTTTATGATAAATGCTTTCAGTTAGGTAACTAATAGGTACGAGGGCTGCTATTTCATCATGACGTACGACTTTCGGCGAAGGATAACTCAAAAACAGTGCATCGATCAGCTCACTTCGACTTCGACTTTTGGGGAGGAACCACCACCAAAAACAACGGTGTGATACTGGTTTAGTGAGTTTAATCGAGGGCGGTCTGTGCTCACGGACGTATTAATTATTTAATAAACTAAAAACATGCTGATATTTATGTAACCGGAATAAAAAAGTGAAACAAACATTTAGCATTTATTATAGTTTTATTGCTTTTCAAAATATTCGCCGTGATGCTCGATGCACTTTTGCATAAGTTGGAACAGATTTTCGTAGCACTTTTTCCATTCTGATTGTGGGTATCTCCAAAACGTACATTTTAAACGCAACAACAGCCTCAGCTCGAAAAACGTTGACCAAGTAATTTATTCTTTACGGATGGGAATAAATAGAAGTCGTTGGGGCCCGAGTCAGGGCTGTACGGCGGATGACTCCGTAATTCGATCTTTTGATCTTCCAAATACTGTGTTGTTTCGGCCGATATGTGGCACCTAGCATTGTCATGATGAATAAGGGTTGCGTTGCGGTTATTCTTTCCCATTTCTTCAAAGACTTCTGGCAAACAAATGGTCGTGTACCATTCAGAAGTAACCGTTTTACGATTCTCTAGGGGCACTGTAGCCACTTGTCCATTTATGCCAAAAAAACAAGCGACCATGTGCTTCAAAGTTGTTGGGTTCGGCTCATCTTGGAACACCCAAACTGTTGTTTGTTATTTAGTTTCAGGATCATACGCATATATCTAAGATTCATCACCTTTGTAGATATTAAAGACAGCTTTTGATGCACCCTGATTGTACTTTTGTAATATTTTTTCACACCATCCGACACGAGTCCGTCCGGTCAATTCTCAAGTTATCAGTTCAAGCACAACATCAATATTTTGAGGTACAACCACCGATTTACGGCTGCCTTGTTTAAATACGTCCGTGAACACAGACCGCCCTCGATTAAACTCACTAAACCAGTATCAAACCGTTGTTTTTGGTGGTGGTTCCTCCCCAAAAGTCGAAGTCGAAGTGAGCTGATCGATGCACTGTTTTTGAGTTATCCTTCGCCGAAAATCATAATAAATTATAGCACGAAAATTTTCACTAGTAAAACCGTAGTGATAAATTAGTGATTCAAAATGACGCCACAAAGGATAAACAAATGACAGCTAAATGAAACAAATGGTATTCTTCAGCCAAAGAGTTCCATTTTTAAATGTTATAAATACTTTGTTAATATAGTTCTGTAACTGGCCAGTTCCGGATACATAAATAGTAGCCCCCGTAGCTACATTTTTACCGAATAATAATTCTGTATTTGGGTGTCTTTTTTTTTGTGTTATTTTTGTTTATAGACAATACCCGAAGTAGGAATATATATCCTCTGTCGCGTGGGACTTTACAATCATTCATGAAACGGACACAAAGAACACCCAGACTCGGAACAAAAAGTGGATCACACAAAGTGTTGTCCCATGTGGGGTTCGAACCCACAACACTCAAAGCAATGGGAAGCGGCGGGGTGACCGTTTATACCACTACGCCATCCGTGCAGTTAGAGTATTGTGTACATGTGTTAATCAATCAAATTAATTCAATTAGAAGTTTTTGGGTTCTCATGATAATAAAATGTGCTGTGCTAAAATCCTCTTTTTCTTAAAAAAAATATAAATAAAATGTTTTATTGTCTAGCTAGACTTGCTGGTGATACAATAAACTTAATTGGCCTAAATCGACCTTCAACGCAATTGGTCATAGTAATTACCCACCAGCGATGATACGGATATGAAATTACGGATCTACAGTTACAGGATATTAAAATTTAACATTTTCCTATGAATTATAAATTTTCATAGGAAAATTCAGATAAGCAATAGTTTACTAACTTTTCAACTTTCACATTCGAAGATGTATTATGTAGGTAGGCCTATGTACATAATTAGGTAATTTGTTTTTAAGGCTATCGTTTGATAGGAAAATCACACAAAAACAGACTTACAGGCAATAATATGGAACTCATAATTTTACTATAGTACCTAAGTAGGCAAGTTAAATTAGTTGAGTCACTATTGCGTCAATGCTCCAACCCCTTCGGCCATATTGGAAACTAGTATCCAAAACAGAATTATTTCTCTTTTATCGAAACCTGGTTTCCAAAAAAGAAAAATAATTCTGTTTTCGAAACTGGTTACCAACACAGAATGTTGGATCTTCTTTTGAAACTCTGCCAATATAATAATAATTAAAATTCATGGCTGTAATTCATAAATTCAATTCAATTTCAAATTCAACTCATTTAGGATTAAATAATCAATACATGATATCTATCATTACTTATAGTAGGATAACTTTCTGTAATTATTTCTAACCAAGGATTGTAGGTTGGAAGTTTCGAAATAAGATCCAAGCTTCTGAGTTGGAAACCAGTTTCGAAAACAGAAATATTTTTCTTTATCGGAAACCAGGTTTCGATTAAAGAGAAATAATTCTGTATGTTCCAATTTGGCCGAAGGGGCTCCAACACCTAATTCTAACTTCGAACAGTCTGCTCATCACATCTTGTGGGAATATAGGTTTTGTTAAATGAACGTATTATAATTCTATATAGCTCACAGGTGACATATTGGGGCGTATGAGAGTATTGTGTCAACTTCCGTCTTGTGTTAATTTCCATGCGTTTGGCGATTCTGCCGTACATATAAGGATCAAATATTTATACAGTTGACCCATAATGTTTTCTTCTTCTTTCTGCCTCTACTGTTCATTATGAAACCCTGACTTTTCTGTCTCTATAACATTTAAATGAAAAACATATTTTTACTTATAATTATTTATTATTCTTAAAATGAAAACTCCCTCACTTCTGTAATAGTTACTAAATAATTTGTGGAAACCACTGTCAAGAGTGATGGGACAAAACAATAGAGTTTGAGCATTACTTAATTAATAGAAAACACATTGTCAATTGATTTAAGTTCTTAATATACAGAAAACAATAATTCTAATAAAAATAATTTAATTCAGTAACAATCTTCCTACTAGCCCTAATTAGCATCAATAAATAAGATGACTTCGTTTTGTGGATCTCTTTGGAGTGATAAGGTCTTATGTCGTTCATAAATATGCTAACTATTCAAAACTAATTTAACTTTAAAATGAGTTTACTTCTGAAACCACAAATTAGTTACAATGTAACTACATTAATGAACTTACTACAAGCGTAGGTAAATTATATATCCATATCCCAAAATTAATATTACAATACAGACTGCTCTGTATCTTGGAGCTATAATTATGATATAACGGCATTCTGAATAATTGAAATTAAAAAAACATATTGCTTACGTCAATGTTAGGCGGATGTTGAATTTTAAAAAATATCTTCAATAAACCCCCCCCCATCTTAATTGCATATGGAACACAATTTAAACAATGGCTGCACCATTTTCTCTAAATAATACTATATAATTGTGTATGTACATAAAACTTTAGTCACGCTGAATAAAAACTATCGGTAACCATCCAGCTTCGGTTATTTTCAATCAGTGCGAATACCCCATCTCATTTCTGATGTACATACATTAAAACTAGAAGATTATTCTATATATAATGCGATAGTCTATTTTACTAAAATAAAACCTAAACACTACAATAAAGGTAAAAAAATTATAGTTAATAGCATTAAAAAACATCAATCAATCAATCTCACCAAAATTCAAATATTGAAAATCTGTCTTTTATTAGTACAAAAATATCGTAGCTTTATCCACGTGTCGCTCTGTTCTATGATGAAAACTATTTAAACTTTACTACACTATCTATCCTACATTTGCAAAATTATTTAGGATTCATATATTTATTGCTATGTATATTTTTAATATTAATAAAGCAGTTTGCGTTAGAATTGTATGGAATCTCATATTTTAGCAATTATTTAAATGCCACTTTACCTATATGAGTATCATAGTATATATCTGCCTATAATACCTAATTCATCATAAGTTTTAACCATAAAACTACAGCTGGACTTTAAAATTCAATATTGATAGTATCCTTATCTATAAAGTAATAAGTCTTACCTGAAAATATCTAGCTAATATTATCTCTTAAGAATCACTTACGTAATAAAAGTATATAATAATAATTGCAGTAAGATCTGAAAATCTGCGGTGATAATTCATATTAGTAAGCATGCGAGTACATGAGAAACGTATTACATAAGGCAAGTGATTAATATGTTATTTCTATATAGTTCTAAAACACTATCACACTCGACCAAATCAAAAATTATGGACAATGCACTACAATTCATCGTGGAGCACAGCTCTTTCGGTCATCAGTCGCGAAGTAATTAAACCAGGAACACTATTATTACCATTATGTATTTTACACTAGCTCTCCCTACTGGAAGCTAAATTACTTACAACCATACACCATGACTATGTACACACCTTCGATGCTTCTGTAGAGCGTATACAAAAATTCCCATCCTAATTCCACAAAAAAATCCATTTACAATCAATCAGACATGATCTATAACGTCTAATCGATAATAACGTGGCGCACCAACAAATATATTATGATATATAGTACACCTTATTATATAGTCATTTAAGCTCACTGACGTGGGTAAATTCGGCGAACAGCACATTTGTTAACAGCTAGTTCTATAGGCGTTTTTTTAAAGCATTCTAAGCCAGTATATTATGAAAGTCGGTTACGCACTCGCAGGCAAAAAGCCTTTTGATGTTTTTCATATATATTCATAGCAACATAAAAAAGTTAATAGTTTTGATTTCCCTGCATTTGATTTGATCTCTAGAGATGGTTAAACATAGTACGTAAGCTTGCGAGTCAGTGAGCACGTACAATAGTACTGGCCTACTAAAGGCCCACTTATATTTAAAAACACACACATCACTTGGAAGGCTTGTGCTTCGGAGGAGTTGTTGGGGGACCACCTGCTTCCGCCGAAGCGCCAATAGCCACCCCCTCGCTGTCTACCTCCATCTAAAAGCGGAAGAAAATCATATGGATAGAGTAATAATTACGAATGATAACAGTTGACTAGAATCATTAACCAAAATAAAATATCAATTATTTTTAACGCCCGATGCACGACGATGGATATTATAAGTTTGACGTGTCTGTGTGTCTGTCTGTGACATTGTAGCTCTTAAGGCGCAGGGTTCTCCTAACCGGTGCACGCTACCGACGATGTGGTTTGGCCGCCCGTCGCGTGCGACGGACGGTCAGAGAATCCGGCGCCTTAACGAATGGATTGATCATAATGTATTTTTTTTGTGTGATAGCCTACGTGATCTAAGATGGTTTTTGGTTATAATTTGTGAAAATCATCAACTAATTTCTTATGTGCACTAACTTACAGAACTTCGATTGATTGGCAATTTGGTGTACTGTTAGTTTAGTAGTATTGCCATGATATGGAATATAACCTTGACCTGATGCTGCAGCCAAACCTTGGGCTGATGCTAAGTGTCGGGATTAGGTCCAAATTTTTAACGTCTTAAAATAATTAAATAAACTTACCTTTTCATCTTTTGTAGTCTGTGGGGAACTCGTTCCATTATTGCCATTGTCTGATCCTGTTTCTCCTGACTCAGTGGTACCTTAAAAAAATCTAGTTATTATTTTCTAGTAAAAAAATAAACCGGACAAGTGGGAGTCGGTTTCGCACACGAAGGGTTCCGTACCATGATATATAAAAACGGCAAAAAAAAAAACACGTTTGTTGTATGGGAGCCAACCTTGAATATTTGTATTATTTTAATTTAATTATTTATTTGTAAAGTGAATATAATAACTAAATATTCTTTGAATGTTTCAAGCGTCTACCTGTTGCCTGAACCCTAAAAATCTTCGGTTTATTAATAGTTAAACAGTGAACCTTATTACCTTAAACAGTCTCCCACCAAAGTAATTCTCCTTACTCAAACAATTGTAGTGGATTAACTAATAATTACCAGTAATTTTGATCAACATCACTATCATTTTTTGCACGGTGTTTGCTAATTTTTTCTGTATTTTAGTTTTATAAAGTCTTAAGGTGTTTACCAGCTTGTATGTGATGTGCGTTGCCGCGTTCTGCATCGTGCTCTCTCACCATTGCGTCTAAATTGTAGCGACGCCTGTATGAAATAAAGAAGGAGCGTACATGCGCCTCAGTCTTTGTGCCCAAGGTGTCAGCAATAGCTTGGAAATCTCGTCCTGTGCATAAATTACATCAAATAATCTTCATTACATAATATCACATGAAACAAAATTCACGAAACCTATCATAGCAGTAGAAAACTATTGTAAATTAAATTGTCATATCACTGATATGTTAGGTTCATTCCCAGTAGTTCCATGAAGCCACATAGAAACCTCAAAAATGCGATTTTCGTACCATTTGTTCCATATAATTTTATACGATCGATAAAAACAAACGAAGATCGGATCGGATTCACCTTGCGCCTATTTTTATATTTTATCATCTATATGTAATGACTATTGTAAAAATAGGTGAAAGCAATTGTTGACCTCATAAACGTCCACAGTATTTAATATCTTTTTTTATATTCGTTATCAGCGTCATTTGTAGACCCCCAAAAAAACGTTTATAGGGAAATATCATTAAGGTCAAAAATTGCTCGCAACTGTTTTTTTTTTCTTTTCTGTATGACGTTTGGAAAACCATAAAATAGGCGCAAGGTGATTACGACCCGATCTGAGACCAAACTATCAATGCAGTTTTTCGTTATCACCAGTTGGATCGTTGCAGTTATTCTATAAAAAATATAGGCCACTAGTACAATAAGTCTACAATAATAAAAACGCAAAGAAAAATAATTATAACCATACCTAATTATTAAAGCGAAATATCTGATAACAGGATAATTCCCTTACCGTATTTTCGAACAGCCGTGACTGCCATAAGTAATTCATCGTTAGTCCAACGCGAATTAATCTTTGCGGGCGGCTCGCCAGGCCTCAACTCTTCCACGCCAGAGTCCCCAACCTTGCGTTTCATTGCGCTTAACTGCTGTTTGTTCTGTTGCACCTATGAAAATCATTCCATTCACTACAAGTACTTTACATAGCCAAACGTCTCAGGATTGTCACAAAGTTAGGGTATAGAGTGCATATCTGGATTATCCAAGAAACTACAAAGTAGGACTTGGGATTCGGTCGCACAGCAAACAGTCAAGCAAAAGAACATGGGATATTAAAATAATACTAAACAAACTTAAATTAAAATCAAAACTTTGATCAATAACTAATCTATTGTGTGCAGAATACATTTTTTAAACAATACCACCTAGTACAGTATTGCAGTTTAATTAGCATGATATACTACGAAATTATTGGCTATTGATAATAAAATTAGTTGTTTTATCACATTCTCACATTACATCACACAAACGCTTAGTCACACCCATGCTCTATGTAGGCAAATGACTAGTTTAAATATATGAAGTATATATACTCCGCCTCTGCTAAAATAATTTGTCATTTTAGGTTGGTTATACAAAATGCCATCTTGTTCTTGCAAAGAGGGAACTGAGTGTCAACGTAAGGGTGAGAATGTGTCTTGCAACGGCACTACATAGCGACATCGTGGCGGGTTGCGTCTTACTTGTCTCTTTAGAGATATAATTTCTCTGTCCATAGCTTTGAGCATAGCTTCGCCCTGATTGACAAGCCCGGGCTGCGGAGGATCGCCAGGCTGGGGGCCGGAGGCCATTGCGACGAGATCATCGTGATTGATGTATATGCCGCGCGGTAGCCGGTGCTTGTATCGCTGCTGTTTCGAACCTGGACCACGGCGCCCGGACGGTCCGCACAACGGTCTCATTGTCCCCGTACGTCTGTTACATCACCGCCAATATTCAAATAACCATCCCTATATACAAGTTTAATGAAATCACACTCCAAATTAGATTGTAACTGTTTTATTCATGTCATGCATGTGATTGCAACGATCTCATAAACTAATAAAACTGTAGTAGAGTACCGACCTGGCGTGCACGAGGCATGCCTGACACAACTTCTGCGAATTGTGCGCCGTGATCTGGGTGCACAGAATGCCGCAAACAGTGCACCACTTGCCCGCATTCTCGCCGCCGCCCTCGCCCTAAACCCCAATAGACATTTTACATTCCTGTCACTTAAAGAGACTACCACTCTACACGAAATAACTGTATGTAACCTTCGTGTAGGAACGGACAAAAACGATTACAATGACTTCTCACACACTTCTTTTAAAACCCATTAGAATATTAAATTATATTCTGCACACATTAGATTAAACAAGTTTTTCTTCTTTCCTCGGGGCTATTAAAGGAAGCATGCGGGAACATCATAGGAAACTGGTTAGCAAGGAAAGGGTTTACAAATAAGGAAAACACAGTGTCATGATGAACTATTGTCTAAGAAAATCCATCACAAACCAGAACACATATTATTTCATTCAAATAATCAATTCTTCTTTCTCAATACTGCCAAATCATATTCCCTAAACAGAATTCTATAGCAAAAAGAAAAAAAAAATTGTGTGTAATGTGTACAGTGCATCCCAGGTAATCATGAACAGACATGAGCATAGAACATCTGCATGAGATTATGCAGTTGAGTGGGTTACCAAACTACTTTTGCATTACAGTCTTTTCTGTTACAATAAAATGTTCAAAAAAACAAAAATATCTTGTAGATTTCCAGAGAAACACTCAGGTTTTATAAAATATATTTGCTACAACTCAACTTATAATCAGTGTGAGGAAAACTTAATATGCTAGACTTTTAGTAGTATGACATAATGGAGCAGAAAAAGAGTTAAACACTGGAGTACTTTCATGTATAATGAATCATTTTAGTATTATTAATGATGAATATTGCATATGGGAGTAGTAGCAATCATAGTTTGTTGATAAAAATGCAGAGCGGTCAAAATTAAACAAGCAGAATACAGAAAGCTTCTGGATATATTTCTTAAAAATAAAACAAAATAACAGCAAATGAATTATAATGTACACATTCGACGATCAGAAGCGATTACTATAACATTGATCAGTCATTTTTTCCAAATTACTGAGCTATATGTATAAAAAAACTATTAAGCATAATGTTGCCACGATCAAAACTTGCATGAAAATCAAAATAATGATATGATGTGCAACTATGTCATGAGTGACTAACAAAAAAATTGTAAAGATATGGGATTTTTAAAACAAGGGATCAATAAATCTCAAATAGAAGATTTCAAATATTGAATAATGGATGACACACCAATTGTATAGACAAAGTGAAAGGATGGAAGAAGACACTGAACATCAAGTTTCCATGGTGACAGCAAAGTTATACTCATTGTGGGGAAGCGAAGCACCCACCTGGGCGCCTTGCAGGCCCGCGGCGCGTTGCGTAGCCCCGCCTGCCGCGAGGGGCTTCCCTCCACGGACAATACCACGGTGGAAAGTCCACTTCTGTTATAATTATTCAACATATATCCATAACTCAACAATAATAATATACCATTGAAACATCCAACACAGCTGACTTATTTAATTATACACTATGTTTTAGTCATGGTGAATTATACCCTAAAGCCATGATGATGTGAACTGTCCACCAGCAGAGCAAACAATTTATCATTTCTAGATTACCCACTCTAAAGATAAATACCCTGTACACAAAAGAGACAACAATCTTCTGTTATAATTTTACTGAATTATTGCCACTCTGCAGTTTTATTTACTGAAAATCTGCCAAAAAGTTTTAAAGAAATAACAATTTGGACAATCCAGATACACTACCAAAACATATTTAACCATGAAGGGTAAAATGATACAAATTGACTTTATTTCTGTAACTAGTTCATTGGTGACATAGTAAAAAAAGGAGCAAATAATACATACAATTTACAAGCTATACAATACATTTAAGCCATACATACCTTTTCATCATTATCTGAGTCTTTGTCAGATCCTCCAGGTTCAGATCCAGCGCCAGATTCCCTTTTGCTTGTTCCTGACCCTGTAGCATTGCGACCTTCACCAACCACATCCATGAGTGAAGTGCGTGCTCTTGTCTTCTTCCACGAGTAGTAATACTTGACTAAAGATGCTATGGATTTGTCTGGCAACTAAATGAAGACAATTATGTTAATATCTAAAACAGGTTAACCTTAACATAAAATAAGTAATCTGCACACCCACCATTTGCCGTATTCTGTGAAAACTTTTGCCATGAAACTGAAAAGCTTGTTCAAAGAGGACTTTATCCTCAACTGTCCATTCATCTGGAAATGGAGTGAAATTTGCCAAGTCCATTGATGCTCTGTTTAGGTCATGTTTATGCCAAAATAACATGCCCAATGCTTGTTCCCCATTATAGCCATACTTTTCCTTAGCTGTAGTTATGTATTCATCCACTAAAAAAAAACTTTATTTTGAAATGGGAAATCATAAGACATTATTTTAACACCATGAGTAATTTTAAATACTTACGTTTGATGTCTGATATGTCAGAAGTAGGTGACCAAACAAGTAAAGCTCTGTCAGATATTAGTTCAGGCCTCCGCTGCTCTACTGGTTCCAGTTCTGGACACACTGCCTGATAATCTCTACCCACTCTAATTTTCTCAGCTGCAAACGGTACTACTGCTTGGTTTGATTTTACAAAGTGTGGATGAGATGAGCGCAGCATGAAGGCGATGATGGTAAGCATAAAAAACAACGCACGATGTCAGATGATTATGATTAAAATTGACCCAGCCGTTAGCATATTATGAAAACAATAAGTGTAAGTGCAGACGGATTTATTCACAACTCGGTTACAATCACCCAATACCAATCGACATGCAAAAAAAGCTCCCAATTGTTAAAACAATATTCCTCAAAAGCTATAATAAGCGTTATGAAATAAGGATTATCTCGTACCATTCTCATCTTCTGAACTTGAATCTGGACTACCATGATCATTGGGGCTTGGCCCCCTTGACCGCTTCCCGTTTCGAACATCATTACTTCTTTCAGCCAAAACCATGATTATGCACTCGTTAACACAAATTTCACTTTATTAAAACACTATATAACTGTACATTGAAATATTATTATCTTTTAGTGAAGGAAATTATTAGAAATAAGGAGCTCCGCACATAAATTCAAACGTGATTCAAACCACCGCATCAATAATTTGACAAACCAAACAAGGGAGGCAACGATTCATTTGATGGCGTCTGTAGCTTGCTAGGCATTCACTTTCTGTAATTGTTAAATACTGAGTTATGATTTTATAAATTATTGACTACAGTTTACTATATTCATAAATAATAAAATCAATGATTTTTTAGTAAATACCTATTTAAAAATTTTGCTTTTCACTCGGAATCATGTCTTGTGGAGTTTTTTTTTACTGGCAATATTAATCCTACAGACTTTTCTAAAATTACCAAGTAACATTGGATTGATTAATTACTTTGTAAGTTTGTAAAGCAATTATCCTTGATCTGCTAGCAGTAACATTTTCTTAATAAAAAAATAAAGTAATTTATTTAAAGATTGTGGCTATTATGGCAATCATTTAATAACTTTAATTAATTTTTGAGTTAAGAAACTATGCACCAAAGTTTAGCTTTTAATTGAAAAGATGGCGTTATCGAACATTATAATAATGTATCAAAACAATAAACAAACAAAATGGTCTGGCTGTCGTCGTATACATCATTAGTTGTTTTTTTAGTTTTTAAGTGATGCCCTGACAAACACGCTAACGAGATAAATTAAACGTAAGAACGGAATAAAATAAAGTCCGGTGCAGTGTTTTTTTTTGGAAATCTGTATATCTTAATGCACTAAACGTATTTTAGGCCTAGTTACAGTAGCTACCTTTTACTTGCATAAAACATTGTTTAGATCCTAAGAACATTAACAGTCATATGCAGCCCATTAAGCTATAAAGCCGTAACACTATATTACTAACTAGGTACCTACTGAATTATTTAAAATTTATAAATGTTTACTATCCTAGAATTAATTTTATAATTTAATATACCTAATGTATTGATTGATGGAAAAATATTTTTCTCAGAAACGTCCGAGGTTGCGTCTCTATTTTCACGTCAGCGTTAATATTCTTAACAAAGGAAATTTCGAATAAATAAGAAAATAATTCCGGAAATTATCGAAAAGTGAAAGTTAGATATTTTCAAAATCGTCTGAAAGTTTTATAGCATGTTTAAATTATGTAAATCTGAAATGTTAGATTTACAACAGTTTGAATAGAAAAATCGTCAATTAACAGTAAATCAATAAACCAACTCTTTGTCAGAATATTAAGATATGCATAATAACTTTTCCGATGTATTTTCCACAATGCTAAAAAGATGTAGGTCTAATGGTACGGGTGTGCCCAGTGCAAATCTGTACCAGTAACCAGTTTTATGGCTTAATGATCAAGGCATACACCTAAGTTAAGGAAATTTATTAAGTTTCTTATAGTTATACATATTGTAGGTAAGGAAAAGTTTTATTCAAAGCAAATAGTTCTACACCAAATAGTTGTATAAACAGTAGTTGTACCTATGTAAGTACGTGTGTGTAAAACTAGATGGAATGGTTTAGTGGATTTGCTTATTAGATTTATTTATTTAAAATTAATGCACATGTAGTACAAAGTACAGACAACCTTCAGGAGACGTAGAAATATGATGCGGTTGGTGGAAAGATAAAATATCAAATTTATCGTAGTTCATAGTTCGGTAAATAAAAGATAAGCCTACATTCGCTATAACAAAAATACACGAATGCATTACTACATACCTATATTATTACATATAAGTCCAGATGTATACACAATACATACATACACATATATAAATTTAATATTACATATCTATACTAATATTATAAAGCTGAAGAGTTTGTTTGTTTGTTTGTTTGTTTGAACGCGCTAATCTCAGGAGCTACTGGTCCAATTTGAAAAATTCTTTCAGTGTTAGATAGCCCATTTATCGAGGAAGGCTATAGGCTATATATAATCACGCTAAGACCAATAGGAGCGGAGCACCAATGAAGAATGTTTCAAAAAAGGAGAAAATTTATTACTATTGAGAGACGCAGACGAAGTTGCGCGGGTCAGCTAGTATAATATAAATACACAGTCGGGTACAAGCGTTGTGAATGTTTTGCCAATTCATATCGAAGAAGTTCGCGTAGGTACTTTTGACTTGAATGTAAGGCGGTTTGTGGACATCCTGATTTCGGCAGGGAATGCATTCCAGAGAAGCACTAACGGCACGTAGAAGTGAGAATTGATAAAGTTGGATGTGTGAGGGGGCATAGAAGAAGCATATTGTTTGTTGATCGAAGATTTCGGTCGTGATGGGAGCATAAGAAACGGAAGTGGGAAATGAGGTATTCAAGTATCGTTGGAGAGAGAAAAGAGAAGTCAGTCCTCGACTTAGATAAAGAAATACCTTTACCTTTTCTTTATCTTTGATATATATATATACATTATTTTAAAGATTAAGAAATATAATGTGTATTCTGACTCTAGTCAACTCAATCATGTAATTTAAGTGGAGTGGATTAGATACGGCTAAAATTTAGTAACAGTCGCAAGAAGGAAAACATAGACTTGAGCTAAGCGTTACTTGGACTTGTAACACCTGAACAAAAAGAGGCATTTATAAAAAGTACCTATGCAGAACAATAACACTTGTCATGAAAGAGCGATGCTTAAGCATATAAGGGCTAGGCTCGTCCGGAGTGTTAGCACGACCTCACAGAAAACCGGTGTTAAATAGTTCTTTCATTGCTTTTCACAGAGTGAGTGAGGTTAAGGGAGCCCAAACCCTCACCCTTTCCCTGATTCTGGAGGGAGGGACTGAAAAGTCGGCAGCGTACTGGTAACTGTTGAGTTGCAGGGTTGCACATTTACGAATTTCAAGTCAATAACAAACTTAATGCTTCTGTCCGCAAGTCCATGAGCGGCGGGTCTGCTCGTGAGACCACACTCAGGGCGACATGAGGCGCTGGAAGGCACGCCAGCGTGTGCGTTGCCCCAGTGGAAAAAGTTCGAATTTCATTATTAGTTTATCAGATATTTAGTGTGTGACGACGTGTAATTGTATGGTATGTAAGAATTTGTGGATCCAACCATTTTTTTATCCTATGGACGTAGAAGAATAAAAATGGTATCAAAAATTAGTGTATGAGGTGAGGTAATTGTGTAAGTTGAAATCAAATTTGTGCGTTAAAAAACTGCGAAGATATTCAATTTTTGCTAGATTTCATATAGAACGCTTTTCTAGAGGTGAAGATTTTTTCATACGTTGTTTTGAATTTGTTTATACTGTTTGTAAAAATGGATTTAAAAACCATACCATTCAGAAGATATAAATATAAACGTAGAATAAGGTTATTAGGTCACTTATGCACTAGGATCTAGTTTATAACGTTTATACATACCTTATAAGCATCTACAACGTCTTGCCAAGTATAATTTATGTACTTATGTAATTAATGAGCTATGGGATCATTTACTATGACTGGACCACTGTTTCATAGGCAGTCTTATTGCACGAGATTCTAAAGGAAATGCGTGATAAAACCTATTCGAATAATTAGTCCATTAATTCAAATATGCACATGTAAAATTTCATTTCTATACTCTCCATAATTAACGAAATACTGACAACCATCGCAATTCGTACATAACCCGACCGAGTTCGCATGGCTGTAAAAAAGCGGCCGTGCAGCATATTTAGGTAATATTCTAAAATTTACAGTATAATACCGGTATTGAATTGGTACAGGTGGTTACACAATTTCTAAATAAAATTCCGAGATTAAGACATTAGGTCGCTTGCTTTTTCTGCAACTACTGTGTCCAAAGTATTTGGGTTGTGGTTTTATATATTTTAGTATTGGTTATATATATTTATGACAAAAAAACATACAAATAATCAAGTGCCAAAATTCATAATGGGCAATTCATTGCATAGATAGGTAGACCATAATTATATCTTAGAAAAATTATAAAATATACGACATATTATATTATCATAACATCACGTAGGCACGTGCCTACTTTGCCTGAATGTTAATCTGCCACTGGTTAAGGCGCATGTTAAATAATATTCTTAAGAACTGATAAACATCGTAATCTTCATGTAATAAAATTATACCTATTATATTTTTATCAATTAGTATGGATAAACTAAAATCAGGTCTAATCTCTATTTTCAGGAATATCATCTCCAGTCCATCCATTTATCTTTTATATTATTAAGAGACTGTTTTAAATGCCAAAAAACTTGTTCGTATTTTAGAAGAAATTAATAATGACGAATTTTCAGAAACAGATTTTTTATAAATGTATTAATACTACAATTGAACTAATGCTTTAGTGATATTACAATAACGCGGCAATCATGAACGTCTTGCAACATCATCTAGAATCACAAATATATAAGTTCACTTGTAGTGTGGGCCTGTTAGCCAGTGCCCCGGGGCTGATCTTGTTTTAACTCATTAGAATAGTCTCAATGTTTTGTTAATTAATGGTTTAATCAGGGGCACTTTTGATTTTATTATGTGCTTGTGTACAAATCAAATAATAACATCATTTCTAAGGAGAGGCCTGTGTCCAGCAGTGGACTATTAACGGCTGTTGATGTGATGTGATGTGTTTGTATTGTTGGATGTTGTTCATAAGCAGAACAAAGACCACCATAACCAATACTTGGGTTTTTTTGCAAATCTTGATAATGAAGATAAACACGAGTACAAGTTATATGTACCTACCTCCATGAAAAAAAATAGAAATATAGAACAACATGAGCATTAACAAAGTAACTAAATATAATGTATACCTACATGTATACTATAACAATAAATACACAATTATAGTACACATTTAGAATGTTGTAAAATAAAGTCGCTTTTTTGTTGTTGTACGCTTAAATGTTTTAAATTAAGCAATGGATTTTAATGCAGTTTTCACCAATAGAGAGAGTGATTCAAGAGGAAAGTTTACATGTATAATAATATAAAATATAAAAAAAGATTGTCGTGAAAAACAAGCTTCGGGGTGTACGTCCATCGCGGGTGGCAGGATCGGAGCGGGCCTATAAATATTGCTTAGTTATATAATATAGTTCTATCATAATAATAGTGTAACTAATTACTCCACAATGACACCACACTAGTAGTTTCTACATTGCACCCGTGCGAAGCCGGGGCGGATCGATAGTGTACCTATACATCCATTCCATTCTCATCATCTTACGCAGATGTACAGAAAAGGTATAACAAACCGAATTTAGTAATATAATACAGCATATGAACATGGCAACGTTGGCGTATATGTAATTATTCAATTGAGTTGCTTGAAAAACCGACAAATGAAAGTATATATGATAAGGGAATATGATTATTTCCTTAGATCGTAACATGTGACGATAGTTCTTTCTGGACAAAGGATAGATTTGGGTGCCCAAGAGAAAGAAACTATCTTTCTACTATTCCATAAACTTATGTAGATTAATTGGATTTTTATATTTAAATTGAACAAAACAAAATTAAACGCGTACGGTTGGTAAGGAGAGAAAGAAGATTGTTTCGGTCTTACATCTCTCTTTGCTCTTGTCAGTGATTGGCTATTTAAATGCCCTCTTCAGTATCAGCCAATCAGTGCAGAGAGTAAAAAGAGATGAAAGACCAAAAGAGTCCCCTTTCTCTGGCTACCGGCCGGCCGGTACAACTACAATTTACAGAGGAATTTACAGTTCGATTTCTCTACTTATATCATATCTATGTTGATACCACACACAAAACACTGACAACCAAGTAAGCAACATAATATTAAAACCGATGCTACCCAACGATTATATTTCCAAAGTCCAATCAAATCTGGATGTACCGACACATCTGATTTTCATGGTGTGTTTCTAGTCATAAAAAAGAATAGGATTTGTGATTTGATTCGATTCAACACGAGATCGTCAGGTTTATGTTTTCACCGTAAAAAAATCCAATCCTATTTGCACTAGCTCCCTTTATTCAGTTTTTCTTTTAAACTTTGATGACATTATTATGACGGTTTCAGTTTACAGAAATAATATCATTATATTTTTGTTTTCTATTCTACAACCCAACGTCGACCGAATTTTTCTTATTTTTCTTGTCAGGCAATGCCTGCCTATATCCCTTAAAAACTGATTGTAAATATATTTTGATAAACTACGAAGCACACTGTTCATTCTCTTCAACATTACACAGTTGATTTCAAAACGAAATATAGTATGACAGCTGCCATTACCCGATGCTTTGAGAGCATTTTAGTTTTGCTTTACGTTTCAAGAATGTTATCAAAATAGATAACGATTATGTTGCGTTATAATTCCTTTGTAGACAGGTGTTAGAGCCGCGTCAGTCAGTAAGAAGGGAGCATACGATAACGAACTGTCGACAGATATGCCATTGTCGTACTCGCAACCGCGTTTTGTTCTTTACTAATTTTGCCAAAAAAGACCGAACAATTGTTGTAAACGTTATGTAACGTACATTTAGTGTTATTGTGAGTGATTATTTATTGTGGTGAAGATGAGGACGGTAGCATTGATCAGCGGGGGTAAGGACAGCTGCTACAACATGATGCAGTGTGTCGGAGCCGGGCACACGATCGTGGCTCTGGCCAACCTCCAACCTATACATAAAGGTTAATTTTGCTCCGATAACTGATTTAGATACATCTAGGTACATCTTTATTGAAAAATTCAATAACTGTGGCTATTTTCTCTCATCTACGATTCAAAATTGAATATATATATCGAAAATAATTTTGACTTTGAAACATATGTCAGAAAATAAAACAGCTATTATGAATTAAAATGCAATTTGGTAATTAGTATTTTTTATCTTTCTTTGACCTACCTACCTAGTAGTATTGATATATATAATGAATAACTAGTAATTCACATGATTAGTTTACTTATAATATTTTAAAACAAAAACCTCTCTGACTAGCAACAAAGAGATTTTCAATACAGTTTTCGCCTGTTATCGTTAAAATAAAGTGAGAATAGAATTAAAAAGATGACTTATATGCCTGTTTTAGATGAGCTGGACAGCTATATGTATCAAACAGTGGGACATCAAAGTATAGAGTTATATGCTGAAGCTATGGGTCTACCACTGTACAGGGAGGCAATAACTGGTAATGCTGTCAACCAGAGCAAAAACTATAAACCAACAGACCATGATGAAGTAGAGGATCTATATAGACTTCTGGTTAAAGTTAAGGTAAATTGTATATTTAATATTATCCTAGACTGTCCATGTAGTGATGGATTAAGAATACAGAGTATTCATCCCTGTATCACCCTTATTCATCCTGTGGGTGTTGTAACAGCCTAAAAGAGCAAACTGCGTAGGACAACAGAACTGCAAAGAGAAAAAAAACTTGAAACAAGCCCTATACCAACCTGTCTGGCCAGCATGGTATAGCAGGCTTAAACCTCCTTTCTAGGAAGAGGCCTATGTCCAGCAGTAAAGGCTGTTGATAAAATTGAAAATTAAAATGTATTGTTTTATAACAGTTTAAATAATAGATATAAAAAAGAGAGACATTTAAAAATAATCTGAAACATCTCACTCATCAAACTAAACAGGGTCATACTTATATATTTCTAACGACATACATATTATAGATAAACAACAAATGATCATACTCATCACCCAATATTTGTCCTGAGTGGGAATCAAACCCATGACCTCTGGATTAGCAGTCAGAATCACTAACCACTAGACCAATAGGGCTGTTAATAAAAGACTTATTAGTGTGCTGACTCATCAGATGGATGTCAAGTAGAACTTGATTGTTACTTTGATGGATACTTTGGCATAAAGTTTGTTAACCAGTGTAATCGATAGATTCAAATATGATATACTCATGAATATTTATATCTATTAAATAGACATACATGAATACTACTACTGCTATCTACAATTACCCTTGTTATTATAATTTACAAGTATTTTATGAAAATTTTGTTTGTAAAATAAATGGTGTATACCTTGAAAGGAGTCTCACACTTTTTGATGCAATACATAAAGTATGTACTTATTTCGAAATAATTGTATTGCATAATGTTAGTTTTTTAAGTACAAAATAATGTATAAAGTATAATTTACTTTATAAATCAAAGATATTTTAAATAATAATATAAAATTTTGTTCTCCACACTATAAGTTATCAACTTACAACACATTAACTTATTTGACTGCACGATGGTTTAAGTGGTCGTTTGCCGCCTGCTACTATGCTCAATCTCCACATGGGATAACACTTTGTGTGATCCACAAATTGTTGTTCAGAGTTTGGGTGTTCTTTGTGTATGGTTCATGTATGTTTGTAAAGTCCCCTGCGACAGCATAAATTTCTAATTGTTGTATTTAAAAGTTTCTAAGTTGCATTTAAAAGAAAAAAATAATTGTATAACTCAGTATCAATAATTTTAAAAAAGCATTTCCTATTTATGTAACCATTATTATAACTATTAAATTATTTTTACATTACATTACATAATTAAAGACTTAACATACAACCACTTAGAGAGTAGAATAAAGTCACTTTGTATATGATTATGAGATTCGGCTACATTAGGCTGTTCATATCTGTTAGGTAAAGTAATGTTCCTAGTTCAGTGTCTTGAGCTGTGCATTCCATTACGGGTAATATTTTGATTAAGTGACTCACTTTGTGAATTTAGTATCTTTATTTACTATGGTACTACTAAGGTAACCTGCCTTTAATACCATTGTCAAAGAGACACTATTAGTCTGTCATGTTCAAGGGAGCAAGTACCTCACTTATACTCTAAATAAGACCACAACTTGTGACATGCTTTTTTGGACTTGGAGCTAAATTGTTTTAAAGAAAAAATACTAATTTTATCATAAAAATCATGAACTTATTTGTAAATGTATTTATCAACAATTTTATCTAATGTAAACTTTAAAGGTCATATATGTCACAGCTTAATTACGTATCTATCATGTGTGAGATATAGGTGATTAGTGGTGGCTAATTCATCCATACTATCCTTATTTAAACTTCTTGTAAAGTGACAATGATACTTGTTAGCAGCTAAAAATGCAAGAAGTTGTAAGAAGAGAGAAAAGCAATCCCAAAATTAAGGTTTCTTTCAAATATATTTATAAGTTAGTGAACAAACATATCTATAAGCACTTGTTTTATAGAATAAAATAGCAGTTTTTGTTATGGCATGAGGTGCTAACAAGCTGATGGTTCACTGGTCTTATTTGTGCTTAAGCATGGCTCTTTATCATATAAATACTATATTAGTACTACTTCTTAACTAACCTTAGAAAAAAAAAGGGTTTGTCACTTCTGGTTGTGAATTTAAAATAGGAAAAATACTTTATTCTGATTTCAGGACGAATTAGACATAGAAGCAGTCTCTGTTGGTGCAATATTGTCTGATTACCAAAGAATTAGGGTAGAAAATGTGTAAGTATATATCCACATCATTAAACTACCATTACTTAAATAATTTGATTGACGTTGATTCAATTACTTAAATGACTTATTCATTAATCTTTTGTCAATGCATTATAGCTGAAGTCAAATGAGGCATGACTAATGTGTAAATGTTTTTTTACTTATCTAATTAATCACTTTTATTACTCAGACTGGTATACATAGTTACATTTATTTCTGAGTTTTTTGTTTCCCTCTGTCTTTGAGTAATAGCAACAGTCTTACAAGTAACTTTTTTGCATATTTCTTGTTTGGTATGTAGAAATAGTAAAAAAAAAAAAAAATTGTTCCCAATGCATACTAATGAAGTAGATTAAAAAAAACTAACAACTTTTTTATTAATTCTGTTTATCATACTGGAAATTGGCGCCGATATTTCTATTAACGTAAGATTGTTTGCAATATTTAATAGGTTATTGTACGTGCAACGCAATAATGTAAATAGCAATTAAAAATGGCTTCACAGTGCAATAAATACATTCGTTTGTTGCAGCCGCTCAATTATCTGACATACGTACTTTGTTCTTGGCACTAAAATATATTACTGTTCCATGTACATTGTTTACATAATATAATATATAGTTGTCGCAATAACAATGCGTTCTCTGAAACTGTAACATGTAGTTCTACCTCACACCTACAAATATAACTATACTATAAAACATTCGTTACCTAACATAATCATATATAAATGCATAGTTTATTCAACTTCGCCATAAAAACACATATTATGCTTATGTATATGTACTTAGTAGTGACGGCCTGGCCAGAAATAAATACCCGCGGATTGGGGTTATTAGTTTCTATGCCCGCGAATACATGAATGGACCTCAAGTTTTTTGCCAGGTAATGCCATTTTTTTATTGTATAGGGGACAAACGAGCGGACGTGTGCTGATGGTAAGTGACTACCGCCACCTTTAGACACATGCCCCTGCCCGGTTTTCTGTAAGGACCTGGTTTCACTCCAGTCGAGTAGGCCTATTTAGGCAGCATGGCTTTATTCTATCAAAATTTATAATTTCATAAACGTGATTAAATAAAATATCCGCTAAAAAGTTACGGACACGGATAAACTTCATTTTTATCCATCAGGTATCCGCGGATACAATACAGATATCCGGCCCATGGCCATGTCAAAATCATGCTATTCGTGGATTACACTGTATAATTGATCATTGTTCGAGATGTAATAATAAAGTTATTATTTTTCATAAAATCATTTATTTCTACCATTTTCACCTTTAAAACAAACCAAACTTTGAAAATAAAAACATTTAAGTAAAATATGTTCTTAAAACATTGTGATTGCTTATACAATTTTTTCTTGTTATTTTATAGAGGTTTATAGCTTACTTTGTTCACTTTCTCAAGGAAAAGAAGATTGAAACTTAACCTCCATATTATTATCATTTATTAAAAAGACGTTGACGCATGGAGGCCACTAAACCACATATGTTTTCCATAATTTTTAGATCAGGGGATCGCGATGGCCATCTTATAATCTTATTATCTTAATGTTGACGAAACCAACGAAACACTTGCACTAATGTCTTCCACGGGATAAATATTGCTCACAGCAGGTAGCCTTACGTGGTTCAAAACCTCGATGTCATTGGGATCTAGTTGGTATGAAACCATTTGTTTCATATTCACCAACCATAAACTGCCGCTGAGACTGATTAATAAGTAGCGGCTAGTTAAACAATCTTTTCACTCAACGTATCACGGCTTATCTCTATAAAAATAATTCTTATTACCTACACATTTTGACACAACACTTAATAGATTATAAAATAAAATATTACACTACAGTTAACATACCATAATCGAACAAAATAACTTACACATAATCTCATTGGATTTATTATTCATTTCAGATAAATTAAGCCCACTGCTACACAAAAGTACTAATAGTTACTTGCATTTTTAATAATATTTGCTTCCTTTTTGAATAATACAAATATTCAATATTAACACCACTAGTAGCAATAACTGATTTTACTAACCGACGTTATAACAAATTTATTACAGCCAGTAAATTCATATTGTTTCAAATCTACCCTCAAATTTTAGTGAATACTAGCTTAAAATGACTAAAAATGAAAAGAACTCTTTGACGTTCAATTAGTTACTACGAGTATAATCATACGCATCTCGTCTGCGTATGTGTCTGTGTGATATACGTTTATAGAAGAAGGTCGTAAGTCCAACTAGTTATAATGCTATTTCTTCGTAAAAGTGCTACTGGACTTATGACCGAGACCGTACATTATTAATCATTCTCACCTCCCACCATTAATACATTACTTGAATATTTTAAGTTTCGTAAATATTTTGCCTATTATTAATACAGTGATTGGTGTCTAGAGGGTCAACTAATTATTTTCAGTTTTATACGTTGTATACATACATGTATGAATAATGTATATATTTTGTATGTTCCTAAACCATTTATTTGAGTAGCTATCGCATAACGTCGTCGAGGAGAGTATAACAACTGGAATAAACTATGTAGGTGCTTGAGATATTTTATGAATCTGAAAAAGGGGTTGAAGGGTTTATTTTCTTTTAAAAAGTAATCGTACCTAATATTATGAATGTAAAACTGTGATTATTTATTCGCTTTCATGTCTAAATACCTCACTATTCACGTACATTCACATGAGCGATAGTGCTATTAATTATTAAAACCGAAGTCGTCAAACATAATCATGTCACATTGCAGTCGGCAATCGTTAATGCCGTAAATATTTTTAAATTATGTATCGTTATTAATGGTTAATTAACCATATTGTCACTTGCAAAGTAAAAAAATGATCATGTCAAATTTATAGTGTTACGTAAAATAATTATAAGTACACAAAAAATAATTAGGAGTAACTTAAGCTGTTTTTCCTCTCTGAAAAACCCTTTAAAATTTTGCAAGATCCGGGAATTTTCAAATCCTACGCGACCTAAGTCGCAGGTACCAACTAGTATCTACTAAAATCGAATTGGGTAACATTTTGCTTTCTACATCAATTCAGGTTGCTGAAAGATACGATGAATTGGTTGTGTGGTTAAATATCGCGTAAATAATTCAGGTGGATGATACGCTATCACGTGAGGTTATCGGACTTCTATCCAATATAATAATGTCATTAACCCGCTCCTAGCTAAAGCGTGTAGCTCGATTACAGTGAGATTTTAATTACGACTAAAATTACTATTATTGCACATTAAATATTTCAACATAATATATTTCTTATCGTATTACTAAAGTAGTTATTATAAAAAAAAATAGCATTTGAGTTAAATTTACTGTTCCAATGAATTACTGAAGTGTTCGGCTACATACCTAGATACATATTAATATGGCCGAGAACTATAACTACACCAAAGATGAAAAACGTTACAGAGTATTCTTGTAAGCTCTCACTGAGAAATTAAATATGTATTTTAATTTGATTTGTCATTCAAATAGAATACTACAAAGATTTGTTATAGATACTTTACTACCAGGTAGCTACTCCTTCCAAATATAGTAAAACATGGACTGGTCCAATGTAGGTAATTTCTAACATCCTTTAAAGTATATGCAAATAAAAAAGCTTTGTTTGCACTGAACTAGCGACGTCCTTCGGTTAGAAAACAGTTTTGTTTTTGATTTTTTTTTGCTGGTACTGATTATGAGATCCTTTATTTATGTAGATAACTTAGCTGGTATCTTTTAACAAAAAACATTGTTATTAAATTTATTTAATTAAGCAAAACCAACACAAACGACTGTCGCACCGAGCCAAAGATTGCTAACTATCACAACACGCCTGTTCCGATTTCGAACTGTATACCGTAGACAATCAAAGCGCATACACAAAGCTGTACATATACATGTATATATCATCATATCATATCCTATCTCAAACGCTTGTCTTTGTTCTTTCTAATATAATTATTTTTATTTTAGATGCCACCGGTTAGGTCTAGTACCTCTGGCATACCTTTGGAGGCGGAATCAAAAGGAATTATTACAGGAAATGATAACGAGCGGTGTCGAAGCCGTCATTATTAAGGTCAGTTCTTGACAAAATTACTTGAATGAAAATGAATCCTAAGTTTTTCAGGAGTAGTTTGTAGCAAGGTTTCTTCTGGTTTTATAACAGCCCGTAAGGACCCACAAGCACATAACACCGCAATATGGAAAAGCTGCAATGCTCTTTATAAATACATGTGCCCACATTTGTCACAGCAACCTGAGGGGCTGAACGAAGTTTTATCACAGAACATGTATAAAATTGAGGGACTATCGTAGGATTATAGATCGTGTCAGCCGTGCCAATAGAGAGGCAACGAAATAGCGCGCCCTTATTTCTTAACCTTGCTTTCTACTGAATAGATTGACACGCAAAAAGACAGCTTTCCGTACTTAATAAAAACCATATTAATCTTTAAACGCAAAATTTTACTTGTTTTTATAATCAAGTATGCACCACTATAAACGTAAGAAATTTCGGAAATCAAAGCCCTTAGCGATTTGACCGTACCTTAATACGTAATTTAAGAATTGAAAATAAAATCATTTTCCTCCAAATAAATCATGCGGAGGGATGATTAAAATGTGGCGATGAAGGTGTTAGGTATGGGAGTTAAAGGGTACAAGAGAAGAGGAAGACCAAAGAAAAAGTGGATGGATTGTATGAGTTAAAACATGGCTAGGAAGGGAGAAGGTAAACAGTAAAATGACGAATGATAGAGTAGGATGAAAGTATAAAACATACTGCGGCGACCCCAAATAAAATTGGGATAGCGGTAGGCAGATGATGATTTTTCTCTAAATAAATAGGGTTAAAAATTTAAACGTAGATTATTCTCTTTCCTCAGACACAATATTTCTATTTAGGCAAAACGGAAAGATACATCTTAACTATCCCTCTTCATTATCAAAATATTTAGAAAATCACGTCATTTAATCGTGAACACTCACGCCGTCCACATATTATTATTATCATGTCAATATGAGCGCTAAGGAAACAAGATTGCGAAAGTATTGTTGTCATAAAATGTGATAAATATATATTATATTAAATACCTATACTTGTCCGCTAGATTTAGTTTAGTGTGAACATAATTCTAGAAATGATGTATGGTATTATCGTGATATTCACTGAATGGGTGCTAGTACATGGTTCCTGTTCCATGTTTACATAAGTTCGTCAACTATGTAAATGTTACTACCGTTTTAGACTAATACGTTTAAAGTAGGTAGAAAAAGATCTCAGCAGCAATGTGTAAATGACAATGGCTACCTAAGTGCGTAACGTAAGTACTACGTCGCAGGTATCCTAAACTATACCGCGTGATCAAAAATTCATCGGGGGTTTTGCTCTAATGACCAAAAAACATTTTAATATCTTATTTATTGCTGATGGCAAAAGATCGTGCACCAACAAGATAAACCGACCAAGTAAAAGACCCATTGTCCGCCAAGTGGTAGACAGACGTCTTGACACACGAACTAGAAAGGAGAGAGAATATCCGCTCCAGAAGCAGCCACGATCCTCAGACATGAGGGACCGACCAGAGAGAGGGGTTATTGCTGATACTGACAATCACAGTATTAACCGGAATACGCAACTATGCTGATAAATCCGGCTTAAGCCAAGTTCCAACAAAACCCAGTTCCACATATCAGCAATAATGGTTTTTATCAATATTATAGAGAACGTGTATGAAGTGCAGGCATATATAACATATTCCCTTTATCGGACTGTTAATATCGAGAGTTCGGAACATACCGATAACAGCAATATGATTCTTTTTGTAATTTATTATCTTTATAATAAACAGCTTAGGTGTTAGAAAAGGCTTGTCTTAATGTATAAGGGGCACGAGCCTTAAACGCCTTCGTTATCAAAATCATGCACGCGGTGTGAAAACAACTTCCGATCCCAGAGTAGGTATTGTAGATATGTGTGACGCGGCGACCAACATACTCTAGGAGGCTATTCTGCTATAAGGAGACACATAAGGTTTTCTGAAAATCTAATGCATACATCTGATTGGTTTTTACATATTTGGAAGTGCAAATAAGAACTCGAGCAGGGCAGAGACACATACCTCAAACTGCTTGTTGCTGGATAGACTGACCCCTTTAATATTTTTGAGGCATGTAGCAACGTAGTGTTATCAGTTTTTATCGCGAATGATGAGAAGTCGTTGCGTCTGATAACGTCATCTGCTGCCACTCATTATGTTTATAAATTTATTTTAAAGGGACACGTTATCTTACGCTAATTAAATAATTTGCGTCAGATAAATGATCTTGGTTTAAATTGAACATTATAAGGCCATCGGAAAATGTTGATACTGAGAACACAGAGTGTGTGTGTGAGTGTGATAGTATAGTATATTATGTTTCATGAAACGGTGTTGGGACGCGTAGCCGTGTGCAAGTGACTCTGCTTGACTACAAAATAATTTCGATGCGTCTCGCAACCGCTCAATTTTTTTAAAACCTGAATTCAGTGACACAAAGGTTATCGCTAATAGAAATATTAGAGGAATATTTTGAGCTGTGAGTTTGTGTAATGATATAAATATTATGTTTTCAATACACTTACATTATCAGTAATCATTAATAAACGATAGGGGAAAAACGTTAAGGAGTGTCAGCAAAGAGCAGTCTTGTCCTTGTCATATGTCTTGGGGGCGTCCATTAATTACGTGAGGGGTTTTCGACGAAGTCGTGAGATTTGATTCAACCCTCTACCCCATCCCCCAATGTCACGTGAGATTTATAAAAATGTGTTTTAGTGTAAAGGCTGGCGGTATTGCTTAAACAAACGACGGGCTACTGTGCAACTTCGCGGCACTCGCAATACCATAAATATTATTTTATAAGACTTGCCCATATTTCCGTGGAGGATGTGTTTTACCTTTTTTTTTCACAAACGCGGAGAAACAGCGGCATTTCAAAATGTTGGTCACTATCGCTCTCTATTCTGTAGAACATCATCTCTTTCTTAAACTTAACTTTACTAAATATCACTGAATAAACGGAAGGGTTGCGACTCTATTACAAAGGTCTATTACAAGAGGGTACCAGTGCCTATAGAACTTCATCGACGATTACTCCTCTTATTCCAAGATAACTCTTAATAACTCTCTAACTTGCTAACTCTTTAAATTCTAGGTATATGTACATCCTTAATTCATATAGATTGTTTTCGCATAATACCTCTATATAATAAAATCATTTTTTTAGGTGGCTGCATTAGGGCTGGACCCGAGGATACATCTAGGAATGACGCTGCGCGATATTCAACCCCATCTTCTAGTCATGCAAGAGAAGTATGGACTCAATGTGTGTGGTGAGGGCGGCGAATATGAAACCTTCACGCTAGACTGTCCTTTGTTTAAAAAGAAACTAGTTATGTGAGTATACTTCACCATACATTTATTGGTATACATCTACTGCTGTCCAATATAAGCCTCGACGCATATGTACCATCTCTGTTTTTATTTTATATTTGTTAAGTAAACATTAGTTGGTAATGTTATGACGATAGGCCTCTCCATAGAGGCCTATGTCCAGCAGTGAACTAGTAAAGACAGTGGATGGATGGATGGATGGATATGACGATTTAGTAAAACGTAAAAGTTATGCCTTAGAATTATCAAAAATGAACTGAACCTACCTTTTTTAATATTGTAACAAGATAAAGATTTAACTATTACTACTATTCCCGGTATATACATTTTATGGCAGTTTGATAATTTCCAATTTGAGTTTGACAATTGAAGAAACAATAGTCCTGGTGTATTTACATAAAAAAACCCTATGACGTAGCTTGAATTTCTGCTATAAAAAGCTTACCTCAGTATATTTTTATAATACCAAATCGTTTCTGAGATTCAAAAACAATAGAAGCCCATAAATTATATTATTATTTTTAGGCATTTTGTAAATTACGTGACGTTACATGCAAGTTTCGGCTAAAAACTTCATGCGAGAAATGTGCTACTTTTTCCAAGGTTTTTTTTTACTAGAAAAATGTCATGATGTTGATGAACGATCCGATGTAGAATGTATTGTCTATGTCCAAATATCAAAAAGAACAGGATCATTAAGAATTTAAGTTTGCAAGTCAGTATTTCAATCAGCTAGTTACTTACATAAAATTTAATTTTCTGTAAGTAGCTTTAGCTCGTTGAACAAAACATGGTCCCTCATTATTGGCTTGATAAACAAGCTCGGAGTCTCTTAACGGATTATAGAGAAAGCCATGCTCGAAGTTAGAACCGAATCAACATTAAAGGGATATGAGATTACTGACAGAACGGACCAATAAGTTGAAATAGCAATAGGCAACCCATAAAGGTCCTGGAGTCGTAACCACGGACTGAAAAAGAGAAAGACGTCAAAAATGTGAACAAATGTGTTTGTAAAGATCGTAGGCCCGACGACGGGCGCTTCCAACCGGTCTTCTAGGCGGTAATCAGGGTAGGTATATATCCGGCAGTCGACGTCCTATGGCTAAAATGATATTGGTCCATGAATATACGTTATGCAGTCATTATATGTTGTTGTTGCTAGTCACTGCATTAATACGACTTTACATTACAAGCGTACAAGAAGGAGGTAACAAATGACGAAAGCCTGGACATGAAATGACACAAGGGGGACAGTAGGTCAAACTATCTCTTATCTTACCTAATTACTTACACACTTCTTTTGTTTGTGTTTAATGGTTTGGTATTTAAAATAGTATGTAATAAATATCCAAGTGATAGAGTAACAAGTTATTTATTCTAGAGATCGCCTGGCGGTCGAATGTCGAACGTTCTGATTATCTTGTTTTATTTAGTTCACCAGTATAACTAGGACTGTCATTATACAGGCGTTTATGTAGCCGTTTCAACACGGTTTTTAAATTAAGAGCAAATGATAAACAAATCTAGTATTTTTTTGGATTTCTTGGAATATTAAATAGTCCAAATATGATGTACTTACTCGTACGTTCGCTGAGCTCTTCAAAAAGATTATTTATTAAATATAAATATTTTAAGTACATTTATTGATATGCAGTGATAAGAAGCTTCTAGTGTTTCGCAACTTCACGAATGCAAATTATACAATACTAAAATAAGGTTGAGGAACAAGTTTCACAAATAAGACACGGGATGTTAAATTCTTATTCCATCAGAAGCAAACAAGAGCAAGGACACGAAACGGCGACAAAGTAGTTCTCTCTAAGATATACTAGGGCTGAGAAAATTCTAGTTTTGATCCATAAGTTCATGATTATCTAAATAATAAGTAATGTATGATTTAAATTTAATGTGATTTTAATAGTAGCAGTTCTTACACGTGCGTAAGGCTGTTTACCTATAATAGCTTTAGATCAATCAAGAATATTTTGCGCACTTAAATAATAGAACACCAAGTATAAACTATGCTTCGGCAAGAATGGGCCGGCTCGACCGGAGTGATACCACGGCCTCACAGAAAACCGGTGTTAAGCAATTCTTTCGTTGCCTTTCACTGAGTGAGTGAGGTTACCGGAGCCCAAACCCAAGGGACTCCAAGGGCGGCAACGCACTTGTGACTTTTGAGTTGCAGGTGTCCATGCTTACCATCAGATGACCCGTCGCCCCTTATACCATAAAAAAAAAACAAAAAGTATAAACAACTGATAATGATTAACTATTGCTTATTCATTAAAATACCCAAACTCACTTTCACATTTACGAGTATAATATGAGTATGGATTATCAAAACATAAGTATAAGTCAAACATTTGTGTGCATGAACGTTTAATGTTTGATTTAGTCTGGGTGTGTCACTGTATAATATGTATGTATTAAAAAAAAGTATATATGTATTTATATCAGTTGTATAGTACCCATAGTACAAGCTCTGCTTAGTTTGGGACTAGATGGCGTTGTGTTAATGTGGCAGAATATTATTATTAAATGTTACGATTTTTCAAGTTTCAGGTCTGATCTAGACTTTAAGAGCAACGTTTATTAATTTTTAGCTCGAGATCGTGCCTTACTCGTAGATATAAATTACCGATATTAAAAAACAGATCGTCAGGTGCACAACGTTATCAATCTGTATCAGTTTATTGTAACACATTAAATGTAGATTATTTAGGGTAATTGTTTGTATTGCACTTTATGAGATAAAGAAATAAAATAATAGTAATACAAAATACTGCATTTTCATGGTATAATTTATCTGGAGTTTTACACAAATGATGATGAGGAAAAAAAATCGTCGACTGACTGACTTATGTAATGTATAGTCCCCCCTGCAGGAGATTAGTTAAACCTCAGGTTTCTTATTTGTGTAGCACACTTGAATTATGTATGAGATAACTAAAAACTGACTGTTACTATATCTATTGATATAGTTTTTATTATGTTTGTTCTTTTCACAGAGGTGAAAAAGAATTGGTGATGCATACAGACGACCCTGTCGCCCCAGTTGGCTACCTAAACTTAAAAATGCACCTTGAACCAAAAGATCATTTTGATGATAAACTACCTCCTACTGTAAAAAAACCATTAGAATTTGTGAGCGATTTAAGCGATTCCGTGTTTAGCGACATAAGCGACATCGAACTGAGTGAGACAGAGCTAGAGTCAATAGAGAAGTTAGAAAAGGAAGAGAAGAAGAAACAGAAAGAATTAAATCCATCGCTCACGAATTCGGATGATAAGGCTAGTTTAGAAGTGGAGATTGAGAACGATTGTACAGATTGCGTTCAAGAGGAAGGCTACAGTTATGAGCAGGCTCATAGTGAAAAAGAATGGCACCCGGTAGTGGACCACAGGTGTATATACGGGAACAAGCACGGATGGTACTTCATTGGAGGTATTGTAGGAGAAGGCGCCGATACGGGATTGGCGACAGAAGACGCTTTGAAGAAACTCATTAGTAGGTAAACTTGTTCGCGATGTTTATTTTATGTAGATTAAATTTTACAAAGAGTGATTACTTTATAAATTAGGTATAAATTGCATGATAATAATCCTTCTGGCCGTCAAAACCTTTTACCCACAAATGTAGGATTTACTTACAAATTATGATGGTTTGAGCGCTATTTTGTATTGTTTATAAGTTTAAAAAAACTAAGTGCTCTCTTGAAATATTTTTATATACGAGTAAAAGGAAAATCAACTTTATAGTTGATCAACATCAGCAAAGGTAAAAAGTGACGTTAACATCTGCAACTTTATAGTTCTTGTGTGACTGTCACATTTTACGTCAACATAAAACTTGTTAAAACAAGACAGCTTTGAAAGGCATTTTTTTACAATCTTGATGGGTATATGTTTAGTTTGACTATACTTAGTCAAAAATCGCACCTCACGCGCAATTCTATACAAACTAAACTACTCAATTTGTATTTGATCTGCACTATATTCCTATACTATCTTTCTTGTCTAATCGTCGCATTGATTTTTATGCAATTATAAAATAAAATTATCGTACGATATTCGTATATCATAGATATTTTCATTTCTTACCTCATACATGCTGTTGGCTTTAATTATACTTACAGTTTACATGACTAACACACATTTGAATACCATATATAATAGTTTCTGAGAATACTAACAAAAGCAATTGTAAAATAATTATTTCTGGAACTATTTCACAACACGCTCGTACATAGCATAACAAAGTAGGTGTACATTTAAATCTCATGGCGAATGTTAAAGCGTTCTTACGACTACAAATAATTGCATTTGTTATTAACTTCTTAACGAGCAATTGCCGTATATTATGATAAGTACCTTCCTCTCACTACTCCGATTTCTGTGCGCCAGGATCCATAGCAGTTCTTAAGAAAGCATAGGTATCCCATAGGCTTCAGTAACAAAACCAAGATTTATTACTGTAAAATAGCTATATACTTCGACGTTAATATGTAAAATACTCTGTAATATTTCTCCTTCGTACATTTCAGATCTACTCGAGTCAGAAAGTTTGCAGCTTGAAGACGTGTGCTCAGTGAACATTTATATGCGTGATATGCAGGATTACGCGGCCCTCAACGAAGTATACGTCAAGACATTTAGTTTCCCCAACCCGCCAACTAGAGTTTGCGTGCAGTGCCCGCTTTCTGCTGAAGTCGGCTTAATATTCGACGCTGTGAGTGAAAGAATATAACATCGACTTAAAATGTTCCATCCCGTTTCTTGTCCTCTAATCACGATAGAAATCTTAGATCAACGAATAATTTGCTTCTCTTGTGTCCCTCCCACAACTCAGACTTCGTGAACGCCTCGTTCTTTGTACAAGTAGTTCTGCTCTGGAATGCGCTCCCACTCGAAATCAGGATATCCATAAACCGTTTCGCATTTAAATAGAATGTACATAATTACCTTCTTGAGGAGATGGCGGAAGTGACTTAACAAATGGTACACCTAAATTCAAGCATTCACAGTGTACAAACATAAATAATATGTATTTATATCTATATTTATTTCTATATATATGTGTAATTATATTTGTATTACATTATAACTTATATGTATAATATTTGTAGATTTTGCTTAGTTTTAGATAAACACTTATTTATAATCATTGATTACAATCGTAACCTCGGTGCACCTACCCTACAAGATATCTACACCACCTAAAGGTTGGCTGGTAGAGAATGCCCAGGGCATTAAGTCCGCCGATGTACATAAGTGCATGAAGATGTAAAATAAATAAATAAAATGTTAAATCCTATTAATATTATAAACATAAACTTTGTGAGGATAGATGACATGTATTGATGTTTGTTACTCAATCACGCTAGTATAGCTAAACTGATTTGGATGAACTTTAGGACAGGCATAGATTATAGTCTGGAATATGGTACTATTAATCAAAGAAAACTTGATTGAGAATATCGACATCAAAATGTAATAGGAATAGACTACATATTAATAATTTACAAGTTTTTCATTTTATTCTTGAAAAATTCCATGAACGGGGAACTAGTTCCCGCGACATTCGATTACATATAACCCTTATTGCTTTAAGTATTTTTTATTAATTTGATTAAACTTGTGTTAAAAACACCAAGCAGAATTTCAGTAGATTTCTGGTGGTCTGTATTTGTTTTTTTTTAATAGATCTTAACGTACAGTCTTTTTTTAAATATAAATTGTGTTTATGATGCAGGTGGCACACAAATCAAATGTAACTAACCACAACGACGATGGCTCTATTACTAGAGAACGAGTCACAATGCACGTTCAGAGCATATCGCACTGGGCTCCCGCCAATATTGGACCATATAGTCAGGCTATTAAGGTACAAATACTAAGTTTTTAATAGTTATTATTTCTCTCTTTTGTAAGACTACTCTCGTATATCTGTGAATGTTTTAGAATGTGGTAATGGATTGCCATTTATTCGTATTAGATAAGTGTTTCATGGGATTAGTTGTGCTTAAAGATTTTGTGGTACTTTCTAAAAAATGATAGAATCATTCACATACGGTCATTAACGTAGAATGATGCAGCCGTGTCAACAAACTAAAAATATCAAACAATTCGTCCTCTTTTTACTCCTCGTATCTTCGAATTGTGCAGTATGTTTATCGTTTTGGTTCAAATAATTCTTTGGAACTTTTCATACCTCTTTCTTATAGATCGGTGAAATAATGGGTACATGCGGTCAAATCGCTTTAGTTCCTGGTTCCTTGCGACTAGTGGCCGGTGGCGCTCGGACACAGAGCGCGTTGTCACTGAGACACGTCACTCGGGTGTTGAGAGCGTTACATCCACGGGCGCACATCCGTAGCGTCGTACAGGTCAGTGTGACGGTTGAAGCTCTGTCGGTTGTAACTTAAACAGTTTTAGAAAATAAATATAGGCGTTCGGTACGTCTTATGTTCAAATTAGAATAATTTGTCGGCCGTAAGACTGGGCTCGTATTTTCGCTTTGGGTCTATTAAAATCAATTAAGAAATGATTGCACAGACTGCGCTTTATACTCGCCGAGAGTGCGGGTTCGATTCCTACATGGGACGACACTGTGTGATTTGTTCCGATCCCGGGTGCCCTCGTGTTCCTTTCACGCTTGTGAAGTCCCCGTTATACAGGATATATTGCTAGTTTTATTATAATAATAAAAAAATTAGAAAGTAAAGGTGTGACGCGTGCGGTGTGCGCAGAGCGTGTGCTACGTGACGCGCGCGGGCGCGGTGTGCGCGGCGCGGCGGCAGCTGGAGCGGCGCACGGCGGGCGCGCTGGTGCAGTGCGCCGTGCTGCCCGCGCTGCCGCGCCGCGCGCAGCTCGAGTGGCACGCCTGGGCCCACACCGACAACAACCGCTTCGACTGTGAGTAGCCGTATACCGAATCTTACCTTCGCTCGTTACGATAATCGACCGGACCGGGTCTCATTTCTTTTAAGTTTCGAACCGGTTATATATTTAAGATTCTCTTTCGAGACTCGCTCTCAAAAAATAAACACTAGTACCTATAATATTACAGTAATAATAATATGAAATACAGTAATAATAATATGTAGCGAGAAACTTAACGAAAAAATTACATAAACTGGTAACATCCGACGGTAGCCGTATCATCCGATGCGAAAAAAAAACACAAAGAACTTAGTAATAAAGTATTAAAAACTTCCTTAAGCATAATTATTTTCATTTAATTCATCACAAGACAACGTCTTTGATAACTTTTACTTTTCTTGGATTTCACAAGCACAAACCATCTACTTACAGTTTTCCTCTTATGTTTAGCGCTGTTATAATTTTATTTAACGTTAAAATAAAATGATATGATAAAACTACATTATATTACAGATGAAGAAACAGGCTGCAACATCGGTGATTTCAAAGTCGCCATCACGAGGCGATGGAACTATGAGAATACAGTTTCAGCATTTGTTTGTTATGTAGCAACAGGTATGTCTATTCGTACATCATGTACACCAATCCTCTATTTCAAATGGGAATTTGAAAGGATATTAGTTTATCATGATTTTAACGGCGTCAGTTGCTACTGAAATCGTGATAAACTAATAAATCTGTTTCGTTTTTTATGCTACATAAATTATAATATTTAGGTATTCACTTATGAAGTTGGAGATTTGTATGAACATTTAAAAATTGTTTGTTTTTTTTTTATTTTAGCTAATCACTGGCCTAAGTACTGGCCCAAATTATCTATACACTTGTGCCATTTGATGGCAGTTTGTTTATCCCTTTACTGTTGAAGTCTGCTGGACGGGAGGCAATGAAGTCAGCGAAAGCGTTTTGTTCTGCCTCTCGCGTGTTGAATTTATTCTACCCTTCAAAACAGGTCTAAATTTTGAAAAAAGTAGAAATCTTACAACTGTAAGTCTTATGGCTTTGCAATGGTCTGTCGTGAAGTGTGAGCTCGGACGTTATAATGGAGAAACAATGGGGTAGAGCGCTTGACCAGTTGTGGTGGTTGAATTGAGAGCTTCTCCATCATTGTTTGCAATTCTTAGCAATAGCCATCTGCCGTCACTGTTGTGCCATTCAGTAAGTTGTTATTCACAAGTCCGGCACTGGTCCACCCCAAGATAGTTAATCCCTATGGTTAATTCTTTTTAAGCGCACTGATTGGGTGCTGTACCTGCTTTACGTCAAACTCTGGTATCCAGAATAAGATTCAACTTGAGTTAACATACTTCAGTAGTACTCGTTAGACGAACACGGCGTTAATCAAGAATCAAAATCAAAAAGTATAAAAACAAAAATATAAATGGAAGAGAAATAAATAAATAAAATTATAGCAAATACGTCTATTTTCTTGTCGGCTGTCGGAGAGCCGACTATATGAAATCTAAACGTTTGTACTTAACATTAACTTGATACTTAACATTTTTAGAGAAATAAAATCATTAAAAATTTAGTGTCGAATAAACTTTTACGCAGGTTCGTCTCCGTCAAGTAGTCAATTATCGTTCCCAAACGAGGAGGCTTGCTTGAACCACTGTTCTCGTGCACGCAGTATGACTCACGAACAGCTCGAGGCGGTGCTCGAATATGCGCTCAATAAACTCACCACAGATGCCAGGGATAAAGACGTGAAACACGCCGTCAACATGAGAATATTTTATCAGGTATGCCGAAAGCGTGCGAGATAAACGACTCTATAGGATCAGTTATCTTAGTCTCGCACGTACCGATACTTTTATTATTTATTTTAAAAAGACAACTTCCGCATTAGGAATACATCCTGCGTCGCAAACATACCTGTAACCGAGACAAGACTCGGAACAATAATTTGTGGATCACACAAAGCATCGTCTCGTGTGCCTGGCGACCGCTTGAACCGCTAACGCCATCCGAGCAGTCTTTTACGTTCTGTGCGTTCCCTAATCGATCGTCGACATCTGGGCGAGCGATGAGGGCGGGTACTTTTGGGGTGTTCGATGTTCGTGCATTGACGTGCGTCGTGCGGCAGGTGTGGAGCGCGCCGGCGGGCGCGGCGCTGGCGGCGGCGGCGCGGGCGGCGGGCGCGCGGCTGCGCGTGGTGCCCGCCGTCACCGCCGTGCCCGTGCTCGCGCTGCACAACGCCTTCACCTTCCTCTCCATCAGCGGCCTGCGCTTCGACGAGTGACCCGACCGCCGCCGACCGACTCCACTCCACTCAAACGGTATAGCACTACTTTACGGTATAAACGCCCGATCCCCGCATGTTCAGCTCGTACTGGTCTCATACGTTGAACCTACCACTGTGCTTACCCGTCCATGTAAAATTTTACGTGTTCTCGTTTTATACTGTATCACTTAAAGAGTGATTGTACACGCCATATAACTGCGCCAAAGAAGTTCGCGCGAGTATATAAAACTTTACGTATCAGAGGGGTAAGTCCTGCTCATTGAACTGGACGAGAGGGAGGGGGGGGGGGGGTGCAAGGGTGAAAATAACATCTTCGTACCTGCGGAAGCTACGGGTCTAACTGTCCGCACTCTACATAAAAAATTTAAAAAACCCTCTCTACACACATCTTGCATTTGAAATTTGTCAAAGTGTATAGTATTCTACTAGTCAAACCCTTTCATTTGATACCCATATTGGGGAAGTTGTGAAAAAATATGTACTCCGCCATTTTATGGCCATTATACAATAAATAAATTACATTATACATTATTAAATAAATAGAATTTGATTACTGTATTTGTATACTCGGTACGTTTGGTTACGAGTGTACCTGATCAACATTCAGTTTGCAGCTAACTTCGTTGGCGCAGAGTTATTTGGCGAGTGCTATACGACTTATTCCTGATCTACTTAAAATAGTATTAGCTTCTGAGACTCTAGAATTAACAAAAATACGCCCGGAACTTAGGTAAACTACTTACATTTACATAAATGATTGTGTTGTAAGGTGATTGAACCCTTGAAGAGATAGCAATAAGATAAGCGATAACATTAGTTCAGTGTACATTCGATACAGTCGAATAAGATATATTATATTCTCGGCCAGCGTAATAGTTATATAAAGTAATAAAAACCTATAATATATGTTACATATAATAAATATGACGCAACTTAAATTTGTTATTTAAAATAACTAAAATATGTAATGTTTGTATATTTGTTTTGTACTTTTAACTTAAAAACGTTATTTTTTGTTCGCAGGTTTCATCAGCAGTTAAAAATACAGATGCTTATTTGCCAGTTTATAAAATATATTTGCTGAATATTTTCAGTATTTATAACATTTTGTTAATTATGCTACCGAGTTTACCATACTATAAGTCAAATTATATACATTATTTTTTAATGCAACGTTTTGTTTTATTTACAATAAAATACGTTAAATGTGGTTTGTACTCTACTATATTTCTCAATGAAAAACAATGTTCAAATCAAAATTTATTTTATCTTTTTTTACAAAATTGACCGAACAGTGCGAGATTTCTAGAACGTTTACACTTGCATTAAGTAGACATAAAGTTATCATTATTTCTCTTACAAGTAAGTCTTACAAATTCACCTGTGTCGATAAAGCAATGCGAATTACGGCGTTGAGGCACACCGGGATCAGTTGTGTATATTGTATAAAATGTTTATATCATGATTTTCGAGGACAAATTTTTATCTTAAAAGTCAACACTAATAAGTAAACTATGATTAATATTAACCAAAGCATAATTATAAACTAAAACATTGATACATTAGTGTCAGTAATCAATGCAGTTACTAAGGTCATCGCCTGCACTTACACAATATAATTCTAATACAAGATATAATACACAACGTTGTTGGGATAATTGCACACAGCAGTGGTTAAAAGACGATAGCGCGCAGAGATTATATCGTAAGTACAGCAAACGCATACATTTGTCGGGACGAACGTTACGTATACCGAGAGCCGTCACCGTCTGCGGTGGCTACACAACATAATGTCCAGTCGGTTTCCGGCTTCGCCCTGGATATGAATACTACCCAATTCGAACTATATTTAATACTATCTTTGTTACACCGTAGCAATAAATAAATAATTTTCTCATAATGAAAAATAAACATACTATACTCTGAGTTAAATAATTTGATCTTTCTATAATAATCTATATTTATTCATTGGGTTCATATTGCATTCCAGAACGGGTGCAACTTTTAATTAGTATATAAAGGTAGCCTATCAGTTTTGTACTTTGAAATTAAGTAAGGTAAACAATAAATGTCACTTGAGGAAAAAAGAGCTGCTGAATTTCATTCGTACGATTAAACTAGAAACGATAAATTCTTATAAAATAGTCTAAATAGTGTAATTAATCAACAACTTTCATAAAGTGCGTATTAGGGGGAAACATTTCTTAAATCATACCCAATCAATTCATAAATAAAATTCATACCAAGCACAGGATCTCGACTCTCTGAACCTGATGATTTTACAATTCACTACGATCATGTTACAATCCTTCTCCAATATTATCTGGGACATAAGATTGTATACAGCTGTATCCATATAAAAGTACAACTAAAATAAATACCTTATTAAGCGAAATTAACGTTAACCTTAAATTATATTAAAACGAGAAAAATAATCAAATGCGTACTGTCTTCTTACGTGATTCGTAAACAGCAAACATAATTTGAAAACGAAAACCAAATGCATTAAAAGGCAGATTTCCATCGTATGCATTTATTATTCATTTATTGAAAACTAATTAATTTGTAACTGACAAAATTAACACCCACTTCAGCTTACACGTACTATCACAGAGTTCACAGTACATATAGTGAACCCGTGTACATATTGTGAAAAATGACACATACACTATTCTCTTGTAACATCACAACTACACAATCTCTCGTTACCTAATCACTTTCAACATAAACATTGTGGACGAAGACACACGACACATTTGTCTTGAAGGATGATGCTCTACGATATTAAAAATAGTATGATTGCCCAGCTACCCATATCGTGAAGTTAGTATTAAATTACTGTACAGTTTACATGTTAGTATCCCGCGGTCTACAGCTATCTATCTAACCACTTTTATGATCTTCATTTCTGTTAAATCAAACCATCTAATCCCGCTAGGGATATAATAATATACATAATATTCTGACCGCGTCACCTCCCATCGGGATCGCGATCAACGTAATAGCGCACAGAAAAGAAACGCAGCGATAACACAAAGACATACAACTAGTATCTCCTCACTATCCGACAACTTACACGTACATAGCCTACCGGTTAATCATTATATTAATCAGATTTATGTAACAGTTTACCTTACAATCGTAGTACCGAAGCGAATAAGAGTTACATACGAACTAACAACGGCTACAATATATATTACACGGTTCTCGTCTATACAGGGCACTGTTTTATATGACAATGTCAGGTCACACAAGCCGCGTCACTCCTCCTCACACGTAAGTCAGCATACAGCGGAATTGGAAACCGAACAAAATGACGTTAATTTTAAAATGCACCAATGAGCGTTCGGCGCAGGAGCGCTCGACTGCGCCGACTTACACTGAGTACGCAGGTGACGGACTCGAGCTCTTCCCGGCGTTCACTCGGGGGCGTCGGCGGGCACGTCGAGCGGGTCGTCGAGCACGTCCACGGAGTTGTCGTCGGGGGCCTCGGGCGCGTCGGGGGCGCGCTCTCGCAGGCGGCTCTGCATGTACTGGCGGTGCGCGTACTTGTTGAAGCGGCGCTTGGCCATGAACAGCGTGGCAATGGTGCGCGGCGCCAGGCGCACGGCGGCCGCGCGCGACGTGATGCCGCCGCGCCGGCACTCCGCGCACGTGTAGTCCAGCACGTTCAGCGACGACACCGTCTGCCTAACGCAGTCTGCGGGACCAACCAATCGCGGGTTACCTCCACCGTACTGTGCGCGCAGTTCTAGCTCTAGACTCACTAAGCCTAATAGACGCCCCGTTTCCAGGATCGAGAGCTATCGATGCAAGAATTTCGCATATATGTATATCAAAATATGATATAACACAGTGTCTATTAGGCTTACTTGTCTATAACTGCACTAAACGTCTAATACGCTGTTCGCCCTCGTGTGTTTTTCAAAGAGATCATTAAAAGCATACACTGTTTAAAAGATTACATATAAGAGTTCAAATACCAGACAGCAAATGTATGTTATTTTGAACAATTTTGTTAATCAATTAATTATTTAATTGCTGTTTTTTTTCAATATTTCACCAATTACGGATCATATTTATCAATCGATGATTACTTGAATCCTGCTACACAAATGGATTCCTTAGCATGGACTAGTTCGTGGTCTACTCAATTTCTAAAAACTTTAAAAACGTCTAAATAGGTACTAAGTTTGGCCAAACTTTCGGTATTCCAACCTGCCAGACAAATACCCCTTCAAAAGATTTTTTTTAACTTATAATTATTTATTAGATAATAAAGTTGCCAAATACAAAAGCTTTTCTTTTTTTAAACGTCTTTAAAAGGAGGGAGGGGAGACTCAATTTGACTAATCATAATCATGTATAATATATGTTACGCGATACCTTCACCACTTATGACGATTTCAATAATTAATTATTGGTTGTACTCAAGGATGTTCCAGGGCTTTTTCAAATCAGACCGTTTAAAGGGAGACAGCAAATGAGATAAACGTAATACTAGTTTCAAAGATAAACAAGAATTATTCATATTAATCAGTTCATTAAGTCGGACCAAGTATTAATTCAAGTATATATTTTATTAAAATTATCATGCAATGAGAGAGTTAACGAGCCCTGGCGTCTCATGGTTTTCAGTTTAAAAAGCATTGAGCAGAATCCTCAAGGTTTTTATTTAGTAATTCTTTTTTAACATTCTTACTTACCTACATACTTACTTAGCCTAAAACGGGGCGAACAACGTAAGTACGGGGTAAACATTATTCATTACTTAATTATCTTCATACATACCTAAGCTAAAAATTCCTTTCCCCATGCAGTTACTAAGTCGCAGTCGAGCCGTTTGCCTAGACCTAATACACGACAATGCATGGCACACACAAATCGGCAATTTTCGATAAACCTTTATAGTTTTGCGACCCATTTTTATCAGCTATTATCTAATTGAGGCAATCATTGCTTACTGTGTATATACATCATGCGTTCACCTATACTTTGTCATCTAAAAACATCTAACAAAACATAAGCTGCCTATATCGGTATATATTTCGATTATGTATGATTGGATGGCAAACCGTGGTTTACTTATCCTGAATAATAATTTGTATAGGTTCTTTTGTAGGCAATCATAAGAGGTAGCACTATATTGGACGGTTATAGGATGAGCGTAATAAATGGAAATAAGCATTTCATATACATACATAAGCCACATAATGTTTATGTAAACGATTCTATGTACCATGACAGTAATGAAAGACTTGAAGCACATAATGATGTGAGAATATTTTTGTAAGTATATATAAGAACTACAAAATCATGCTTAACGCATTCCAGTAATAGAATTATGCGCATATAAAGCGGTCTTCAGATAATGAACATAAAAAACATATCTTCACTGTCGGAAAACCGCACCAGGCTAGACACGGTGGCACGCACAGAGTAATCGACCATCAGCAGAACTTCCGCACAGGCTAATAAAGAACTAATGCTTAAGCAAGAGATTACACTGTCTAGTTCTGTGACGTTTGGTATTTCACCGACACAAAAAAATGCAAAGGTTTAAAATTTTGTTTCAAAATATAAAATGTGGTAAATATTCATCCTGTCATTATAATTCAATTGACAATGACGGCACTAACTTGACGGCATTTTATAATTGTAAGTAATTTAACAGCAAAATCGGTATGCTGCAGTAGAGCGGCGAGTCGCAACGTAATGTCTAGCCTGGTGCAAGCGAATGCTCTACGTGTGGGTGGTTGTGACGTACCTTGATGCAGTTGCCTATCGCAGAGCTTACATATGACGAGCTGCATGGTCCCCTTCGGGCCGATGAAGGAGCGCTCGCAGAGCGGGCAGTAGCGACCAATGCGATACGCCCTACGCACGCACGCACACACACATACGGACCGTACGCGCACAAGCACCGGAACACAGAAACACGCCATTAGTATCAACACCGAAACCCCGCTGCCTTGGACGGTCTCGCTTCATTCATACGTTTCATGTTTGTTGCTTGTCTTCGTAACGATCGCCTCGTATTTACATTAATTTATTTATGACATTTACATTACACCAAATATACCTTCTAAGCGCATAAAAACATTATTTATTATTACCCACAAGCAACTACTCATTATTTTCCGATAAAATTTTATTATTATAGTTTACGACAGAAAACATCAAAAAGAGATGGAAAAAAAAACGAAATATTAGTCCATTAGTCCCACAGTTTTGGAAAATTCCAAGAAAAATAACTCTTCTTAATAAATATACTACTACACATTTGAACAATATATTTGACAACGTGTATGCAACCCGAAGACAAACAACCTACACAAAGTCGAGTTAGTGTACGCACTGGGGAGTCAGATGGTACTACGCCCGTGTTAGTTAACAGTATGACAATGTGTATGTGAGTTAGTCGCAGCGAACTGCAGATGACTGATGCGATGTCGACACCCATTGTCGCCGATGATCGAGCCTAATTGACGCATTACAACCCAAACAACAAATATACAGATAATACAACAAGTTTTTAACTATCTAGTGTATTGCATCAATTATTGAAAAAATGAAAGTATTAAAAAAATAATTATTAAAATGTAGGAGGAACAGTAAAGTTGTATCTTTTTACAGAAAGTTAAGTCTAGCATTTTTTACATTTTTAAGGGAATAGAATACCCTCAGTGCTTTAGCGAGTGAATCCCATATACCAATAATTGGTGCTCTGCATAAGTAATCCACTTTGCTGTTCTTTCTGTGAAGACTGTTTGCTTGCAATATAAATGATTAGATTTATACATTTAATATACAAAGTTAAAAGAAATTATTAATATATTATAACAATTAACAAACATTCTTCAAATATGCATAAATAATAAACTTAGGTATATTAGGGAATGACATGCAACTTATACAGTAATACGGGAATGTGCGCTGAGTAAGAACGCTGCGTTGGGGCAAAGTAAACATTCTGCGGGGGCCAAAATGCTACGAGAAACGAAAGACAAAGCGATGTCGACAGAGTGAGACGTCGAGACAACACGCGATGATCTGTGTTAGTCCACAACAAACACGCATGAGATGTCGTCAGTACACATGAACTACCAAGACCAAGTAACAAACAATGTACACATAAACAACTGTTCAATGGCTTTGTATATAACTGTACTTTTGTTAGCGTCCCTCGATACACTATCTTGCTTGTGAAAAGTGATTGCGTTCAGCTTTTGTAGGAGCCCCTCTTGGCGTTACTTGAAAAACAATATGGAATCATTTTAATATTCTTGTTCTGAGGTTCCATACGTCACAAATATTACCTAACTAACGATTAACGACAAGTGCACAGTTACTAAAACTTTGTATAACAGTATTCATATAAATCAAAAGGAACGTGCTAAAACACCTCACTGATCTATTAAAATTATATTTTCTAAAGTACCTAGACTAGACTTGCAACGAATAGTATATTCGGCAGTATACCGAATACCGAATATTCGGCGAGGCCCCTGACCGAATAGCCGAATATTAGGCAAAAGTATTCGGCTGGATTTTAGCGCCAAAAACTTGTACAGACGTGAATTAAATTATGTACCTGTTTTATGTACCAATGACTACTTAATAAATGATTATGAAAGAAATGAGAACCTTACTTTTTTTTTTGATTTTGGATTTGATTCCCACAATAATTCAAATACATAGAATCCTCCATTTTTCCTATTCAGAAGATGATTATGTACCTGTGTTATGCACCAATGACTACTTAAATGATTATAACAGAAATGAAAATATGAATATATACGTAATCAATCGATTTTAATTTTTCATTTTTTTCTCAATGACAAAATATATTATTTAAGTATTCGGTATTCGGCCGAATAATATGTAGATATTCGGTATTCGGCCGAATAATATGTAGATATTCGGTATTCGGCCGAATATAATAAAAGCAGCCGAATAGGCCGAATACCGAATAGTAACCGAATATTCGTTGCAAGTCTAACCTAGACTGTTGCAATGTATTTTACTTTTAATTATAATTATCAACATAGAAAGTGTAGACGTCATATATTAATGGCAGTAATTTTGTTTTACTTGATAACTTGAAATTAGTATAAATCTCAGGAATTAGATAATGTCTTGAACATATAAACAGTATAAAGGTATTGGGTATTTATCTTATCTAATAAGTCTATAAGGATACATATAGGGAAAGTCTTGAATATTATAAATATAAATTCGTTGCCGCGAGCAATGCACCCGTGCGTTACTCATAACAGGGGAACCAATAGGGTACAGACAGTTTAAGAAATATCAAAGTTTTTACAACAAGTTAAAAACTCTATAACTAATATGAATAAAATAATGTATAATTTGAACGTATGTCAAAATAAAATAAAAACCGGTCAGGTACGAGTCGAATTCGTGGGCCGAGGGTTCCGTACCTACCCAGATTTTACGTAGATTTTCGAGAAAATTTGTAAGTAACAAAATTTATCTTAATTTTCAACTTTTTTTTTTGAATTATTCCTTTATTTGTGCTGTAAGAATGTGTATGTTACAAGTTCTCGCGAAAATTGCCAATATCTTTTTATCGTGTTAACTCAGGACCTTGATTTTTATACACCTAATAGGGACCATAGACCTCAGTATCGGGTATAAATTTCAATTTGCTAGGTCTACCGGTTCCTGAGAGAATCGGTGGTGACACACGGACAGACGGACAAGAAAGTGATCTTATAAGGGTTCCTTTTTTACCTTTTGAGGTACGGAACCCTAAAAAGGGAGAAAAAAAGAGACTCTTTCATTAAAGAATTGCTTGTCCTCTTTGTAAGGTATACTTTTAAAATAATATGTATTTATAAATATTTCATCTCTTTATAGATGTTGTAAGCAGTAATAGTATTTAGAAAGAAAAAAATTATTTAATTTCCTGGCAAGCTCTATATTAAAAATATATGATTTAAAAAAAGAGAAGATAATCTTAAATAGGAAGTTAATGTAACGTAATACGTTCCGGATATAGAGGATCGTAACGCACGTGTATGTATATTCCTATTTTCATTACTGCTACGAAAATTAATGGAGGGTTAAGAACGTTTAACACAAGTTTTAGTGATCTATACAGCGCATCGATCCTAATTTTTTGCGCTTCAAAGGATAATGGACGTTTGAAACTAAATAGGGTCAGCGCGGCACGGGTACGGTGGTGCGGGGGCGGTACTGACCTGGCGCAGGGCGTGCACAGCGAGTGCGAGTAGACCTTGTGCCCGCCGGGCCCGCGCCGCGTCTGGTGGTGCCAGTCGGCGGGGGCGGCGGGCGAGGGGGCGGCGGGCGAGGGGGCGGCAGGCGAGGGGGCGGGGGGCGCCAGCCCGCCCGGCGAGCGCGCCCCGCACGACTTGCAGATGGCGCACTCCACGCAGTGCCACCGACCTGCAACAACAACTTCACTCGTTTCATGTTTGTTATAATATTCTCTCATTGACGACACCCAAAATTATGGTAGTGCCGATGTTAAATCTAAATACAATGTATTATTTGTGACGAAGCCTATCGGAGACGAATATAACCCGTATTACGGGATTTTTACCCGTATTCGTATGAGATTTCCATTAGCCAACCCTCTGTTAAATTTTGCAGAAACTATCTGAAGGATATAAAGCACTTTTTGTTTACATATAAGACGACACTAAGAGTTTTATAAAGAAACTCATAGTAATTACTATATTTACTTTTATAACATTCACTGTGGTTCATTCAAAGAGGTCCATAAGTAATAAATAATTCATTTACACACAATTACGTATACAAAACGGCTAACAGAGCAGTTAATACCAAAACTTAACACAGAAACCTACCACTGGGCACGGTATCCAATCCAACACAGTAAATATGAAATCCTCGATCACAGAGATCACAGAACAACATCTTGTCATCGTCGGCAGGCTTCCCGCACGAACAACACGTCTTGCACTCGGCGCACTGCCACGGGTACTCCCGACACTTGCGGATAGTGTCCGCACTCAACTCCACGCACGAAGGATGTACTGAAAGAATAAAGTTATAATGTTACAAAAAATAATTTGTATACCTCAATACCACTAAGTTTTATTTATTATTTATTTGGTTAACTCACAGCGTATATTTGTAACATTTAAGTTTTAATTATTTAGGAAAATATATAAATATCCAAATGAAAGATATAGTAAACTGACGTTCTGCGTGGAACTCTGCCGTCTCCTTCTGCGAGCAAGTTATGCTCGCGAAGGAGACGGCGGAGCGGGACCGGGAGAGGTTTAGGACTCTACCGGCCCGCCAGGCCCGGGAACGGGCCAGGTACCGCAGGCGACTCAGGCGCCGGAGGTCGCAGAACGACCTCCGTCCTCCATGAGCGCAGGCCTGGGGGTGATAGGTGAGGCCATCTGTGACCCTAGCAGAAGCAGGCCGGGGTGGCGGCGAGCGCGTTGCGAAGAGCGCTCACTTACAGGGAGCAGAGGGAACACGGGGTTCCCACACGGGGGGGGTCGTCTACCTGTTGTTGTAGATGGCCCGAGGTATGTCGGGGCACCAGGGACTTCCTTTCTAGGGTATACCTGGTTCCCCGGCTATTAGTACCCGAGACGGCGTGCGGTTTTAGTCGGTTCGAGTCCGACATGCCACCGACAGGTGGTATCCGAGGGGATTTCCGCACGGGAAAAAAAAAAAAGGGTAACTGACGTTCAAAGAAAAATGCATGATTTGAACGCTAAAATAACTGCTATTACAAGAGAAATTCAAATAATGCTTGTCTAAGCGTTTCTACATGTTTTATATTAATAAAGTGATATCCATCCATCCAGATATCCACCATGTACTTCCGGTATGCAGAAAGTTAAACTATTGAAGCTGTTGATCTCTAAACGCCAACACTTTTTTGATAGAAATATAATTGCTGATTTTCTTTTTGCTCCGTCATCACTAATTGATGACGGAGCAATATTTAATTACTATAAAGCTAAATCATGATTTAGCTTTATAGTAATTAAATACTATTTTATTTTATAATATATGATCAGAAAAGTTTATCCTTCCTTAAAACTTTATCTTCTTTCGATGTGACGAGAAGATCATCTAACTAATCTGCTGTCCCTTAGGGATCACCTTTAGACCACTCTAGACGTACAATTTTTTTTTCTATTTGTCTTTTTGCGGGAGATAGGGCAAAGTCGCAGAACTTAATCATTAAATGTGTGTAAACAAGAGGCGAAAATAAAATGCTTGTGGGCCGGTACTCACGTTTGGCGTTACAGTTAGCGCAGACGAGGAAGCGCTCGTGCGTGTACTTGCGGTTGGCCTCGAGGCGCAGCTTGCACACGCGACACAGGTCCACCACTTCGTCTCGCGGCTCCTCTTTTATGCTACTCGTCGACGCTTCTGCGTGACTCACGCGTTTAACTTTTGTTAATTTCTTGCGCTACAATTAAAAATCTCTTGTATGTTTCCACGAAACTAATACTATTAAAACCTATACATACTTTATTCAGTTGTAATAACTTGGGCAACCAAGACGAATCTAACGACTTCTAGTTTATCCGAAACATGCAATGTAGGTTTTTTAATTATTAAAATGGATTATTAAAAAGGGTCATTACACGTCATACTCATAGCGCGGTATCCATTCGTTATCAACGGGTAGTCTGGGGGTTGTAAACGCCGCATTATTAACCAGAAAACGATACGACAGACACTCGCCGTCCGCGCGTGGACAACCCGCGAGCGCGGCGCTCCGAAGTTGATGTAGTAAGAGTATACCCATAGTACTCCATACAAAGAATACTAACCGCTCGAGGCATGGCGATGCTGGTCGGATATCGGGTGGCTCTAATGAGCTAAGACCTAGTACCTAGAGCTAGAACCTAGTACTAGGAATGCTATAATTGATGATTAAAAGCAAGTAATTACTTGGTTCAAAACGAGGGCGGTAGCATTTAATAAGTAGTGTGAGAGTGTACATACTTTGGCGGATGAATGTGAAGGTAGATCAGAATCATCAGAGGAGGAACAGTGTGAGCCCCAATCTGGCTCCGACTCCGAGCTCCAGTCCGTCGTCGACACCGGTGCTGGCGGCGCTGCCAGCACTGTGTTCAGTGGAAAATACCTGCGGAAAGTACACATAGTATACTATTGTTTTAACCTTCATCACACCAACCCTATTTATCCCGTGGGTGTCATAAGGTGTGACTAATGAAGCAAACTCACTCACGGACAACAGCACTGCAAAGAGAACGAAATCTTGAAACAAACCCTATACCAATACGTCTAGCAACAAGCGTAGTACAAGAGGCCAAAACATCCTTGCTCAGGAGAGGTATATGTCCAGGAGAGGTCTATGTCCAGAAGTGGACTAGTAAAGGTTGATGATAATGATGATAAATTATCTGTAGCATTATAGTTTTTTTCTAAGTTACCTGAAGATAAAGGCGCACAGAATAAATAACAAGGAAGTGCGAAGTGATGTGACAAGAATACTTAGTACACAATTTTAAACTTATTTAGCCAATCGGAGAAGTAAAGGAGAATGCCAATCTCTCATGCAATGTTTTGCCCAAATCATGATGAATCGTTACAAGTTCCAAATTAGTGCCATTAGCTAGGTAAAAAATATGAATTTTAGACGGCCATAGTGTCAGTTTCATTAACAATTGCATAATCAAGAAATATGACATTGACTCTATGGTAGGTTGTTTGTGAAATATTTGTTTGCATAAAGCACTAAAGTAAAGTAAGTAAAGTAGTAATTACATTATTTTTATAAGCGCTCGTTGTCCTCGTTCGACTTCTATAAATCTAGTTTTTACAGCACCTCCCCCCTCTGTGATACAGTACTCTAACACAAGGGCTCTGTGCAAGGCCAATATAAATTTCATTTAAGACATTTTTACGATTGCCTATTGTTGTATTTACGTCACTAAAATTCAAATTCGCTTGCACGTTCATATTTCGGCGCCATTTCCTATATTGATATTTATACTTTGAGGTTTGAATAAAGACTGACAGTTTGTCTTTTAATTAATTTCTCGGTAAAAAGTATGACTTAAAAAATAACTTGAAAAAAATACAAATATTTTTATTTAACAACTGTAAATTAAAACGATTCCTAGTGTTTTCGTAATAACAAATAAGTCGGTGCATTCTTTAACCATAAGTAAAAAAGAAAAGCGTAGGCCCCCCGTGCGATAGTCACCTGAGCTGTTCGGGCGAGTAGAGGCGGTAGGAGTGCTGGTACTGGCCGGGCAGCAGCGCGTGCGGGTAGAAGCCGGCGGGCGGGCGCAGGTGCGGGCGCGCGGGCGCGGCGGGCGCGGCGCGCGGCCTCAGCACGGTCAGCGACTGCAGGTCCGCGCACGCCACGCGCCGCGACGCGTTCACCCACGCGTTGAACTCGCTCGCCGACGCTATCGCAGCCGCGGCCATGTCCTGCGACACCGAGCTCGTCATACCGTTCCTCTAGTCGTGAACCCGACTCCGATTGTAGGGTTTTGAGTAAAATCATGGCTGGGAGATAATTGTGGGAGTGTGATTGCGCTTTGGCCTTTATCTCACAAGAAAGTAGGACTGCAGATAACTACGAAAATATGTTTTTCTCTGAGGAGAGAGGGAATTCGATTTGGTTTTTATAAACTTATATATTCATGTCATTCTTACTAAAAAATTGTGTGTCGCTTTAAATAAAATGAAATATCCAAAAATAAAAGTAAAGAATGAATACAGACATTTAATTCTAGTGTGTATATATATATAGTGTCTTGCGTCGTGTCGCGTCACGAGGAACATTAAGTTTCATCTGATTAATATGGTTAAACACTTATTACTGTTGTGACGACACGACATAGTTTAGTAATGTTTTTATAACCGATATGCTTCTTACGCAACACGACAAATAATAAAAACCTAAATTACGACATAACAAGAAATAATGTTTTTTTTGTAATTTACCAATCGAGTTTTCTCTGGGTCAACTTTTGGTAACTCAGGTTTTTGCTCAATAGGTTTCTCCACTTTCATTTCAACTTTCATTATTTTCTCTTCTGGCTTAGATTCTTCCATTGATTCCTCGGGAGTTACAGTCAGTTGTCGTTGTCGCTGGTGTGACCGATATTCCTCATATTTGTGTGGGTAATCTGATAACATAATGTCTAAGACGTCGCTAGCGTCCACTGCCGTTATACCTGTGGAAAAGAAGACACTTCTGCATACAACAATTTAAACGTAGAATAAAACAAGATCCTCCAATAATTAACATATCACCACATAATGCTAATTTCTAGTCTAATTAAAAAGGTAGGAAGCAAAAAATTTGGTAACTGAGTATATCTTACAAAAATACAATTAAATTGAAAGAAATTGAAGTGTTAACAGCTTTTTAGGTTCTAAATAAAAAATCAGATCATTTTCTGTCAGCCGCCATTTTGGAGTAACGTGTTGCCGCGTCCTGTGTTATGTTTTTATGACATTAAAAATATTTCAAGTCGTTGCAAGGAAAAATAGAAGTGCATCCCAAAAACAAGATAAAACGTAAGTGTTTTTGGTATATTTGGTTAAACTCTAGGTGTTATAATTAACATTTTATTGATATAGTTACATTAACCTCAACTTTTCATGCACGTGGGTTATTGCAACTATTTTTGCAGTTACAATCGCCCCATGCTTTTTGTACGAAAACTGCAAATTACTAGTGACATTCCGTGTCGATATTTCGATAAGTGAATTTCACGTATTTGCATAAATGTTTAGCTGCAATTAGTATGAAGTGTTTAAGATTGTGCGTAGTTTTAACAAAATGAAATAGATAGCTTAAATAAAAAAATGCACCAAGTTTATACAAAATCCAAATTTTGTTATCAGATGGTCCGAAACTATAAAAGAAAAAAGGAGAAAACTTATTGCTGCGAAACACTTCTTGAAGCTGTACGACTAGTAAAGCAAAAACAGTTAACCAGTTATGCTGCTGCGGAACGTTTCAATATTCCTCGGTCAACAATAATATCACATGTGTACGCTACGCGCGGGCAAAAAACAGGCAAATCCTGGAAAAAATACTGTATTTTCCAGATCATGTGAGCAAGAAATATCTTCCTATTTGCACATAATGGAAAAAAATGGATTTCCATTGACGTCAAAAGAAGTCAAGGCATTAGTGTCAGAATATATTAAAAGGAATGGTATAGTTACGCCATTCAGAGAAGATATGCCTGGTGATGATTGGCTTCGTGGTTTTCGCAAGAGAAACGGTTTATCGCTAAAAAAACCGCAGTCTGTAGAAATTGCCCGTAAACGGGCATGTAATCCGTTTACAGTGTATGAATATTTTGATTTATTAGAAAGTGTTTTGAAAGATTTAGACCTCACTGATAAACCTCAAAGAATATATAACCTCGACGAAACTAGTTTTTCTAATGATCCGTCTAAAACCCGAGTCATTGGACAAAAAGGGTTCCGCTGTACCAGGACTACTAGTTCCCCTGGAAGAGAAAATACGACTGTGTTGTTGGCTGCAAATGCAGTAGGCGATAAAGTTCCACCACTTATTGTTTTCCAGGGCAAGCATTTATGGAATGAGTGGTGTTACAAAGATCCATATGTCAAAACAGCTTACACTGTCAGTCGCAAGGGTTGGATGGAAACATCCATTTTTGAAAAATACATAAAAGCGTATTTTTGCTCGCAATTGGAAATGACAGGCCCGTTTTATTAATCTATGATGGGCACTCCACTCATGTAGACTTAAATGTTATTAAGTTGGCTCAATCCGAAAACATTACCATATTGAAATTACCACCACACTCATCCGATACCCTTCAACCATTAGATTGCAGTGGCATGAAACCCATGAAAGATAGGTGGGACGAGGCTCTTGTTAAATGGCAAAGGCTACATATTGGTGCTAAGCTACCAAAAAGTGAGTTCGCCAGGATTCTGACCGAAATATGGAGCAATCTAAATCCAGTTATACTGCAAAATGGCTTTAAAAAAACTGGTATATATCCGTTTAACCGTCAGGCAATATCTCAAAATATATTCGATCCTTTGGCTTTAGCGCGATGGGAAAAAGAACAAGCACTTACGCACAATGTTGAAGATAACGAAGTTGAATATGTAAACTTATTTACCTTGCCTGAAGAAGAAAACACCTTACTAACCTTTGATAAAAACCTAAATGACTGCACGCATCAGATTGTCCAGAATCAAGTTTATTTTAACGTACCAACCCTTTTAAGTTTGACACTTCAAAATTTTAACATGATCGGAAATTGTCTGGAAGATGCTAAGACTCACAAGAACTGTACTGAAGTTAAAGTAACAGACAAACAAGATGAAATGGTGACAGAATACGATAATTCAGTAAATGCCAATAGTAAAGAAAACCAGATTCAAGTAGAAATAGCAGGATCAACGATTTTCGATCAAGAAATTATTGGAAACAAAACAAGTATATACGTCAAAGAAAAATATGTAAATACAAAGAAACAAGGAAAAAAAGAGCCAAGAGTCTACGAAAAACAGAAGCCAGGACATGTTTCTTCCACACAAAAACAAGATTCCTTTGAACAAGTTCGGAAATCTACATCTGCTGGTACTAAGAGCAATACATCTTCAAAAATAATAATTCTAGAAAACGTGCTAATTAAACCTGCAGCTACAAGTTATAATAAAGAAAACAGAGAACTGAAAAAGGAACTGCAAGAAAAACTAAAAACATATGAAAAAAAGCAGCATTCAATTATCTTAGGAAACCATAATGAAACCGCAAAAATAGAAATTAACCAAAACCAACAACACTCGCAAAAGTCGGTAAACTTAGATAAATATGCTCAATTCAAACATGAAAATGAAGCTAAAACAAATGTTATGAACGTATCATTTCAGGAACTTTTATTGAAAAAAATAGGTCACAGTGATCCCCCCAAAACCAAAAAGAAGCGCGTTACTAGAGGCGCCGAAATTTTGACTTACAATGAAGTAATTGATAGAATGGAAAAAGAACAAGAAGAGAAACAAAGGAAAACAGAAGAAAAACAAGCCAGGCAAAAGAGAAAATTAAAGAAGAAGACTTTGACTAAGAAAAAGAAAACGAGATATGAATCAGATAGTAATACTAGTGGTTCGTTTCAAAGTAACGATTCGTCAGAGGCCGAAGACCCAGAAACTTTTTACAAAAGTTTGCTGGAAAATAACTCAGATAATGATTCTATATACCTTGAAGACAATTCATCCAATGTTCCAACTTTTGAAACTCCAAAGCGAGAAACAAGAAATAAAAATATTGATATATACCAAATATCTAAACCAGGAACTAAGACAAAACAAACCCGAAAGAAAACATGTCTAACAGAAAAAGAGAATAAAAGTAGCAAAAGAGGAAGTTATGTTCAAGAAGAAAGCCAGTGCGTAATTTATAATATGTTGGAAAGCGTAGCATCCACTTCAAAACAGGAGTTTGTATTCGTGCCAAAAGAAGGTGACTTCGTATTAGCAAAATTCAGCTCTGCTTTGGGAAAGAAAACCTATAAGTATGTTTGTTTGATAGAAGATATTACTGGAGAAAAAGCTGTTGTGAAAGGTCTGAAGTCCTATAAACAAAAAAATACGTTTAAACTTATTAAAAATGACGTGTCAATAATTGATTTCACCGATATTATCACCGTGCTTCCTCAACCTGATTGCGTGGGAGAGCTTTATAAGTTTTCGGAAAACATTAACGTGATTGAGAAATAATTTATAGTAGATATGCTAAACTTATGCTAATTATTTAACCTCAGACCATCAACCCCACAGGTGGTCTGGGATCACATCAATGTTAGACTGTTGTTTTGACTGAAATGAAGACTTGAATTTATGTTCGTAACTAATATAATAATATCTCATTAATGTGCTATTAGTAATTGCAAAGCAAACTATATAATTAAGTCACTAGTGATTAAGTAAAAAAAGTCATATTTTGCACAAAGTACCAAAGTTATGTTTAGACTGTTATTTTACCGTTAAATATGATCCCCCCAAAACCAAAAAGAAGCGCGTTACTAGAGGCGCCGAAATTTTGACTTACAATGAAGTAATTGATAGACTCGAAAAAGAACAAGAAGAGTAACAAAGGAAAGCAGAAGAGAAACAAGCCAGACAAAAGAGAAAATTAAAGAAGAAGACCTAAAATATGATAGTATTCTATTAGTTTGATAGAAAACATACAAACGTTTTGTACGAAGAAAAAATATGTTTATTAAATCTTAATAAACATATTTTTTCGTAGTTGAGAGTACTGATTGAAAATGAGAGTTATATTTAGACTGTTATTATTACTGTTATTTTACCGTTAAATATGAACGTATTCTATTAGTTTCATAGAAAAATTACAAACTTTTTGTACGAAAATGAATATTTTTATTAAGGTTCTCATAATTGAGAGTAGTGATTGAAAATTAGTAATGTTAATTAATTAGTGATTACCTACTTAAGGAAAAATGTTAAGTTGTTTTTTGCTAAGTATGTACAAAGTTCTGTTTAGACTGTTTTTGTTTATTTTTGTTTTTTATTTTTGTTTATGTTATATTTTACCGATTAATACGGAATTATTAGTTTATTTGATTTTGACTGAGAATTATCCTAAGTTTTTTTACTTCAATAAGTAATAATTTTTTAAATAAACTTTCAAAATACAGACAGAAATCGCTTTTTCTTGACCTTTATCCTAAATAATAGATTAGTCATCAATGCGTACTTATCGTATATTTGTCAAAGCATTTTACATGAGAAGAAATCTTTTCTTGCTTTTACTTTATGTCCTAAATTCCATTAATAAAATAGAATTACTCTAGCTGAGTATAATAGGTATACTTTATTCATCTTATTCCTAATGAACACTTAGATCAATTTTGCGTTTTTGCACTAATAAACCTATATTTAAACCTTTCATTATTGTTAATTATCGAATGTCTTCACAAATATTTATCGATAAGTAGTAGGTACTACATCTCAACACTAGTCAGTACGGAAGACAGTCGCATTCACCCCATAAAAAAATAAAAGTAAATTTGCTTGAAACTGAACTCTATCTCAGCGACTATAGATAGCTTTTACAGATAATTCTGTGTGCATCTACATGTACTCTTGACCTCAACATTTAGAAACAGATTACAACAGGGTTATAACGAATAGTCACATTTACCCCAAAGTGGGGTGAATGTAACTTTTACTGGTCTTATTCAACAATAATACAAATTAATGAAAAACGAAAGTCTATTTGTAACTTAATTTATGTCGAAACTGTTCATCGAAAGCTGTGCAATGAAGTAAGTTTATTAGAATATCCCTATTATTTAAGTAGCTCATGGTGGAGGGAAGCAAAGTTTCAAAATTTTTTTTTTAGTTGCTTTCGCCCCGGGTGACCTTAATTCATAATTTTAACAACAAATCAACTAAAAACAGCATACAGCATTTGTTTCGTGAAAGAAACTGAATTAAATTCTGCCTTCATTGTGTCTTGGTAATTGATTAATACAGAAACTTTGTTTAATAAATTTTTTAAGTGTTGCAATTTGAATCAAAGGCAGAGCAAACTGAAAATTTATTAAAATTTTGCATTTCAAATTGCCGGAAGTAGATTTTTCATGTACTTAAGTGGCGAGTAAAAACATACTTAATGCAATTTTTTGCAAATTTCAAATGAGTATTATCTTTATGATTGGTGATGCATACAAAACATAGTCAATCAATCTCTTTTTTACACATTTAGTAACTAGGTAGAACAAAAATCGGCATTTAGAGCAAAATACCATGAGCATAAGCAAAATATCATGAAAACTTTTATTCTGTTTAGATTTGTATTTTCTGCCTTTACAAAAACAGTTTACAAAGACAAACAAAGAAGTTTTTTTTTTAATGTCATCATACAGTATCATGTAATTCTTATGGTAGAGGAGAACTAAGAAGTCAAACAGCCATTCATCTAATATTTTACCGTGAATAGAGGATCTACTTTCGTTAGGAAAAGACACCATCATTATTTATTAAAAATGAAAGACTTTAAAGTAAATCAAGTTCATTTCAGTTCTCTAAAATTAATATTATTTTGGTTCCATCACGTGTTCTCACAAACCAGCGATTAGTTGCTGAATAATTACTGATAGAAAAGAAAGGACCACTTAATATTAAGGGAATTTTCAATTAAGTTTTAATTACTTACCAAGATCACAAAGGGCTTCGGTAACAAGACCTTTACTTAGTACGTAGTCTCTTTCCTCGCCGCAAATTGTTCTCCTCTTGAGTTCCGGATAGCGCCGCTTGAAGCTTTTTACTCCTAAAAACATCGCTACTTGTTCTTGTATCATCATCACCTGAAACCATTCAAACTGTATATTAATTCAAGAGAATTCAAAAACTATAACTTCTGATTATAATGTGAACAATGAAGGCATCCTTATTAACAAGGAATAGGTAGGTAATGAGTTTGTAATTCCATAAATTTTGTTTGAATCAAAACTATTTTTTTTTTATTAACGACATTTTAAGAGAAATCATGATTTGTCACAATTAATTTGAAATTGCTTAATCGTCTTAACCTGTTGCATCCGCAACGCGACCTGTAGAACATAAAACATGTGAACATCCGCCCGCGACGCGAACACACAGCGACAAAAAGAGCAGAAGACAACTTTAAACCCATTTAGAGAGCTTGCTCGCTACTACCACCGCAACTTGTTAGACTAATCTATACAAATAAATAATGTAGTGTCTGTTTGTAATGTCAAAATAATAGGTTTTTTTCATGCTTACGCGGTTATTTACACGATACCTGTGCCTAAAAACCAGTTTAAATATTTCTTGTGTCTGTTTGTTCCGGGTAATCTTGAAAACGGCTGGACAAATTTGGATAATATTTTACTACCAGGTAGCTGTCTATATGAGGAGTAGCTTAGGCTGTTTTTCCTCTCAGAAAAACCCTATAAATTTTGCCCGGTTCGGGAATCGAACCCGGGGCTTCATGGACTGCAATCGGGTACCGTTCTACAAAACTAAGGCAGCGCTTTTCAAATTTCACGCGAACGAAATCGCGGGCACCATCTAGTTTTAAAAAATATATTAAGAAACATTTTGTCAATAAACATTTTCAAATTGTTTCACTACTACTCTACCTACGGTACAAACAACTGATCAGCGGGGCCGGTCGACATACGCTTTCCTTGTTTCTAGGCCGTAGCCTAGTACCAAGAAAATCAAAAATATTAAGGCCCAGCTGATCAGCTATTGATTATTGTAGGTTCAATAGCTGATCAGCTGGGCCTTAATATTTTTGACCGACCGACTTACCTATCCCGAGTACTTTGATCAGCCAGCTGGTATAGTTATTAGGGAAGTACCACATAATCTTAGGGGCAGTAAACCCAATCAGTTGTCCTGAAAAACGCTTATTTGGTAGTATGCCTAACAATGTGTGTATGTGCACTATATGGCATTTTGAGGGCCTTTCTTCATGGCCTCCACAAATCACAGGACGGACGGTGCGCGATCTCGCTTTTGAAATACTGCAATCTCAGTTCCGGTTCCTCGTTCGATTTTTGTCAAATCCCTTGCCTTAGCTCACTCACCCCTATCCATGTTTCATACCCCAACGTTCCTCCTCGGCCCGTCTGAAAACGACAGGTCGCGGGGCTGAAAATAATACCGTCAAAACACTATGCAAGCGTTACACTTTACGCCAATCCCAAATAAATTTGGGATAAGGACAGGGTAACGTTGACGATATGGTACAAGGTATTTTCAGCAGCGCAGGCACAGACTGACTGTCAGCCAGTGCAACCTGGTCAAATGTCCAAATCATTTAAAGATAAATAATTTATATGTTGTTGAGACGATAAAAGTTTTCTAATATCCCCTAATTCACATAGTGCTGCAGTATTTTTTATGTGGAGAGAGTGAGCGAGTGGCAAATTGATCAATTAAATAAAGTCAACTATTCTTGATAATAGGAAGTGGATTAATAAATTTTACCTTTTGCTCCCCATCAGCTTTCTCTGGCGGTGGCCAAGTGTACTCTTTAACATCTGCTGCCGTCCACACCTTATTGCTGTAGAAATAATGAAAGTTGGTAAATAAATATGAAACAATATTCAACTTTAATTAAAAATAACGTTATTATAGTACCTGTCAAACAGGTCCGCAAATTTAGATTTCTTTAGTTTGTTGCTTTCATTTGTTGAACTTTTTACAGAGCTCTGTGAGTCCTCGTCCAGTAAATGAGACGGCCTAGAATAAAAAAAACAGTTTTCAGCATTTTAATCACTAGAGCAAGTTCAATACAAGGTTAAAGACCCTCAATACAAAAACATGATAGAATAATTATCAAAAATGTTAACTAAACTACTGTATACCAGTACATCAGATGGAGAGGCGGTTCCATTTTTCCTTAAATATATGAAAAACCATACTCACTTAGCAGAAGTGGCATTATCATCCATCATACAGGTCTCTTCTTCAAACAGTTGCACTGTTGTAGTGGCTGGTCCACACACACGTCCGTAGATGCCCATAGTTTCCTAAAATATCACAAGTAAAATATCACAGTCACTTTTAATGGCATATCTGCAGAAGTTTTGGCATTTTGTATAGAAAGTTAGTTATACATTTGACAATGTTTAGACCAGACATTATTTTCAAACATTATATTATACCACACAGACTACACTTACTTTCATGTACATAGCGCCCCGTCCCCCTCCTCTCCCCCGCCCTCGCCCACGGGGCGTGCGCACACGACCACCGCGACTTCCCCGCCCACCTCGCGGACGACCTGATCTGCTTGGTTCTGGTGTGTTGAGAAATTCATCCTTGACTGGACTATCAATCGAGTCTTTAAGACCATGAGTATCTCCCATAGAAAATGTCGCAGACGAGCTGCGCCGTCTACTCGACAAAGGTGTTTGACACATAGAAGGCATTTTATCTAAAGCTTCCGTCATCCGCGGCAACTTTATCCTAGAACTTGTAGGATCGATTTCGACAATGGATCGCTCATCGCCTGGCTCTTCATGTGCAGGTTCAATAATCGTCTCAGAAGGCGACTCCATAGAAGTTGCAATTTCTGATCGTCGACCCCCCCGTCCTCGACCACGACCACGTGGCTTGTGAATTATGGTAGGTCTGTCCCTGAAACATAGGTATGAAATTGTAAAATCGTCAATAAATACTACTACAGGAACAATGGGAAGGTAATGAATAGTGAATGTCTCACCTCATTAATCGAAGCGAACGCTGTGGCCGCTCCTCGAGAGCAGTCACCGGCAATGTAACCACAGGTTTAGCTCCCTCTGACACGGGCAATTTGCGTGGACGACCACGCTTTTTGGGTTGTGGAGTCAATTCTACAGGCTTAGGAATGTCTATTGTTTCAATTGCTACTTCAGCAGGTTTCACAGTAGCGACTTCTAATGGATCCTGAGAAGACTCTTCAGGCACTGGCAGATCTCGAAAGTCCGAGTTTTCATTAATAATCATCTGTTGAAGCTCAATATGAGAATTTTCTGCAGGTACAACTTCCGTTGTATCAGAACTGCTTATTGAAGTATTACATTCTATGTCTGAAGGTACAGTGTGGGTCTTATCAGAACAGTGCATTGCCAGTGATTGAATTTGTTTTGCTTGCAAATTAGACAGAATATTGTGTAACTTAGAATTACCATTTTTAGAGCAGTTTTCGTTATTTAAAAGTGAATGATTAACAGATTTTGGTTCTAAAACAGGTTTAGTTGGTGATATCTGTGGAGACACCGCAGGACTTAAAGATTTGTTTACTGACAAAAGTTGTCCTAATTTTAACCGTTTAGCTTGCAATATACTTAACTCTGCATCTTTATTTTGAGGAGTAGTAGGTTCTGCAGTTGACGGCCTTTTACCAATCTGTCGCTTTATTTGTGACTTTTCTGTAGTTTCAACTATCCTAGAACTTCGTAACCTCTTTCCTGTAGATAAATTCAAAGTTGTGTCAGAAGCTTGTTTTCTCCTATTTGCTACATGCTTTTTGGGACTTAGTTTATCATTTACATTATCTTGAGTATTTTCAGTGTAGTTCTCGGGAGTATCTGGCCGTTTGACATCTTCAGTTATTATTTTTGCCAGGGGGCCATGATCAGTCTTATTTATTTTTAATATAATTCTTGGAGAATCTTGGCCAGAGCTTTGATTGCTCATCTTGTCAGATATGGATATTTCCAATGGTTTTGTAATATTGTCAATAACCTTATCTGTAAGTTCTTGTATTGAGTGGAATTTGCCAGAATCAATTTTGCTAAGATCATTTATTTTATCAGGAGTTGAACTTCTCTGCAGTTTGTCCTCTCTATTTAAAGATATGGTTTTATCTGCAACAGATTTCCCTGAGTCAACCATATGATCACTATTCACAAAATTTTTACATGCTGGTATGGTTGATTCAGATCTATCTGTTGATACAGTACAGTTCATTGCTTGAGATACTTCTACTTTCTTATCTAAATTATCTCTTGTATTTTCTAAAAGCTTTTTTAATAATGTACAGTTTTGTACAGATATTTTTTGTCTACCATAGGGTTGTTTTACACTAGTTTCTGTCAGTTCTCGATATCTAAAATTAATATTTTTCTGATCTTGGCTTATTTCAGTTTCATTCGGTAATGAACTTTTACCCTCCTTTGCTGAATACAAGTCTTCGGTTGGTGATTCTGTGTTACGAAAATTACATTTTGTAGCATTTGATATTCCAGGTGAATGCAGGTTTTCTTTTACTTTTGATGTGTTTAAATTAAATTGCTTCTTAATTACTGATATTCTGTCATTTTCTTCATGCTTTTGAGTGGATTCAGGTACACAATTTAGTTTAAGGACTTTTTCTTCTGAAGAAGGTACTGTTAATTTTGATTCTAAACAATCCTCCACAGATTCAGATTCATGGCTTTTGGTTTCATTTGTCTCTGAAGATTTCTCTGCCACTTGAGGCCTTTTTAAGGTTGCACCTAATGTTTCATCACTACATATATTCTCTTCATTAGCACTTTCATGATTTACATTTTCAACTACAGATTTCATATTAATTTTCATTACTAATGGAGGGTTTTTTAACTTATCTTCATTGTCGTCTTTAAGTTTTCCTTCTTGTGCATCTTCAGGTCTTATTACTGGTTTTATGTTAAGTTTAGTGACAACTGGTATGCCTGTGCTATGTGCATCAATTTTATGTTCTTTCTTAGGTGATGATGGTGAACTTTCTCCTGGTTTTATTAATGGTTTAATATTTAACTTAGTTACAACAGGAATGCTTTGTTCATTTGAAGGAACCACCTTAGAGGATTCTTGTGCTTCATCTGGTTTCATAATAGGTTTAATATTTAATTTTGTGACAACAGGTATATGGTCTCCATTATCATCACTTGAATTTCCAGTCTCTGATGATAAGTTTTCTGAATCTTTTTCCTTTTCTTCTTGAGGCTTAACAATAGGCTTAATATTAATTTTAGTTACAACAGGTATACTATTTCCATCAATGACAGCATTCAATTCATCACAGTCTTTTTCTTTTGAAGAGTTGTCTTCAGGATTTTTTAATGGTTTAATATTTAATTTAGTAATTTTAGGTACTTCATCTACACTACAATCTACATCATTATCTTTAGGCTTTATTACAGGTTTAATATTTAATTTTGAAACTACAGGAACTTTGTTGTCATAGCCCTCAGAGGGCTCTCCACTGTCTGCAGGTTTCAAAACAGGCTTGATATTTAGTTTTGTTACAGCACGTATATTTTCAGAACTATCACATACAGCTGTGGATTTTTTAGGTGTTCTAGGCTCTCCATCCATCCTTGTCACAGGTTTTATTGTAATTTTAGGCACATATGAAATTTCTTTTCCTTCTTCACTTGTGGAAAATAAGTCAGTAGACATCTTCACTTTATTTGGGCTGTCAGGTGGTTTTAAAGGTTTTATTGTTAACTTTGGACTGAGAGGTTGAGCTTCACATTTGGTTACAGTTTTTATAGTAAGTTTAGGTATCTTTTCTGGTTGTATTTCATCAGACTGGCTAATAATAAGCTTTTCTTCCTGTTGTATGCCTTTTATGGTTAGTTTTGGAACATTTTTTTCTGTGTAAAATTTGCCTTCACTCTCAGTACCTGGTTTTCCTAATTTGATTGTAACTTTAGGAACTACATCTGATGGCCCATGATCAGATGCTGATGTTTGATCTGAAGTACTAGTGGTTTCATCATTTTCAGAACATTCTGATTCTGATATTTCACTACTACTGGACTTTCTGTGAATGTCATTAATTTTTTCTGGTGGCTTCAATATAGGTTTGATGTTTAATTTTGTGATACAAGGTACTTGACCAGGGACACTAAGTTTAATATCCTTGTCAACTTCTGACTGTGATTTTACAAGTTTTTCATTGACATTTTCTGCGGGTTTTACAATAGGCTTTATATTAATTTTTGTCACACAAGGTACTTGTATAGTGTTATCCACTTTTTCACCTTCTTCTTGTTCAACAGGTGGTCTAATTGGTTTGATTGTAAGTTTTGGTACAGGTGACTTTATTTCTTCTGGTTGTTTCAACTTTATTGTTAGTTTTGGAACTTGTTTAGTCGAGTCTGATTCTTCATTTGGTGTATCTTCTTTATTAATACTGGTTTGTTGACTGTCTAATTTTGATTCAGATATGCTTGATTTTGATAAGTTCAATTTAATAGGTGGTACTTTCTTTTCCCATTCATTTTCTTCAGATTTTTGATCCATAATATCTTTTTCACAATTCACTGTAAGTGGTATACTGGATTTAACCTCTCTATTTCTTGGTACCTGCTCTACATGCTTTGATTCAAGTTCAACTTCCTGTGATGTACACTGAGCACTTGGTAATTTTGCTGTACTGCAACTTGATTCAAGTTCAACATCCTGTGATGTACACTGAGCACTTTGTAATTGTGGTGTACTGCTACTTGATTCAAGTTCAGCTTCCTGTGATGTACACTGAGCACTTTGTAACTGCACTGTACTGCAACTTGATTTAAGTTCAGTTTCCTGGGATGTAAACTGAGCACTTTGTAATTGTGTGGTACTGCTACTTGGTTCAAACTCACAGATCTCGAGTTGAGCATCACTTAATTGTGCATCAGGAATACTATCTTTCATCTGATTGCTTGCTGTTCCACATGCAGAATGTTTTGGATGCAGCTTTAAATCAAGCTCACTCTTATTTGATTCAATGGTAAGTGTTGTAAAAGACTCACTCTTACACATGTTTGAATCAAGACTACACTTTGATTGTTGATCACAACTTAAAGAAAGTTCTCTTTCCTTTGCCAAAACTTCAGTATTTTTTAAATCAGGCTTACCGCTCCTGAACTCTAATTCAATAGTCTTATCACTATTTATTGTTAGATCTTCAATTTTTGAAATAGGCATACTGTTGTTTGATTCAACATCGCATCCTTTGGAATCAGTTTCACTAACCTCTACATCAGATTTGTCGCTCTTTCTTATGAGCTTACTGGTGCAAGAATCAGGTTGACTGCTTTCTAATTTAGGGGCACAGCTCATTGATATTTTGTTATTAGATTCAACTTCTATATTTCTTGATTCTGGTTCTATATTTTCAGACATAATCAAACAGCTCTTCTTGTCACTGCTTGTTGATTGAATTTGTCCTTTTAGCACATCACAGTCCACTTTGTGACATTTTGGTTCTATGTCTGCTTCAAACTTATTGCTCTGAGATTCCTGCTCACTGCTTGATTTTAATTCCTGAGTCTTTGTTCCATCTTCTGTAATAATTGACACAACAACACCATGATCTGGTTTTTCAGTTCTTGATTTTAAGTCACTGTTCTTTGATTGATACACTGTATTTTTTGGTGGTAGATGTAAAGGTATATAATCTTCATTATCCTGGGTGCTATAGCTGTAACTCTGTTCTAAATCAACAGTTTTAGTGTCAACCATCTGTTTTGATGAGTTAGATCTAGGTAAACTATGTGGTTCCTGTTCGGAGTGACAAGTATTATCATTAAGTAAAACAGAGTAGGACTCAACAGTTGAAATTTTTTCACAATTAATTGCTTGTTGGTTATCATCTCTATCTGGTGTTGATTGGACTGCTTTTGTTGACTGAGAATTTTCATTACAATTTTCTTTTTCAACACTTGGTGGTTTAACTTGTTTTTCTGATATACAATTATTCTCTAATACTGGATTGTCATAGGAATCTTGGGATTTTAATAAACTAGCAGTACTTGAGGATTCTGTAGTTGAAATTGATAAATTACCTGAATGATTATCCTGTGAAGTTGATTGACATTGCTCATTTCCAAACAAAACTGTACTTTTGTCTATAGGAGTCTCTCTATTACTAATACCAGTAATATTTTTTTGTCTAATAAGTTTAATTTTTTTGGGACTTACTGATGTTTCTGCATTGCAGTAATTAATTTCACTTACATTGCTAATCTCTTCTGGTTTTACATTATCATATTTCATGGGCATGGCATCAGATGAGCTTGTCACATCCTTAGCAATATTTTCACTACTCGATTGTTCAGCAGTGATAACATTATCATTACTTTGAGAGTCAACTGTTGAGGACACAGTAGAGTCCGGCCGCCTATCGCTAGGTGCTGGTCTCACAAGTCTCCGTCTGAGTGGTGACCGAACTTGTGCCTCCACAAATGAGACCTTACTTTCACTAACACTACTATCACTAGATGTTGATTCTGCACTTTCCACAGTCACATTGTCTCTGGTATCACTGGATGTGACACACTTAACTGTTCGATCTTGTTGTTCACTTACACTAATATCAGATACATTTTGTACAGTTTGTTCTTCACTGCTGGAAGGAATATTAGGCAGAGGACAGTTTGTTGACGTCTCAGTAACAACATTCGACACTACAATGTCCTCTGCTTCGGTTGACACTACTTTCTCCTCACACTCAAGCACTGATGAACTTGCTGCTAATAAATCAACACTTTTCGTATTTACATCATTAGTAAAGACTTCACCAAGAGTTGAGCATTCTGGCATAGTGTCGATGTTTCCCGGAATTACAATTTCACTATCGACAGGTACACTATTGACAGGCGATACTACTTGAAGTGGTGCAATGTTTTCAATATAACTCTTAACTGAATCTTGTATGATATTAAGATTATAACTAGTCGCAGCTAACTCTTCGTTTAACCCGTCGACACATTCTGATGATAGCGGTAGCCGCTTCGGTGCGTCTGGACCATCCACGATTTCATCAATCATATCCAAAATCGCTTCAGTGCTTGTGTTGACATCCTGCGACGACGGCGACGGTACACTGTCGCCATCGAAATTATCTTCCGACATCGCAGGAGTTTCGTTTGTCGATCGTTCTTCCGATGGTTTCTGGTGTAAACTACTAGTTGCATTGACGTCTTCGGCCAGTCCGACGTCCTTTTCCCGCGCCGATACACGGCGGGAAGCGTTCGTCGCTGTGCCCGCATCATCTTCTGAACTCTCCATTATCTACTGTTTTGCGAAGCTGACATATCTGAAATATAAAACGCTCTCTGGGTGATATTTACGTTACGAACGGGTAACCTGACGACGTGCGAAATTGACAAGCCACAGGCACCATTCTAATTCACCATAACGCTACAAAATTTCGTTCACGGGGTCCACAGCGTTGATTATATACCTACACATGTACTTTAATTTCATATTCACGTCCTTTAAGTCTTGTCTGAGTGCACGCAAGGTGTTGGAAAGTATTCAACAGCGTAAACCGGCAAACAAAAAGCTTGTATACGCCATTTTTAAAACCAAAGACATGGCAGGTTGGGACGTACGGGCCAATAAAAAATATCCTATACGGACAATTCGGCCATTGTCGTGTTGGTAAACTGCAGGAAGCCCATAGATCGCTCCACTTGAGCTTTTAGCTTGTAAAAGAGTAATAAATATGTCTTTCGACATGTGTTAAAACGAGTCAGATAATAACTCTTTAGGTCTAATTTATTTTTCATGTGGCAATAATCTTTGAACATCTACAATGGTCTAAGTAAATAAGCATTACAGTGTAATATTTTATTAAACATTTAAAAAGGTTTTCGTTATTTGTAAGTGAAAGTTCGCGTTGTTCCCGAAAGTTGTAGCTAAAATTTTATTTTATTCAATTGCCAAAATTAGATAAACTAACTTCAATGGTAACACAGTAACTAAACTGTAACTACTGTAAAACAAACGTTTGTACGTTTAGAAATTTGATCTTAATTGTTTTGATCATCTATTAGTCAAGTATGTAATTAACATTTTTCATAACATAAATACACAACTATTTTAATTTCTGAGTCACAATAGCAGTTAATACCTCAATTTTAAAAACATAATGGGCCGCTGTCTTATTTTCATTCTATTCATAGATGTTAGAAGAATTTTTGTTATTTACAATTTTTTTTAATGAGGAAATAAATAATATAGTTTTTTTTTTAATTATAACATACAAGCAACAACGCAAGCAATTTAGTATGTCAGGAGAGATTAATCAATTTGGTTTACTTGGTCTTGTAAATCCTGGCCAGAAAAATAAAACATATGGTTTAGAGGAGTACCCATTATATTTTTATTGCAATAATAAGAAAAGGTTCCCTATTTAAGTTGGCAAACGTTTAAGTTCCATGCTGCATACTGACACACACATCAAGCATAACACTTCATAACTCCATTTCTTTCACGAGAGTCGGATTTTTTATTTGGTACGAATGGTCGGACATAACCTTATAAATTATTACTATGCTAAATTAAGGGAATTCAAACAAGAAAATCTTTTATTTTGGACTGATTCAACAACTATCTATTTTTATAAAAGTGCACATTAAGGGTCCCTTGCAGAATAATAACAAATTTTTTTTAAAGACAACTCCCGCTCTAGGAATATATTCGGTGTCGTTTTAACTTCAGATCATTTCTTCTTTGAAGCATTAGTAATATTCGGGTTGGGTAAATTCATCTCTTTATATATATTATCTCTTTATATTCATCTCTTTATATATTCTTTCTTTTTATATATAAATAACTGTTACTTACTGTTTTTACTTACAGTATCGTTTTGGGATAAATCCTGTAAAGACACTGTAATTGTTTTTAATAAATAAATAAATAAATAAATAAATAAATCTCATAGTCGCTTGCATTCCTTGGATTACTTGTCACCGCCACCATCATCATCCATCAACAGCCTTTAATAGTCCACTGCTGGACATAGGCCTCTCCTTAGAAAGCATAATAATATTTTATTGTGTCCGCAGCAGTGTGTAATTGTTTTCCACTGAAATAATAATATCTCTTACTCATAAAAACTATTACGTTTAATTTTTTTTGTATGCAATATCTCGTATTTCTCTATAAATAATCAGTAGTATAATGGAATAAGAGGGTAATGTTATCGATGTTACACACAATTAAGTTTATTTTTTTGACATTTCAATAAAATCTTACTACAAACTCAAGGATAGACCACGCGTATTCCTTGTATGGAGTGACGAGGCAAGGAGTACCATCTCATATGTACTCATATGAAGGCAAAGATGACAAGGTATCCAGCTGTATAATACTGAAAATAGAGGTCGCTGGCGTACAAAAATCTACGATATGAACATAGCTGTTGTAGAAGGAGTGAAGTGGGCTAAGTTAAAATATTATAATGTTTTTATTGTCTGTAAAACTTATTGACTATTTTCATAGTCTAGTACTCAATGGTACTAATTTTGTAATGGTTCTAACTCTCTAAACTAAACTTAACTAAAAATTACTTAAAATTAGTTTAGTCCTGTAAAACAACGTTTCGTATTATTTAAATAAATTTAAATTTATTCTAGGCTACGGTTACAGATTACTATAATGTAGCATAGGCAGTATAATTCAGTATAGGTAATCAACATAAAGTAAATAAAACTACTATTGAAATATATTTTACAATGGATAATTATTGTCATTTAAATATTTTTAACGTCAATTTCCAAATGTGGCGCATCACTATTTAAGAACTGCAAAAAAGTACAGCTAACTCGCGTAATGTCAGTTGTAATGTAAGAATAAAACTATAGATAGATACGTAAATACTTTTTTACATAAAACGAGTACAAACAATACTCATATACATATACTCAGTACTCAAGCGTGTGTGTATTGAAAAAGAATTGAAATAAGTTTGCGATCCTATTTTATTTTATGTATGAAATTCCACTATGACTACTATTAGACCATTTACATGTGAAGATATGTTAAAATTTAATAATGTGTGAGTGTGTTTAATAATTTAGGCAGTGAACATAAATTCAATAAGCATGTTCGACGCGTACTTCGACCATAAATGACGTTTTATTGAGTATTATTCTCTTAGAAAACCTTTTTACATATCCTGCTAGTTATAATCATTTTTAACTAAAAATTTGCAATTTAATTGAATTAATTATGTCGACCGGCAGGTGTAACTGATAGTGCATTTTTTTCAGAAATTTAGACCCATTAACAGAGACGTATGGATTATCGTTTTACACTCAGTATTTAGCTCACTGGCCTGAATACTTTCAAGTTGTAGAATCGGCCAATGGTGAAATAATGGGCTACAGTATGTACATTATTGTTATTTTGTTAGTTTTATTGTTTGACTAGAAGTGTTATCAATACATAAAATGTAGAGCTGATTCTAGCATGACACAATATTTTACTGAATTAGTTTTATACATGATGTAGTTGAAAAAAAATATCATATTTTAACATGAGTGGGCTAGAGAAAAAGGGAGGTATAGAGACTATTACTTGCTATTCGGTTATAATATAAATCTTCTGGAGGTAGACACACTTTGGTTATGATTATTGTTACACATATATATTTATCATACTAATGTATGTGGATTATACTTGTCTTCATTATATTTTCACTAATTATAACCCATAAAATAATGTCAACATAATATTGGAATTTAATTCAGTTTTTTTTATTTATATGATGGCGATAAAGAGATTGAAATGTTTTTGACCCAGTAGTGATGTTTCTTTATATATATACATTTTCTACATTAAATGAGATACCTTATAACATAGTTAAAAAAACAGTGGCACAGTATGAAGTGGTTTGTATTCTGTATGTAGTGGAAATTGTTGTGTGGGTTAAAATATAGGTACTTGAAATTGACACATATAGAGGGTTAAGGCTAAATTTGGAGGTCTAAGTGTGCATCATTAAAGTAGAATTTTTTCTGAAATTAATTCATTAGCTATGTAATAAGGCATAATGTTTACATAAAATAAATACAAAAAGAAAAACATCTAACAAAGCAGGTAACCTGTTTTACTGAAAATGCTCATTTTGGCATTTAATATTTACTAATTCAAACCAAAAAAGGACATTTAGTACATACTAGAATTTATTTAAAACTAGAGATAGGTACTTATAAAAAGTTTTCATGATTGAGTTTTGTTGTCATCAAATAAGGTTACAATAATATTTTCTTTTTTTTAGTAATGGGTAAAGCTGAGGGTCACGGAGACAATTGGCATGGCCATGTCACAGCCTTAACAGTGGGTCCTGAATACAGACGGTTGGGATTAGCAGCTACTCTTATGAATATTTTGGAAGAAGTTTCTGAAAAGTATTCAAATAAAATACTAAAATTAGTTTGGTAGAGTTACAATTTTAGATAAAAATTTAGTGAAATCTACACATTTGTTTCAGAAAAAAGGCCTATTTTGTGGATCTCTTCGTAAGAGTTAGCAATAAGGTGGCAATAAATATGTACAAAAATTTAGGATATATAGTGTATAGAACTGTATTAGAATATTATTCTGGAGATCCAGATGAAGATGCATATGGTAAATATTAATTTTCTATCAAAAGTAATATTAATAATACTGTTGGTGTTTAAGATGTCCTTAAACACAACACCATCTAGTTCCAAACTAAGTCGAGCTTGTACTATGAAAGCTAGATTGATGTGTGCGTTACCCCAGCAAAATAATGTCGAAAATGGTCATTTAAACGTTATAGATAATTAGTTGCTCCCCTTCTGTAATTGTTAGGCACATTTTTAAATTTGTTTCTCTTAAACTTTTTTAGTTATTTCAAAAAAACATTTCCTGCTGGGGTAACGTTTGAAACGTTACCGCAGCCAGACATTTTCTTTTTTAATTGTAATATTGAAATAAATTTTAGCTAGATAATTAGTTATCTGGACTAGGTAAATGTTACAACTTATTTGGTATTTGTATTTTCTTCGGCTGCGAAGTTATTCGAAATCCTGCTGGAGTAACGTTTGTGGGTTTGCTGGATCTCTGAAACGGGTAAGCGGATTGTAACCATCTTTTGTACATAACTTCTTAAGGATTAGTTTTAATTTGTTCGACAATAAAATAACAAAAATAATGGACCGTTTAAAAATTATTTAGGTAAGTATGAAAACACTTCAATACGTCCTAACACTTTAAATAAGACCTCTAAAGACTTACTTCAAACGTTATTCTATTGCTTGTAACTACCTTCAAATGTATACGAATTTTCGTAAGAATACTATAAGTGACTAAAAAGTTATGATGAAATGTAGCTCTCCACGTTCACGATCACAATGTGTGCGGCCTTTTTTGGCCACCGATAAACCTGTGTGTGGATATATAAACTGAATGTTATGCCAATAATTAGTTGTTTAGTTCAGTTGTCTACCTGTAAAATTTCAGCGTAGTACATATAATAATTTACGAGATAATTAAATAAAAGTCATTAGAAGGTGCAAGACCGTGGTAACCCGACCATGTTTAGGTGGTTACAAAAAAGCGATCACCCAGTACATTGTGCTGGCTTTTAAAATATGTAGGATATTATTTGCAAGTTTACTACGGATATGTACATAAGTGTTACAAAAAACTACATGTTTTTTAAATATTTTTTATTTAGAATTGTTTATTGCATAATTAGTAATCAGCCGGGAGATTAGGTATTGTTTTGAATGCTTTTGTTTTCTCGTAATGTTAAGGTGAATTGTTTATAGTTGTTCATAGAATTGGTACCTGCGTAGTATTTGTTAATTGAAGTTTAATTTTAGGGTAGGTATAGGTAATTTAAGTTTTGAAGAGTGTAACGTATGCGTTGTAAATAGGTATTTTGTGAATAAATGGGGATTTTTTAAGTGATGAATTGACTTAGGCTAGCATATCGCGAACAAACTCTGTATTGCAATATTTCTGTAATAATGTTGGAGAAAATAAAATATTTGATCACAAAATCGCGGTGAGTTAAATTATAATAAAATAAATTATTTATATAAAATAAGTAATAAGTGATATACCTACCTACAAGTTATGATCGTTTTTAATTGGTTCACCCTTTTTTTTTTCCGTGCGGAAATCCCCTCGGATACCACCTTTCGGTGGCATGTCGGACTCGAACCGACTAAAACCGCACGCCGTCTCGGGTACTAATAGCCGGGGAACCAGGTATACCCTAGAAAGGAAGTCCCTGGTACTAATTGGTGCACCCTGAACAAAATTTCAATATTAGCATTAGTAATTAATATCCTAAGACAAGAATTGACAATTACTTAAATTGAATCGAATTAGCATTAACGCCCATTATTAGTAATTAGGTACACACGTATTGAAGAACTCTCAAGAAAACGATGAATATTTGCAAAAATAGAAAGCGGAAGCGCACACGTACTTTACAACACGTATATTATCTGCCTAAGGGTCAAGTTTAGTGCACTAGATGCAAATTGCAAACAATGAAGTATCCCTTCGCCCCTCCCCTCCCGCGTTCTAGCGAAGGATGTATTATCAGCGATTCTTGATTGACAAATATTATCTGACCAATAATTTTATCTATAAAAATGTATCACTTTCACTCGATAAATTAAATTACCGTTATTATATCAAAATATCATTCAACAACTGTTCGTTTTTAACAGAAATCAACAGTCACGGGCTCAACGCTTAACGGTAGGTACATAGGTATAGATAATTCTCGGTTCTCGGTATAGACTACAGAACAATATTACCTACTCTTACGAGGTATACGACTGTTGGGCGATGCAATGTTGATGCATTCTAATTTACAACTGTATTCTTCTACTATTCGGTCTTTTTTAACTTATTGTAGATGACTTGTTGCTTTGAATATTTGGATGCATTCAAGTCTAAGCTCTATACACCCAAAATAAAATACAATTACTTTAGTGTTATTTCTTTACAAAAAAAATCAAAGAAATGAAACGATTTCTTATTGGTTTAAATTTTCGATTTATTGCAGTAAGGTGAATCGTTCATACATGTATCTACATATTTATAATTTTAGCGGACCAGTGCAGATTTTCTGTTGATTGTAGCTCCGGTAGTAAAAAAGACTAAAGAAATTTTAAGTAAAGAAACTAGTGCTTAAGATCAATTGGGGAAAAACACAAAATAAATAATAGGTAATAATAATGAATAAATATTGAATGTATTTAACACTGTACGCAACTGTACCGAAATCGTAAGGTGTATTACACTAAACATTTAAAAGACAGCCCAATAGACTGGGTGATCGCTTTTTTGTAACCACCTAAACATGGTCGGATTACCACGGACTTGCACCTTCTAATGACTTTTATTTAATTATCTCGTAAATTATTATATGTACGACGCTGAAATTCTACAGGTAGACAACTGAACTAAACAACTAATTATTGGCATAACATTCAGTTTATATATCCACACACAGGTTTATCGGTGGCCAAAAAAGGCCGCACACATTGTGATCGTGAACGTGGAGAGCTACATTTCATCATAACTTTTTAGTCACTTATAGTATTCTTACGAAAATTCGTATACATTTGAAGGTAGTTACAAGCAAAGGAATAACGTTTAAAGTAAGTCTTTAGAGGTCTTATTTAAAGTGTTAGGACGTATTGCAGTGTTTTCATACTTACCTAAATAATTTTTAAACGGTCCATTATTTTTGTTATTTTATTGTCGAACAAATTAAAACTAATCCTTAAGAAGTTATGTACAAAAGATGGTTACAATCCGCTTACCCGTTTCAGAGATCCAGCAAACCCACAAACGTTACTCCAGCAGGATTTCGAATAACTTCGCAGCCGAAGAAAATACAAATACCAAATAAGTTGTAACATTTACCTAGTCCAGATAACTAATTATCTAGCTAAAACTTATTTCAATATTACAATTAAAAAAGAAAATGTCTGGCTGTGGTAACGTTTCAAACGTTACCCCAGCAGGAAATGTTTTTTTGAAATAACTAAAAAAGTTTAAGAGAAACAAATTTAAAAATGTGCCTAACAATTACAGAAGGGGAGCAACTAATTATCTATAACGTTTAAATGACCATTTTCGACATTATTTTGCTGGGGTAACGCACACTAGATTGACTGATAGAATACTTATATACTTTTTTTTGGTAAATACAAGTTAATACAATACAAAGTTTGAAACAAAATTTTGCAGATCATACAAACATTTGGTCCGATTCGGCAATCAAACCTGAGACCTCAGCACAGCAGTCGCACATGCTACCACTGCACACTTGTCCTACAGATAATGATACTTGATTTGTGTTCTTGTTTACAGATATGAGAAAGGCTTGCTCAAGAGATGTTAATAAAAAATCAGTAATACCACTGACTCATCCTGTTAGACCTGAAGATGTTGATTGACTTGGAATTATAAAATAAACTATTGCTAAACCAAAAAAAATCTTTTTATTCATAATTTCAGCTTTCACTAGTGCTACTGCTGTCATCATCGGCATCGACATTATCAGTTGTCTCTGGTGTTGATGAGCTTTGTTCCTCATTAATGCTTGGTTCCGACTGAGTAACTTCTTTTTGTTTGCGCCATTGTTTCGCAGCAGCAAGTAGTTTAAGGTTAGGTCTGACCATCTCATCTTCAGGGAAAATGTAATCAAATATTTCCTCCCAACCTTCTTCAACTCCTCCTTCATTAACAATTTTCTGTCTTTTCTTAACTCTCCTTGGCATTTTAGTCATAACTTTTTCAAGTTTTTCTTGATCTCCGATTTCAGTTTCAAAATCTTTCCAGGCTTCTAACAGAAGGACTCGTGCCTCTTTCTCACCAGCACTTCTTAAACTGTCATTGGCACGCTCATAAACACGTCTCGCTAACTCAACATTAATATTGTCAGCATTCTCTGCATTCAGTTCAAACTTTGCATAAGATAACCAAACTTTGACATGAACAGTCCTTTCTAATAATCTTTCATATAGTTGTCTGGCTTTCTCAGTTTCTCCTTGTTGAACTTCAAAGTCTATGTAACTTTTCCACAACAGTTCAGGCATGTCTAATCTGGCCTGGCCTACAGCTATTTCATAAATGGCTCTAGCCCTATCTGAGTCACCTAATAATGTTTCTAGTTCTGCAAACTTAATCCATGTAATGCAGTTTTCTGGTCCATATTCCAGAAATTTTTGATACAATATTCTACATCTATCAAATTCTCTCAACTGAATTTCCAAGTCAATGTAGCCCCTGTACAATTTGTCTCTTGGACAAATACCAAGGGCCATACCCAATGTTTTCCTTGCTTGCCTTAAATCTTTACATCTAACTTCAAACTGAGCATACATGAGCCATATTTTGGAGAAGGTAAATATTTTGTGTGGAATCAATTCTATACATGTTCTGTAAACTTGTCTTGTCCTTTCACCGTCTTCTGCTTCCAACTCTTCATATAGTGCATAATTTATCCACAAATATATGTAGCGTCTCCAGAACTGTTTTTCCTTTGATGGAGGAACATTAGCTATAGCTCTCTCATAAGTATCACGGATATCATCGACATTTCCTTCATTTTCAACTAGCCTTATGTAGTCAAACCATGCATCATAGTTTGTTGGATTTTCAATTACTTCTTGTTCATACATATATTTTCTTTTATTGACAATAACATCTTCAATGCCAGACCTGTCACCATATTTTTTTTCATGTATGGTGTATGCTTTATATAATTCTTTATTTCTATCTTTAGGAATATGGTCCAAAGCATATTTATAAATAACTCTAGCTCTGTCATGCTCTTTCTGGTTTTCTTCGAACTTTGCAAATGCAATGAAGAGTCTTTCATCAAGTTCTTCATCACCAAAAAACTCTACAGCTCTTTCATATACTTTTCTGGCACCATTAATAAAGCCATGATTTTCTTCAAATCTTGCATATTTAATCCAATTCTTAACATCTGGATGTACCATGACAAATCTTTCATAAATCTGCCGAGCCCTGTCTAATTCCTTGTATCTTAATTCAAAATTGATGTATGTTTGCCATGCTTGTTCATCTGGCTGCCATTCCATCCAACGTTCGAAGACCTAAAAGTGATATTTTTTTGGATATTGAATTCAATATTTCTATTTGAATATTTAAACTATTTCTATTTGTATACTGATATACTGTATACTGAGTGTATGGGATAGTTTAGGTTTTAAACTACATAATTAAACATGCTTATGTCTAAATTCAACATTCCAAATGACTGGATTTATCAGTATATAAATAGTTAATTCCAGATGTGTAAACTTTATTTGAGGGGAAATTATATTTTAGTTTTTTTTTTTTTTGAAAACTATACTGAGTGTATGGGATAGTTTAGGTTTTAAACTACATAATTAAACATGCTTATGTCTAAATTCAACATTCCAAATGACTGGATTTATCAGTATATAAATAGTTAATTCCAGATGTGTAAACTTTATTTGAGGGGAAATTATATTATAGTAGCTTATTTTGATATATATATTTTAAATAATAGTGAAGAGACAAGACATCTTTGTAACCAGATGGTTCAAATGGAACTAATATGTGAAAAATTGAACAGTGTGTAGTCTTAAAAAAGTCTTTATGACTTATAGTCATCATTTAAATTCTTTGTTAAACATGAGCAGGACTAAATCATAGCTAAATGAGTTGAGCACATGTGGTAGACAAGTGTAAGTCTATATTTATACATTGTCTTTTTTTATAATAATAATATTATATTGGTCTATTTTCTTACTTGTCTAGCTGCAGATATATTTTCTAGCATTTCCTCCATATAGGTATATTTGTACCAGAATTGTGACACTCTTGGGAGTATGGTGACAGCTCTGTCCCATAAGTTCCGAGCATGATTTACTTGTCTGTTTCTCATCTCCATTTCAGTGTATTTCAACCTTTAACAAAAAAATACATGTTGCGAAATAAGTAAATGTGTTTTTTAAATATATTACTCCACACAATTCAATACATACCAGAGGGTAACATTTCTATGGTCCACATCCAGAGCTCGCTCATAAATGGATCTGGCTCTCTGAACTTGCTTCTGTGATTCTTCCCACTGAGCATATTTAAGCCAATTTCCAATAACCTGAAGGAATATATTTTTAATCAATTATTTATACATACCACTTTTGTGTAACTAGATATATGGATAACAACAATAAAATAATGTATTAAAATCTTTTCTAATTTTGGTAAAGAAGGATAACTTACTAGTCTATTCTTCCTTATATTATCTTCAAATGCTTTTCGTTTGCGATGCTGATAGTCCCTGAGTTCTTCTGGATCTGAGATTTTCTGTTTTGGTGGAGGCGGAAGAATTTCTAAGTCTCGCTCTTTAGCTTCCCTAAGTAGTTGCTCAGCAGTAATTTGTATTTCTGCTGGTGCTTTATTCTTAACCTGGAATATTATATATATAAGAAACTAGTGTAGATTTCAGTAATTTATCAATATTAGCCTAATACTATTTATAATACCTTTGCCACTTTGGGCATTTTTGTTGTTTTTCCATCCATGGTTTAATTCTTTTCAGATATTTATATCTTAGCAATAATTTGATCTTTATTTCTGTGCTTAGAATAAATAATACGATAATACAACAGTTGCGAACACAAGTCGCCTGTCGCGGCTGTCGCTTATTTAATCTGTCGTCGCATACGCCTGAATACGCCATACAGTAATTTTGTCCACAATGCTGCCGCTTAAATATTTTTTTTAGTATTTACTAAAAATCTCAGTAGCCTAATTAATAAATTGCTAAAACTATATGACCGTGATCTAATGGTCGAAATGTACATAAATTTTTGGTTTATTTAAATGTATCAATTATTATTTTTATTTTTTATTTTATTGAAAAGGAATAACAAACAGCTACAACATACAGTTTTATCATCAACAGCCTTTAATAGTCCACTGCTGGACATAAGCCTCTCCTGAGAAAGGAGGTTTTGGCCTACTATACCACGCTGGCCAGACGGGTTGGTAAAGGGTTTGTGTCAAGTTTTCCTTCTCTCTGCAGTGCTGTTGTCCTGCTTAGGTTTTTCCCTTAGTCGGCTCTTACGACACCCACGGGATGAATAGGGGTGGTGACACTCTGTATTCTTAATCCGTCACCACACGGACCATTCTTAATCCGTCACCACACGGACCAACAACATACAGTTTACAAAATAATTTAAACAAATATTGCACTTATTTCATCTTGTAGCCCACAACGTTATTCACAAATTAACAGAAATAAGTATGGAATACAGTATTAAACACGCTCACATTTGTACAGGTTGGAATACTCATACATTAGTTTCTTAGTGGTCATTATGAAAATTAGAACAAGGATTATTGTTAATGCGGTTACGTTATTTTAGTCTAATTCTTTTAGCAAAAGGCATTTGAACTTGCTTATTGAGCTGGCGAAAATATCAACATTAATGATTATTTTTAAAATAACTCTAAATCTTTAATCTCTATCATATTTACTTGATCTCCCCCAAACGCAGAGTAAATAAACTTATGCCTGGCTTACACGCTTGCCGAGGTTTGATAAACATCCACTAGCTCCTAGCCTTTACAAACGTTTGGGGTTTGGATGCCATTTACACGTCTGCGATTGCGAGTCTGTTAGTGTGTTTCGACTTCCGAACATACGTTGGAGTTGTATCGGCTATTGCATTTTTCTAGACACATTTTTATTCAAAATATAAACAGAGAACACTAAACCTTACTTTAATCTGTGATCGAAAACCAACACTACAAGCCTTGTAGCCTGGACACTACCCTGTTTCAACGCTTGTGTCTGTGACTCTGTGACCAGTGTGACCACTATCATTTAGTTAATATTCGGCTAATATGTCAATTATGTCAAAGTGATAGTAAATGTAACATAACCATAACCTTAAAGTTAACTTAATTATTAAAATGTTTACTTCGTTTTATCGTCTTATACTAAGCCGTAACTCATGTGAGTTATATGCTGCTTGTTTTACCAAAATCCCTTAATGTATGAACTTTTGGAAAATAAAACATTATAATTGCTTAATATAAATATATTTTATGTTTTAGATACATCAACAATTACACGCGTATATAGTATTAGTTCTGCATCTGTAAGCAAAATTGATTCTTATAACCAAGTAGACTATATAAAGTCTATAGATGATACTACCGCGTCCAATCTAGACTGGTTATCAGTTAAAAATAACATTTTAAGTATGCGAGGCAACCTTAATAAAAAAAATGTTGATGCAGTTTTATTAAAGGTTTTAGTTTCTTCTAAGAACCTGATTGCTGCTTCATTATTTGCGCAGCACCTAAAATCAAGACACGAGGAGCTAAATTTAGGCTCTATTAATAGTATGTTATATATGTACTCTACCATTGCTAAGCAACGCGAACTCACGAGTGAAGAGAAAAAATTCGTTTTGGATACACATAAAAATTTATATGAAAAATATAAGGTTCTAGACAGTAGCACCAGCGAACAACTTTTGCAAGTTCTTTGCGGCATAAATGAATGGGAAAAAGCATTACTAGTCTTAGAAGAAATACATTTAAGTGCTGTACCCACACATTTAGCTTATAGTACAATGATTGCTACTTTCTTTAGACTCAACAAAAAGGAAAAGGCTATAGGTCTAATAGAGCAAAGCATTAAATATAAGAGGCCGCTTCAACATATTGCTTATGAAGAATGGATGAAGTATATTGTTAGAAAGTATAAAGACAAGAAGACAATAGCAAAATATTTGGATGAAATCCTAAAACATATTGGTACTAATTGGGCAGTTATAACTGAAAGTACTGCAAAACAATTGAGAGACTTGTACATTTCTTTAGACTGGGAGTCGCAATTTGCCAGGATAAGAAAATCAGAGTAAGTGCTAATTATAACATGCGGAATGTAATGCATACTATGTACCTTCAGATTGTAGTGTTAGTTGTTACATTATATATGTGCACCGGTACATTTGATAAGGGATATATTTTCAATTTTTATCTTACCATATATGTATGGATTAGGATTAGACCCATTTTCTAAAACAACACTAGTTTTTATAGAATTTTAATCCTCCATTACTATCATATTATTACTCTTTAAATATTTTCAGCACAAAATATTGCTTTATTAAATACTATTTGTGCTCTGTGGTGTTACCCATGAGTGGCATGGCTTTCACCTGTATAGTATTAGTAATATAAAGCATTTTGTAGCACAGAATATCTTCAGTAACAATTTCTTACTTGTTGCAGTGGCCAGTGCTCAAGCTGCAAGGATTCACTGGATCGCTTAACATTATCAGATGAAGAATTCAGTACATTACAGCAAAACATTAAAGAGAAACTTATTATCGGTTCAGATTTATTATTAAAAACCACTCATGATGAACTGAAAAGGTTTTTGGAGTCTGTGGAGAGGTTTGCACCCTATGATGTTGTTTTGGATGGATTGAATATATGCTATGCTGCTAACAAAGGCCCTCATATTGATAAGTTACTCCTACTTGAAAATGTAGTAGATTATTTTGTCAAGAAAAATAAAAAGATCTTGCTTTTAGGCAGACAACACATGCTGAGGTGGAATAAAAAAACGATGGACAGAATAAAGTTTAAAACTTGTAGTTTTCTCACTGATAATTTGTAAGTACAGATAATGTTTTTTTAACATAACAGGTTTTATAACAAAGTCATGATGAGGAAAAGTCAAGTACTGTGTGTTGGTTACTCTTGACCAGATAGACATCGCAAGACTTTAAGGAAAAAATAATAATATTGATTCTGACTATGTACAAGTGTTGGCGCTGCGACTTTTCAGGTTTGCCTTAGAATAAATATTATTACAAGCCATACTATATAGTAATATGTCACAAATTTCATTATTTTTAACAGGTCTCAAGACGATCCCTTCTTCATAACAGCAGCTATATTAAGTGGCCCACACACAGACATAGTGTCCAAAGATTTACTAAGAGGTCATAAGTTCAACTTAAAAGATGACACCTTGAAGCAGCTATTTAAAAGATGGCAGTGGCAACATCAATGGATGATTTTCTCAAGTTACCAAAAAGGACTTATTATTCAGGTATTTGTGTGTTCTTATGTGACACATCTCTAATAGGTAATCTACAAAAAAAAAACAGGTTTCAGTAGTCACTTCAATTTAATATCAGACACAACGCCAAAAAAATCAACTAAATGATAATTGCAAAATAAAGTGATACTGGCACACAAACTTTTTTAAAGAGACATTGTTGCTGTTGTGCGTGTTGATCTATGACTTTAGTCTACATAAGAGACGATTTCGAACAATGTCTTTGCTTGTCAACCAAAGACAGTGTTACTATACACGTTTAAAAATACATTAAAAAAATATATTTAGAATTACCGTTTTAAATAAATGTGTATACCAACTTTTAAACTTTCGCGTTCCATGATAATTAATATTATTTAACGGGAATTAACGCGATCTCTTATTTAGGGTATTACATACATACGTGGTCACAGGCTGACCACATCAGCCTGTGACCACGGCCGGTGCAACCTGGTCGAAACGTCAGGCAAACCAGAGGTATGTAATACCCTAAATAAGAGATCGCGTTAATTCCCGTTAAATAATATTAAATGTGTATACCTATGAATAATAGAATATTACACCACATCTTCAGATAGCGATAGATTAGCTCTCCAAAAAGACCTATATGTACTAGAGGAATACTGTAAGTACAACAAAGTTGACCTCAATGCTAGCAAATGTTCAGTAATGGCATACACTCGCGGGAGTGGCTAAAGCTCGGCCGACCCAGATGTAACTCCTCGCGCGATCTGGGAGTGCACCATGACTCTAAATTAATTTTCGAAGAACACGTAGACACATCGTGAAAAAAGCTTCCAGAGCTCTAGGGTTTATAATGAGAGTGTCCAAATGTTTCACACAAGCGAAAACCCATAAGATTTTATACGGCCTCATCTTGAATACGCGTCTCAGGTCTAGAATCCTTGTTATTATAAATATATTGATCGTATTGAATCAATTCAGAAACGGTTTATAAAATAATTGTGTTTCTATCAAAATATTCCTAAGGACTCTGCTAATTATACTCACAAATTCACACGCTTTAACCCACCAATGAGAGTAGCATCTGCCTGTACCAACTATAGACAGAACAGCTAGATAGTGCGAGCGAGCCGCAATTTTAATAACCCGTGTGTGTGTGTATCAATGTCGTACTGTTTGGTACGACATCGATAGTTCTTGCACAAAAGTGACCTCAGTCAAGAGTTATTTAATTCAGACCTTTTTTGGTAGTGATTAATGTAATTTGATATTTTGTTTTTATTGTTTTAAGTTTTTCGTATATTTGCGATTTAACAATTTTATATTCTTATTAGATTTAATATGTATTCTATTATTAAGAAAGCGTAAGCAGTAGAAACCATGTCTGTCCATACACTTACTTATAATGTTGTCCACAAGTGGAGACTTATCATTGGTTGACACATTGTTATATCGTTCACTAAAATGTTATTTTAGCTACAAGTCTTCCAAGTTCGTTAAATAAATAAATATATATAGTCTGGAATAGCAGATAGACTACTTTTTATCAAGGAGTGATTTAATGACTAAATTGATATTAGAACGAGCAAACCTGGGGGGTGAAAGCTAGTAAGAGTATCAAAAAGTTAATTAACTTTCACCTTCAAATGTTGCGGAATCGGATGAGCTTTTAGTTTTCCTGTGTGAATTCAGGACACAATGTCTAAATTTATTGTGCTTTAAATACTAATACAAACAGTGTACACTTATTTCCCAGCATTTCTATTAGTCAATGTGGGCAACACATTATCACCATCCACGTCCACTGCTGGACATAGGCCTCTCCTAGGCAACACAAATTCTTAAAATTTTCGCTGAAAGAATATAATAATAATATATATAAATAAATGATGTCAGAACGATCGTAAATCATAAATTGAACACATAAAGGACGCCATGACGTAACTCGGCGGTAAACAAAGTGTGCATGTTCTTACTTCTTTTACCTAATATTTATCTATTGTTCCACAATCCTACCTGATTTGAGGAACAATAGACAGCAGTTAACTGTCTTTGTCTAGTTTTTTTTAAATAAAAGAATCCACTTCACAGATACGCTATTTATGATATAATAATTGCTAATTCTGCAAATAAACCAGTTCAATGTAGAAATTACGCAGGCTATTATTTCACTGTCAGTATCTCAGGTATATAAACAGCTGTGTATCAGCGCTTCATTGTTTTAACATTGACTTTAGTCCTTAAATTATGTAATTTAAAATTATTGTTACAGAGGGTAAAAATTGGATGTCATGTCTTAAAAGACAAAAACCTCTTATAAACAATAGATACTTAAATAATAATAAAAAAAGTAATCATGTTAAAATCTTCTAAAAACTATTTTGATAATAGTTCGTTTTGCGCGCCGTTTGGTTTAACCATCAATATTTTTAAATGTTTTAGACAGCCTACTAAGGGGCAGACCCTGTCAACGATTTTTAGTAACTACAAAGAATAATATGTAAACATGTCTTGATAACAACTAGCGATCCGCCCCGGCTTTGCACGTAATACATGCAATGTAGATACTATTAATTCTACTAATGTAGTACATATAATGTGTGGTACTCCACACTTATTAACTTAATTATACTAACATTATGATAGGACTATACTGCAGGACATATTTATATTTTGCAATATTTATAGTATAGGAGATAGACATATAACATCGCGGACTTTTTTGTAGATCTTTTTAAGATTTGTAATTCCGTAGTACATTATTTTGAAATTCTCGGATTTTCTACACTATAATTTTCATGTTTTATATATAAACCTTCTTCTTGAAACACTCTCTCTATTGGTAAAAACTGCATTAAAATCCATTGCTTAGTTTAAAAGATCTAAGCGTACAACACAAAATTTTATACTAAGTGAAGAAATCAGATTTCTTAGTCTATGACGAATAATTTTATATTCTTAATGTTCTCATATTTAATTATTATGTCAATTTCACGTGGCCTATCACACAATTTAAATTTTTATTTAATTTCCTTATTCTAGCCTCCTCTACAATTTACCCCGTGCGCTCAGAAGCAAGGCACTACTTGGCATATTCCTTTCGAAAGTGAGACAGTAGCAGCGACGGCGGTGGTCAATAATGGCATACCAGACCTACGCAGTTGGCTATGTATAAAGCAGATATTATAAAATATATTGTATAAAATCTGACATTGTTTTATTAGTGACGACCCCCCCCGACTAATCGATGCGACGCCCTGTTTCCGCGATGTGTTGCTACATACAAACCCTTTTTTACTTTATCTTTTATTTAGACTACGTATTTTATTTACAAAGGATAAAAATACAATTTTTTTTTTAATTTCTAGAAGCCCTCGCGGGCATCCTCGAAAATTCTCATCAAGGTTACATTATAATGTGATCAATTGTAGAGAACAAACGTACATTATCTATGTATGAATACAAAAGCACCTCAATTGTCATCCCAGTTGCTTGAAAAAAGTTTTTATTTTGCCTATTGAGTTTGTCTAACTTTTTTATAGCTATTTTTTTGCCTTTTTAAGTATTAAAAAGTAGATCACTTGTCAATATGACATAATATTCAACCATCGCGACAAAAAGCATTACTTTTTTCGGTATCAAAATTTACTGTTTTAGGTCATTAATTTATGGCTCATCATGCCGCCACAAGTAAAAAGTAACTCTAAGCAAGGCAAGAAAGGATCAAAAACTGAAGTAAGCTCAAATGCACCAAAACCAAATCAAGCAAGATCACACAATGGTGGGCATAGAATAAACTTCTATTTATTTATGGGTTAAGTTTACGTCGATACCTTTAATTTAGAAGCTTTGTACTCTAACTAAAACTTAGTCCTGACCATGAACTCATAATTAGCTAGCATGTGCTTCGGTGGCGCAGTGGTATTGTATGTGACTGCTCGGGTTCGATTCCCGGGTTGGACCAATATGTTTGTATGCTATGTAAATATTTGTTTCGAAGTTTGGTGTTTTCTATGTATAATATGTATGTATTTACAAAAGTATTCTACCAGTCAATTTAGCTTTTATAGCATAAGCTCTGCTTAGTTTGAAACTAGATGGCGTTGTATGTTAGATGTCCGAAATATATGTGCTCGAAAAATTCAAGAAACAGATGAACTTAAAAATAACACGCTCGCTGGCAGTACGTTCACAATCTCATCGACACTATTATCCTTTTTGGAACAAGCAATATGGTCCTCTTAATATTTAAATAAAGATAAACAAAATGAGATCGGAATGTAAGCCTTTGAAAGGATTTGAAAGCATTTCAATCTCGCTTTTCCGTTGAGTTTACAAGTTTTTTATATGGTAGTAGTACAAACACGAGAGAGGCTAGAGCATCGGTAGGTATCCGTTTTTTTTTAAAGATCTACTAGCAACCGAAATTACTAGTATTCCCGTTAACTCCTGCCGCTAAGCGAAATTGCTTGTGTTACGCGTGGGTCCACGTCTATAGTGTGCTGGTTAGGATTCGAACCCACGACCTCTTGATCGCAAGTCCAATGCTTAAACTAGGCTATCGCCGCTTTTAAAGTCCTTATGCTCTCAAATCGTGGGTCAATCCGAATAAAGTTAGGTAAAGGTTATGGTTGGTCTTAAAGTCTAATCTTGATTTGAAGTGCCTGGAAATGTTTTTCAAAAGTTGTTTTCTTAAAAATCCCAAAAAAGTTCGTTGTTTAAAAATTGTATGATGATGATTTACGATAGTCTAAATTCATCAAAAGGCTTGGTGGCTTAAGGCGTAGAAATTCATCCACGTTGAAGAATACAGACACGAAGGCAGTTGAAATTTGTTTGACACATTTCTAAATTATAATCTAAAGACCAACATTCCCTAAAGAAGCTTGGTTTTTTTAAGTATGTTAATGATTATTGATTTACTTGCCAGATATTCCAACAAACGCTCGTCTGCGTCGGAACTTAGAAAGGGTAGAGATGTTGGCCCGACCAACGTCTCGTCGCCTCCGCTCCTTATGGGACGAGAAATGCGCAATACTGCCACGCGAGAAGAGGGACAAAATCAAAAGTGCTTTAGAAGAGGACTATTTCCTCAGTCCAGAGTATGGTTAAAAGAATTCCTAGTATATCAATAGTACGGGTTTTAATATTATACCCTTTAGAAGAGGGATTCCCAAAGCGGTCAATATCGCCCCTTTGGGGTTTAAATCGGTTAAATATAATCGGTTTAATATTTCTTGAGGGAGGACTTACTTTACTTTAGTTCAGTACTTATGGCGCTTGAGTTGTAGATGTCCACGCCTCTTCGGGCTCTGATAGTTACCGGTGATCAGTTTGTTCGTTTGCCCCCTTTAACATAAAAAAAGTACAATTTAAAAAGATTCAAGCGTGAACAAAATCTTCAATATACAAATTAAATAATGTGTTCACGCTTGAATGTGGGGCCTCAAACTCCGTATTTGGGGATTACCGAAAAGAATCCGGGCAGTACAATAATAAAATGTAAGAATAAATAATTACTAATTGACTAATTGTACTGCTCACCAGGTGATCATTCTGATGGAACGATATCGGTTTTTAGGAAAAAGTTTTATTTGCTGTATTTTCCAATACACATATTCTCTTTGTTTGGGTAAATCTCATTGAGATATAGAGTATGAAACCGGTTATTATATAATTATACTATGCTAAATCGAACTGGGTGAAACAAAGAGTAAGTCTAGCAGTTTAATTTGAAAATCATAGTCATTAAAATTCACAATGTGTTTTATTTTTTATATAGACAAACAGAGCAGTACTTCCAAGCAATGCAAGACCCGTCGAGGCGATGGTCTGGACCAGCGGGCTTACTTAATAAAAAAGAAAGTCCGGATAAGAGTAAAGAATTAAGGCAGAGGCAAAAATGGCTTGTTAATTTTAGTGCACAGGTGCGTAAGAGTACCTAATTTCAGATTTTTTGTAATGTTTTAAAAGATGCGTACTTTGTGTTAAAATAGAATATGAAATCAATTTTATGTTTATTTTATGTGTTAGTCTTTTTGGTTGATATTGATTTCTTGCAAGTATGGCTGGGTTCGGTATGTTAGCAGCGCTCGGTAGGACAAGGTGCAATTTTGTTCGTATTTTCTTTATAAAGATATTTTAAATATGTTAAAATTGGATCTTATTGAGATGCTAAAAATTTAGTCTATGCGATTGAAATTCTACAAATGAACAAAATACTGTAACTCGCGGCTATGTTTGTGTACATTTAACAGGAGTTTGATTCACGCAAAATGGCTGTATTACTTTGTGTTGTAACTCACATCAATAAAAAAGTTAGAATATCGTATCACCACTACCAATGAATTTTGAAGATTTAACGTTTTTCTCTATAGGTGGCGTATCGTTTATGTGACTACATAGCTAAGGGTCAGAAGGAAATGTTGGTGTCTAACAGACTGCGAAGCATAGCTGACGTCGTCTTGGAGAGAGTAGCTGAGATTTTGGGTTAGTATATATTATTATAAGATCATTGCCTTTTTTATGCTATATACATGAAATATGCTATCTATGGCAGTAGTAGGTAATCTTCTTTTGCCTTTGCTTAAAATACTTTTTAATATGCTTTCTATTTATTAGAAATATCAAATAATATGTATGCTTGGTAGGTACCTTTGTATATGGTAGGTCAATTGTCATTTTAAATGTTATTATAATAAAAATTGCAACTTAATGCAAAGGTTTCCCCTTGCATTTCTTACTGTTTAGGTGAGCCAAAACCAACACGTACGAATCCTGGACGCCTTCCCCGATTCATGGTGGCGATATCTGACAGGATTGCAGTCTGGATAGAAAATGCTGTGTATAGAGCAGATGCAATCGAACCTCTCGAGGCTGGTGGTGATGAGCATATGCGTCTTGATGCTGAAAAACCTTTTGTTTAATAAAAATACGGTGAGTACATTAATTAATGACACACATATTGATGACGGCCATGCGTAACATCTATTAACCGTTGAATCAGTAACAACAAGGTTGGTTGTGTTAGCAGTTGTGAGTAACTAATTTTATTGCATAGTCTTGAACCATTTCATAGTCATTCATATTTTATTTCCTCGCGAATGCTCCATTGAAGAATTTACTGCTGGATCTAATTTCTGCTTCCTAATGTAAGTGTGGAGGGCGGAAAATATATAACTATAGAGTTTTAGTATGCCTGACATGTATATACAGTTCAAGGCCACCACCGCACCTATGGCAGAGCTTAAAAACGCCAATCCATAGTCAAGCTCAGATGACGACGGTTGCGGCTTACCTACCGATGGCTGCAATTACTAGTCAAGGGATACATACATACATTTGCCTATCTTTTCCTATCTTTCTTCCTATCATGTATTGTATATCTTTATTTCACATATTCTTCATGTCGAATGTTCATAGAACAATCTGTTCATTATCAAACAGTAAACTGGATAGGTTGGTCGTTTATTTTGAGCATTGCAATTAATTTATGATGTTAATTCGATAATCAAAAAGTTTCGCCAAGTAACAAGTTTTTGTAACATTTTGTATGCCGGCTCTAGGTACTAGTTGCCGCGGAACTCGATTTCTCGAGACTCAGGACTCCGTCCCAGACCGCAGCCCTACTCTAAACTCTGGTTATGAAAGTCTTTACAAAAAAAAAGAAAAAAATTGCAGTCAAGTGGCGTTGTTATCGTACAACGGTGTTGATAGTGATGACTAAGGATAAAAATATATATATATATGCGAGTATGCGTTATCACTAGTGTTCCTCCAGAGCACGAAATTCCATCATAATCGTTAAACAGAACTATATGTGTTTGCATGTTGCTAGCGTTTTTTGTCAAGTTTTATTCCTGCATCACACACACCTATAAAATAGTGAAAGATTGGCTAAGGTAGAAGAAGCTGCTACTGCTACTAAAGTGCTTGAATAGCTGCCAAACAAAAGAGAAGGAAAGAACATTACTGAGGACAAGAAATGAAAACATTAGAGTTCTCTAATATCTTAGATAAAATAAAAGAAATTTAATTGTAACCAAGGATAAGCCTAATTAATGATGGAATTGTTATTAACTTATTACCAGGAACAGTAAAACATACTCGTAGTTAAATATTCCTATTTATTTTACAAAATAGTATAGACATGGTTATACGCAGTTGTCCAATGGATGAAGCAAGTCGTGTCTGTGTTGAGAAATAGGATAATGCTCAGAAAAAAGTTGTGCCAATGTAACCAGGGTAGGTGATCTGAGAGCCCAGTCCGTTCACAACTGTTGGTCCCGCTACCACGGTCTGTTGACAAATGTATAAAACTTCTTCATTTTTGTAGAGATCAATTACAATATAGTTCGTGTGGTGACGGATTAAGAGTGTCCTAAGAGCTGACTAAGGGAGCAAACTACGCAGAACCCTATACAAACCCATCTGGCCAGCGTGGTATAGTCGGCCCAAACCTTTATAAGGAGAGAGCTTTGGCTACCCATTTGCTCAACTTAAGATAGGTTTGAATTTACAAATGAAATTGATATAAATGTAAATTTAAATGACTCTGTGAGGATCCTTAAGTGTTTGACTGGCCTGTTGGTCTAGTGATTAGTGACTCCGACTGCTATGCCAGAGGTCGTGGGTTCGTTTCCTACCCAGAACAAATAATTGTACGATGAGTGCGGTCATTTGTTCTGTGTCTGGGGTGTACCTTATCTATAATATGTATGAATTTAGAAATATATAAGTATGTTTATCAGTAGTCTGGTTACCATAGTACAGTCTCTGCCTAGTTTGGGATCAGACAGCCGTGTGTGAAATGTATAAAAATATTACATTATTAAGTTTTCAAAACGTGGCTTGCATGCAACTTTCTGTAGATTGCAACATGAAAATTTATATTAGGGAATTACATTTACGATCATATAATTTTTGCCGCCGGTCAGTACTATGTGTGTACGTGATAATTTAATATTTGTCTTTACCCTGGGGCGAGCAAAGTATGGTGCTACGAAACCCGCTGCGTAAGGAGCAATTATCGCAGGGGCAGCAGCAGCTAAAGCAACGCATACGAGTAGGAACACAACCTGAAACAAAATAGTATTACATTAGTATGGTACAATTCAGTCCAACCGAGAAAGAAGTACATATTGCCAAGCTAATAGGCATGTCTATGGCAGTAGTAGGTAATCTTCTTTTGCCTTTGCTTAAAATACTTTTTAATATGCTTTCTATTTATTAGAAATATCAAATAATATGTATGCTTGGTAGGTACCTTTGTATATGGTAGGTCAATTGTCATTTTAAATGTTATTATAATAAAAATTGCAACTTAATGCAAAGGTTTCCCCTTGCATTTCTTACTGTTTAGGTGAGCCAAAACCAACACGTACGAATCCTGGACGCCTTCCCCGATTCATGGTGGCGATATCTGACAGGATTGCAGTCTGGATAGAAAATGCTGTGTATAGAGCAGATGCAATCGAACCTCTCGAGGCTGGTGGTGATGAGCATATGCGTCTTGATGCTGAAAAACCTTTTGTTTAATAAAAATACGGTGAGTACATTAATTAATGACACACATATTGATGACGGCCATGCGTAACATCTATTAACCGTTGAATCAGTAACAACAAGGTTGGTTGTGTTAGCAGTTGTGAGTAACTAATTTTATTGCATAGTCTTGAACCATTTCATAGTCATTCATATTTTATTTCCTCGCGAATGCTCCATTGAAGAATTTACTGCTGGATCTGATTTCTGCTTCCTAATGTAAGTGTGGAGGGCGGAAAATATATAACTATAGAGTTTTAGTATGCCTGACATGTATATAAAGTTCAAGGCCACCACCGCACCTATGGCAGAGCTTAAAAACGCCAATCCATAGTCAAGCTCAGATGACGACGGTTGCGGCTTACCTACCGATGGCTGCAATTACTAGTCAAGGGATACATACATACATTTGCCTATCTTTTCCTATCTTTCTTCCTATCATGTATTGTATATCTTTATTTCACATATTCTTCATGTCGAATGTTCATAGAACAATCTGTTCATTATCAAACAGTAAACTGGATAGGTTGGTCGTTTATTTTGAGCATTGCAATTAATTTATTATGTTAATTCGATAATCAAAAAGTTTCGCCAAGTAACAAGTTTTTGTAACATTTTGCATGCCGGCTCTAGGTACTAGTTGCCGCGGAACTCGATTTCTCGAGACTCAGGACTCCGTCCCAGACCGCAGCCCTACTCTAAACTCTGGTTATGAAAGTCTTTACAAAAAAAAAGAAAAAAATTGCAGTCAAGTGGCGTTGTTATCGTACAACGGTGTTGATAGTGATGACTAAGGATAAAAATATATATATATATGCGAGTATGCGTTATCACTAGTGTTCCTCCAGAGCACGAAATTCCATCATAATCGTTAAACAGTACTATATGTGTTTGCATGTTGCTAGCGTTTTTTGTCAAGTTTTATTCCTGCATTACACACACCTATAAAATAGTGAAAGATTGGCTAAGGTAGAAGCTGCTACTGCTACTAAAGTGCTTGAATAGCTGCCAAACAAAAGAGAAGGAAAGAAAATTGGTGAGGACAAGAAATGAAACATTAGAGTTCTCTAATATCTTAGATAAAATAAAAGAAATTTAATTGTAACAAAAGATAAGCCTAATTCATGATGGAATTGTTAATAACTTATTACCAGGAACAGTAAAACATACTCGTAGTTAAATACTCCTATTTATTTTACAAAATAGTATAGACATGGTTATACGCAGTTGATCAATGGACGAAGCAAGTCGTGTCTGTGTTGAGAAATAGGATAATGCTCAGAAAAAAGTTGTGCCAATGTAACCAGGGTAGGTGATCTGAGAGCCCAGTCCGTTCACAACTGTTGGTCCCGCTACCACGGTCTGTTGACAAATGTATAAAACTTCTTCATTTTTGTAGAGATCAATTACAATATAGTTCGTGTGGTGACGGATTAAGAGTGTCCTAAGAGCTGACTAAGGGAGCAAACTACGCAGAACCCTATACAAACCCATCTGGCCAGCGTGGTATAGTCGGCCCAAACCTTTATAAGGAGAGAGCTTTGGCTACCCATTTGCTCAACTTAAGATAGGTTTGAATTTACAAATGAAATTGATATAAATGTATATTTAAATGACTCTGTGAGGATCCTTAAGTGCTTGACTGGCCTGTTGGTCTAGTGATTAGTGACTCCGACTGCTATGCCAGAGGTCGTGGGTTCGTTTCCTACCCAGAACAAATAATTGTACGATGAGTGCGGTCATTTGTTCTGTGTCTGGGGTGTACCTTATCTATAATATGTATGAATTTAGAAATATATAAGTATGTTTATCAGTAGTCTGGTTACCATAGTACAGTCTCTGCCTAGTTTGGGATCAGACAGCCGTGTGTGAAATGTATAAAAATATTACATTATTAAGTTTTCAAAACGTGGCTTGCATGCAACTTTCTGTAGACTGCAACATGAAAATTTATATTAGGGAATTACATTTACGATCATATAATTTTTGCCGCCGGTCAGTACTATGTGTGTACGTGATAATTTAATATTTGTCTTTACCCTGGGGCGAGCAAAGTATGGTGCTACGAAACCCGCTGCGTAAGGAGCAATTATCGCAGGGGCAGCAGCAGCTAAAGCAACGCATACGAGTAGGAACACAACCTGAAACAAAATAGTATTACATTAGTATGGTACAATTCAGTCCAACCGAGAAAGAAGTACATATTGCCAAGCTAATAGGCACTCTTTTCTCAATACAGGAGTGTATTGAGAAAAGAGTACTATTATTACTTTTTTTTTTCATTCCATTTGTGAAATTGAACATATATTTTGTTTAGACTACTCACGACGTATTTCATTTTGATTATCTAATTACTGGATCTACCAGTCAATATCTCTAGAACTGCTCCTGAGCCTTCTGGGTGTCGACTATGCCATCCCACTGTAGGCAGATGCATTTATAGGCCTTCTGAAGGTCACCAAGTACGAGTAATAGGTCAGACCCTAGACCCTCTCGAGGTCTAAGTAGATTATCTAAATATACATGTAATGAAAATTCCAATCGTCAGGCAAAATTTATGGAATATAATTATGTATTCCAGATAAAGCACGCATAATGATTTATTCATACAAATTTGTCGTCAAGTGATCGTAAATAAATGTCATTTAAATGCATGGGGATTTCATAAGCTTCAGGTGTGAGGTTTTATAAAAACCAGTGCACAATCCTCCCTCTGGCAACTCCTTAAAAGTAGGAAGAGTACCAGCCACTAACGCATAATTTAAAAACGTTGTGGGATCGTCCTGTACATATGATACTTTTGACTTACGCAATGAGAACTTACAACAAAATAAAATTTCATTTATTTTGAATTATTTGTTCCGAATGTTTCTTTTCATCTATATCAGAATATTTGAGTTGTTAATTCCACATCACTATCTTCTTATTTTTTTAAAGGCTTAATCCATCTTAATACCCTTTTTTCCTAATTTAAAATGAGTTTTTTTTCTTCCATTATCCTTGATTACTCGAAATCCTCTTTCACACACTCCTTGATTTCATGGCGAAATGGGTTTGTTTTTTTCTTTTAAGGCCGGCCTACTTGGGAACGATCATTTTATTTAATAACTGCTTAAGTCAGTCGGCTTCAGTTAAAGCAGACATATTGTATTCCATCTTTCTTAAAGTTTGGTTGACAGCCATTCCACTGTTTCGACCTATCAAAAAACTGCAATTATAGCTAAAAGACTGTACAGCGGAGGGCTAGAAGGATATTTTCAAATAATAATATTAATATTTTCGGCAATCTACCACCTAACGCCATCTAGTTTCAAACTAAGCAGAGCTTGTACTATGAAAGCTAGATGGACTGATAGAATATTATATACTTTTTTTTTTAAATACATACATATGCAGATTATACAAACATTTGGTCCGACCCGGGAATCGAACCTGAGACCTCAGCACAACAGTTGCATACGGTACCACTGCACCACCGAGACAGTAAAAAAATGAAATGGTAAAATTTCAATAAAAAATGTTAAGGTGATAGAGAACTACAACAATAATTAATCGAAGTTAAAACGTTTTAATGCTATTTGATAATATGTAGTTGCTTTCTCCGTAAAAATCATCTTCTGTCATCGTACGAGTAGTAAGACAAAATTTAAAAAGAACATTTTAATATAAAATTATTCAATAAACTTTATTCATGTTTAATATTATAAAAGTAATTCGAAAGCGTGTAAAGAAAATTATGTTATGTACTACCTTTATTAAGTATAAATATTATATAGCAGTAAAACCGTTCCTAAAAGGAGAATTTAAAGGAAATTAAATTGATGCGTGAATCCTATAATTTATTTAATCAAATAATTTAGAAATGAGCTCTTTGATTGACTAATTTTCAGTGATCTGATTGCAGCTTGTGGTTATTGATTCGCTCATAACGGTCATATTGGCATATGAAAAGCAAAAAGATTTTTTAAATGCCATTATTAATTCTATCGAGTAGCGCGCGTTCCTACAAAAATACTTATTACATCAACAATATAAATTCTTTGTGAAGTATTGTTTGTATATATTCATACATAAATATTTATCTAGACGACTTCATCTATTTTCATTGAATATTTAGAAAAGCTGCTCTGACCTTAAAAGGGTCTTGGGTATTTGCATTACTCGATGACCTTCTAACGCTGTATATATGCGTTTGTCTTCCTTAGGACTGTATTGTTTGCACTTAGAAGGCTCTACAGCAGTTCTAGTGAGATCTACTCAACCTACTTCATCAAAATGAAATACGCTGTAAGTACTCAAAAATGAAAAGACAGAATATTGTAGTAAACATCTCTACTATTAAAATCACTGTTATGAAGGAATAGTTTTATTACTGTAAGAAATTTTATTAAAGTTGTTAGTTCACCCAAGTGACTTCAGGGCTTTAGCACCACTTGCAAATTTAATGCAACATCTAAGCAACTTTTCTTGCAACACCAAGAGAGGTACAAAAATAGATTACCTCTTTATTCACAATCTATGAATTATATAAGTAACAATAACTAACTATAAAGTTCTCTATTTTCAGTTAGTCTTCCTGGTTGTGTGTGTGGCTCTAGCTGCCGCTGCACCTCAGTTCTTCGCTGCCTGGCCGTACCCTGGCTTCGTGGCGCCTTTCACAGCCCCTGCTAGGGTAACTGTATTTGTCAAGATAACTCCGACTGCATGGATAGCACAGTGGTTGTAGTGGTGGCCTGACTACTACACCGTGGTGCATGTTTTGGGTTAGACATTCGGAAAAAAATGCGTCACCCTCTAATTTTTGAGCCGGGTCTGGATGCTCTTTTGTCCGCCCTATGAATTAATTGAACGGTCTTAAGTTCGCTATACTCATCTATACTGTGTAAAGTTTGATATCTAGCGATTCTTTCGGTCTATAATTTAAAGAATAATTGTGAAGAATATTTTATTTGAAATTGCCAATTGCCCCATACTTTCTAGAAATATTTTCACGCATATTTCGAAAGGGCCTAACACATTAGGAACTGATGAAGACATTTGTTAAAAAGCGTACCTAACGCTTAAGTCAGCCAGACCAGCCTGATCGTATTATTTAATGAAATTATTAACTTGTTAACTTTTTTCTTCACAGACTGTTGTTGCTGGACCGACTGTTGTTAATGGATTTGGCTCTCACTTCACTGCCGGTTTGATTGAAACTATCTAATTATTTTTCCCATCTCCTTCTGCTCCTTATTCTGTGTCTACCTGTCTATCTTCTTTTAATACTGATTGGAAATTAAATTGGTATGTTTAAAACGATTTTTTATTATTTTCCTCTCGATCTTTACAAGACATGACTCTTGTTTGTAACTTAAAGGGCGGTATAAAAAAAAAACACTATTCTATTGCCACATTGACTAAGTGAAAAATTTATTTTAATTTTTTTCAAAAATATTCTTGCCTCATTCGTATAATTAATAAAATATATCGATCGACTGTAGAAAATATAATGGACGATAAAGGGTTGTGTTTATTTTAAATATCCAGGTAAAACTATTTTTTTGTATTTTAAAAAAATACTAGATTAACTACTCTGATGATTTTATATTTCTACTGTTCAAGAGTTTATTGCTGACCGGCTAATATATGTTAATTACATAAGATTTTTAATTTATCAAACGAATCTAGAACATCACGTCTAAAGCCTGTCTATGTTTTAATAAGCCGTCGTTTGATGCATATTAATTGGTATCTTTAGCCTTCGGCTACTACAGTTGGGAATCCGGAAGGGTAATTAATCTCGGTTGTAAAATTTCTAAACCATTCAAAAGCCCATTGCTCTGCTTTCCGAAATTCAAGTTCTTTTCTTTGGTTCCACTGTACCCATCGCCTGACGACTTACGAAATAAGACAAATTCTTCCTTCGGCCTTCAGTCGGGTACCTAGCCATTCCCAAGGATACTGAATCTTAGTGGATCAGACTAGTTCATCGAACAATACCAGCTTTTTGCACAAGCGGCTCGGTCAACCAGATGATATCACCTATTGTAGTACGAGTATATGGAAGATGCTTCGGCACCGAGCACTTTTGTATCGTTTCGATAATTTGTATTGTAAACTTTATAAGATTTTCTAATAGTTTTGAAACTTTTGCCGGTACATTCAAATTTCTACGTAATCAACCTTCAGAGTTGCATGTATTGTAAATTGTATGTGAAAATTAGATAAACAGCAAGAATGTAATTAAGCCTATACATAATCTTTGAAAATCATAGATTTTTACTTATTCCTCCGTCACATGGCCCTTATAACTGTATATTGTTATACATATATCTTCTCACTCAAAGCACCTGATAGGTAATAATTTTAAGCTATATATAATAAAGTTGAATAAACCACTATTGACTTGATGACAAATATGTGAAAGTGATGATGATCAAAATAGCATAATATTAACATACATTTCCCGGAAAGCTATTCTAGGAATGTAAAAGTTTCGCTCGTAGTTATATAAATGGTGTCATTTTATGTAATTCGGATGTTCTATTGTAAGGCTATGGATAAAAATCTAGACTTAAGAAATGCAAGCTTAATTATAGTTTTCCTTATTAAATGATAAGTGCTAAGAAGCTATGCGCGGTTGTAAGTGTTAAAAGAATATAAAATAATCACTGGCCGTAAAACATTTTTACGTGTTGCTTTTGCATAGTAACGCTTCTTCATAATAAGTTTCATCCTATTATAATATGTAGTTTTTGTGGGAAAATCTTACTATCTACCTAACACATATTTTGTAGTGTCCTAACAGCTATTCGAAAAATATCCAACTCCAACGAAATAAACCAACGAACAAATTAAGTGACTATCTATGAAAAGAGAATGTTTCGCTCCGATGGCTTCAGATATTATGTAAATTTCGAATAGAAAAAAAACCCATCCCTTTAATAGAACACTAGTTGCGTCAAAAAGCATTGCAACATTACTATTACATTATTTAATGCAATTCGGAAGTTATCGTTAAATCTATTTATATTATTTAATAGCTTCATTGAAGTTTTTTTAATCTGGCAATTTTTTTTTCAGTACTTACTGAAAAGCCTTGTCGACACTGAAATTATTCTTTATATAACTAACTACGTAATTAATCTCTTATTTAACTATAGCGGTACAATTAACGCTAGGCCTAAGGTTCTCAAAGTAGGAGGTGTTCCAGCACGGTACCGGTCTTCATTTATTTTTTTAATTAAAAAAGTACTCCTTGTTAATTTTACAGTTTTAACAATCTCTCGTGATAAATATATACATTCTGATAGTGGCATATTTATAAAGGATAACGTACGTAACTAGGGTTTAACT